CAAATCCGCTCGCACTATGGCAACATGATGAATGACAGACCCCCCAACCATCAAATCAACACTTACGGGGATTAACTACAGCATAGGCTATTATGACCGCAGCCCTGGTAAGTTCAATCTCGGCAATGGCATTCGCCTTGACATCACTACCAGTACTGGACAGACGTATGTCCTGCCACTTGGCCCACAATCTAGTCCTTAAGTTCCAGCTGTCAAGTTTTTCTGGACAGTGACGTGAGATTCCCTTACCTGGCTCTTTGCAGCAAATTGTCATTGATTTTGTCACCTATCAGCAACTCATACGGCGATGAATCACACAGTAGGTCATCTATAAGCCTACAGAGGCTCTTGGACAGAATTGTCCACAGCAGGATCCGCCATTTTTGGGTGGTTGGAGTTTGGAAAAATCAGACGAAACAACAGAATGGTAAAATTTTCAACCGCAGGCGGTCTAGAGTCTAGACTATAAATGGTTTTAATTTACAATGTTGGAAGATCCAAATCGGGATAACTTCTAATTTGGATGGCGTCGTAATATAAGATTTGCAAAGACATACCATCCAAGCAGAGGCCTGTATTGTGAAAGAAACAGATGAGAAACAGCAGTCCCAACTTAAGTTACCTTACATCCTTCAAATTCAAGCTCAAGAAATGGCAGTCCAGACATAAAAGCTGGGAGAACCTTTAAATTTGAGCCTTATGCTAACGGCAAGTAATAAACTGGTCTGCCAGTGTTGAATATTGTGTCTTAGGCGCGATATAGCACAGTCGTGCAGGTAAATCCTTGTATCTGAGCTTTCCACCTGGGCTCAGGAAAAGAGCAATCACACTCGAATATGAGGCTTTTGGTAAGGCCCACATATCCGAGCTTTGAGACGCGATTGCTCTTTTCCTCAGCTCAGGCGGAATACCTGAGATACTGGCTGCATGCTACGGGCCTTACCAAAGATGTGATTGCTCTTTTCCTCAGCTCAGGTGGAATACCTGAGATACTGACTGCATGCTATGAGCCTTACCAAGAGCCTTGTATTCAAGTGTATCTACAGTAGAGACAAAATCTCAGGCATGAGCAATCGTGTTTCAAAGCTTGGATATGAGGATTTGTTCTTTTCCTCAGTTCAAGTGAAATACCTTACCTGAGATACCAACTCATATAGACGCAGTTCTCTTTTCCTCAGCCCAGGTGGAATACCTGAGATACCGGCTGCATGCTACAGGCCTATGCTGAGGAAAAGAGCAATCGTGTCTCAAAGCTTGGATATGAGGATTTGCTCTTTTCCTCAGTTCAGGTGGAATACCTGAGATACCGACTCATAGACACGATGAAGAAAAGAGCAATCGCGTCTCAAAGCTTGGATGAGGATTTGCTCTTTTTCCTCAGCTCAGGCGGAATACCTGAGATACCAACTCACATAGATGCAATTGCTCGTTTCCTCAGCCCAGGTGGAATGCCTGAGATACCAGCTGCATGCTAAGGGCCTTACCAAAAGCCTCATCCCTTACTCTGATTGTCTTCTAACCGAATCTAGCAGCAGCCGCATCTATTCCGCCACATTCAAGACCAAAGACAAGCACACTGAGGGTACTCTCAAGCACCCCCTAGTTCAACAATATGCTGCTGCGAAAATTGGCAACATTCTAACTGCAGTATTTAAAAGTCACGTGACTTTTTCACACAGACGGAGCAGGGTGGTGTCTCTATTTGGTTACAAATCGCAACTAAGTTATATTGGCGGTACATCTTTCTGTCTAATTGAAGAAAAAAAACAAAGGTGTGACAAAGCCAATACAAGGCTACCGCAGAGGGGCCCTCTCTGCGGCAGTCTAGTACTGCGTAATACAGTAATAAAAAGTAGAGCGAGAAAAATATAGCTAACTAAATAACATAATCTGTGAACCGCGCTGGCAATCAGTATCTGCGAAGCGAATATCAAAAAGGTTACCTTTGAATGTCTGAACAAGCCAAAAGAAACATATCTGTAAGCTGCCATCAGCATTTGGTCAGAGGTAACGATACAAGTTACCTTATGGTGGAGCGGTTGTCATCCCTCCAGAGAAAATACAACACAAGGATGGCAGGAGGAGGCGCACCAATGTGGACACTTAAACCTCCCAAGCGCAATGGTGGTTGAAGGAGGGGCGCACCAATGTGGACACTGAATCCTCCCCAAGCCAAGCCCCCAGTACTCAATGATAAAAGAAGGGAGGAGAAGTGCACCAATGCACACATACATCTCCTCCCAAAGCCAAGCCCCCAGTACTCAATGGTGAAGCAAGGGAGGAGAAGTGCGCCAATGCACACATACATCTCCTCCCACTCCCAAAGCCAAGCCCCCAGTACTCAATGGTGAAGCAAGGGAGGAGAAGTGCGCCAATGCGCACATACATCTCCTCCCAAAGCCAAGCCCCCAGTACTCAATGGTGAAGCAAGGGAGGAGAAGTGCGCCAATGCGCACATACATCTCCTCCCAAAGCCAAGCCCCCAGTACTCAATGGTGAAGCAAGGGAGGAGAAGTGCGCCAATGCACACATACATCTCCTCCCACTCCCAAAGCCAAGCCCCCAGTACTCAAAGCTCAATGATGAAGAAGGCGTTCAGTAAAGAGATGGCTGAAAGAAAGACATACCTTAGATCTATAGGCGCCTCAATAGTATACCAAAATAACTAGAAAGAAGGTGTTTAGTGGAGAGACGGTTCAAAAAAGACAGACCTTATATCTGGAGGCACCCCAATAGTGTCCTAAATTGTCTAGAAAGAAGGCGTTCAGTGAAGAGACGGTTGAGAAGAGACTTACCTTAGGTATCCGCAAATCAACCTATGCAACCAAATTAGAAATAGAATTAGAATTGAAAGACGCATACTGTGCAGTAGGGAATGAGTGCTCAGTGAGTTGTTAGCCACTTACACAGCTGCAGTCTGTGTAAGTGGCTAACAGGGTGAGCGGACAGAAGAGATGTGGTTTGAGTGGACAGAAGAGATGTGGTTTGAAATTGAACCGTGTGAAAGTGTTGCGCTGGACTTTATGTTCAACATATTTGATGTTGTTTGTTGCGGCAAATGCCGGCCCAACCACAACACGATCACATGACTGGTTGGTTTGAAAATTCGCAAAGTCCTTTTTGCTCTACCATTGGTAGTACCATTTCTTTTCCTTATCCAATGCCGCCTAAAAAGAGCAACACGGCCAAGAAGTCTTGTGGAGGTTCTGCCCGGAAACTTTTGGCACCTGCCGGCTCTCCTCCGGCGCCCGCAGGATCAAAATCGTCCACGCCATCCTTAGAGCCAGAGGACGCTAGGATTCCGGAAGAACACAGTATAGTAAGTTTTTTTTTGCTTCTTTCTAGTGTTCTGTTGACTGACTGGAGGTCAGTGGTGTTTGATCTGTCTCGATGGCGCGGAAGGTGACGTTGTACTCTTTGAATGCAACGCCTGCCCCCGCGTCATGTGCAGCAAATGCATTGAGGTGCCCAAGGCGCACGTCGATGCCGTCCAACATCCGGACGTTAAATTTTTATGTCTTTCTTGTCACTCATTGCGGACGGTTAAGGAGCCCGCGCCATATTTTGTGAGTCTTCTTTTTCTTATTCAAATGTTCTATTGATTGACTACTTAACTTTGTTCAGGGCTTCTACCGTAACGTTTTGCCAGAGGAAGGAGGAACGCCTCTACTCCCAGGCTTCCTACAGCTCAACGGCAAGTATGAGCTGGCGTCCAACTCCATCTTGGCAGCCACACCCCTCGCCATCGTCCATTTTTCCCTTGGCGGCAAGGACGCAATCTCCACACCCGTTCCACTCCTCTCGCATTACCTCGACAAGTACTACCCCAGCGGTGGGTTTCTGTACGTCGAGATCTCGTTTCGACATCGTTTCGTATATGAAGATCGACAAGTACACCCGCGACCAGGTCGAAACGGTTGCTAAGCTCGTCCGTCACCTTGGCTCAACTGGTCGGGTCTTTGCGTTTCTCTCCAACCATTCGGAAGAAGACAGCGGTTGGCTCTTTGCAGGGAAGGAGGGTCAAGGTGATGGAGAGTATGTTGCGATGCAAGTTCAGCATGTAAGTTTTAAAATTTGACGCGTCAATATTATTAATTAATCTATTCTAGGTTCTCTCTACAGTGTTGAAGCCCTACGCCAGGATCCTCAAGTCCGCACACTTCGTCTTCCTGGTCTGCGGTTCTGTGGTGGCACACGAGACGCCCTACACTCAGCTCAAGGAGTCCGTTCTTCAATTCAACTTCGCATCTGCAATTATCTTTCCCGCAGCTCGCTTTCAACCCCTTGTCACCACTAATTTCTTGGTCGCCATGGCGGAACTTGTTGCGATTGAGCAACTCAACATCCGCACCGTATTTCCGACCCTCCTTAGTATGTCAGGCGGTCTCGGTCAACACACCAGCGTCATCCTGATGACTCCTGTCAACATTGATGGTTGCTGCAAGCTGGAACTCACTACATTCGCGCACGCTCACACTCAGACTTCGCCTTGGGGCATTCCTATTCCTGCGCAATGCCCCCAATGTGGCTCTACCAAGAGCTGGGCTGAGAGGGTTGCTGTGACAGTTTCTGATGAGAATCACGACGCGCACGCCTCACACCAAGTCTCTGTTTGCCAGTACATCTACACATGCAAGTACACCAACTGTGGTAGCACGCAAAAGTTGCCATGCTACAAGTTTTCTGTCACCAAGCCTCCTGGGTCCATCATCAACAGTGCCAGGACCAAGAACTGCGCTTGGTTCAAGTCGCCTTCTACTCATTTTGTATCTCAGTCTTTACCTGACTCTACCCAAGGCAAGCGCAAGAATGAGACAGCGCCTCCTGGGACTGCAAAGAAGGCGCGCAGGTGAATTATGTATTTACTTGACACTGTATGTACATAATTTGAATTGATTGAGGTATCACTTTGTCACACGTGTGATTTGGTAATGACACGTCTTGGTTTGCATGCACGTGATCGCGTCTCCTTCAAAACTTCAACTCTTCGGCCTGGTCTAAGGTTACGCGACGCATACTCACCCTTACCAAAAGCTCCTGACTTACGTTTTCTTGTCATCAATGGCTGAATGGTATGCTTCTTGGGAGGGAGTACTGACTCTCCACAAAGATCAGTTTGTAAATGAGAAGAATTCCCGTCAGAATCTCCTAAGACAGATCCGCAATGAAATTGTCGCAATTCATCGCACAAGACAGGATTCCGAGGATTTACCAAAGGGATTGAAAAAGGTACTGTTTTGTTGAGTATATAATGATACTGATATAATTATTATATAGGCTATCAGGAGGTACTACCTCCAGTTCTTAACTGCACGCTGATGATCGACATGCTGAGCAAGAGGTCTTGGGTGATGAGCCGGAGGAAGAACCATCTGGCGTGTCCCCTGAGGACAGAGAATTGGCGGCTCGTCCTAAGGACGCAGGGTTCTACAAGAAGGAGCTTAATGCTTGGGACGTCGCGCAGAAACTCTTCAAGCAGGAGATGGACGACTATGATAAGGAGCAGCAACAGAAGAAAGGCGTGCAACATTCTATTAAGTATAGGACTGGACATGCGAGGGAGTGGTTCAACAACATGACTTCTGCACATCGGAAGGAGGTTGAGGAGGCGAGGGACAAATGGAATAGGGAAGGTGCCCCAGTAGAAGCACAGGCGATGTAAATTGCCTTTTTTTTTTCAATTTCTACTATAACAACATTGACAGGTATCGAAAGAAAAGCCTCAAAAAAGTTCTCGACGATTTTACAGAACAGATGCGGCGTTCTATGGGTTGCCGAGTCGTGATGTTAGTCAGTCACAAGAAAAATGCCGATCAGACATTAAGTGTCAAGATGTGAGTATTTATCCACTCTCCTCAGGGTAAAATAATAATTTTATTGTTATTCAGTCATGAGTCTCAGCCTGTCAATCACATGAAACCGTTTAGCCTGAGTTCTCGAGGAAGCAAAGAGTGGACATCCGAAGGGTTTGAAAAATATGCCGAGTGGTCGAAGGAAGAATTTTGTAAGCTCTGTATTTTTGGGGATTGGTTCAGACTGCTCAATGACCGTGTATCAGACCCCACCAATGATGATGATGACTCCTCCGATGAAGACAGTAAAGATGGAAAAGATGCGATACCTGAAGTCATCTTGGACGAGCACGGGTTTGCAAAGCTCCCTTCCCGTAAAGGAGTGAGCCTCAGGGGGCAACAAGAGTTGGTTCGGCAAATTTTTCATGCATCTTACAGTGAGTTGCCGATCACTTCATCTGTTGATTTTAACTTGACTCAACTTCCGTTTTTCAGAAGTCTTCACTGGTAGCAAAAAGCCAGTACCTTGGCTCTCGATTGCCGGCAACCTTTTGGTGTACCTGGATCCAGACTCCATCCCTGATGGTTTCGTCGTGCAAGATCCGTCTCATTTGAAGGCGCAGGAAATAAACCATCTTTGGGGCCATTGGGAAGACAGGAAGGCCTCGAAACAGAAACTGGTTATTTTTGTCGGGGCCGTGAGTTCCCACATGAACAAGTCCCTGCTCGTCAATGCTGTCTATGTAGGCGAGAAAAAATCAAAAAAGAAGTATGTACCGGTCGACACTGATGATGAAGAGGAGGCTTCAGTGGCGCCTACGTCCACGAAACGTACAAGACAGCTGGCCGAGGCTAAGGCTTCCTCCAAGCCCAAGGCCAGCACAAGGCCCACCAAGAATTCAAGACCGCAGACCCAGGACAGCTCCGAGGATAGCTCTGATGATAATCTCACTCCATCGACAGGGCTGGTTAAGCGACCATCAGTTGGTCAAGAAGTCGTGCGCACACCAGCCACTGTGCCAAAGAAGGATCGGATGTCATTCTTACGGTCTCTCAGCAGCCACGACGAATATCTACTTTTGATTTCACGTCTCGGTGACTTGAAAAAGGTACGTTTGCGATTAATACCTGGATTGGTGAAACTTGATACTCACTTGACACAGGAACGAAGCTCTGAGGCAATGGAATGGCCCGCTTGGGCGACATGGAGTTGGGACAGATCACACCTTCCGAATAGTGTGCACTCAGACGAGCGTGAGTTGAACAAGTTCTTGGAGATAGTCCTCTCTGCAAAGATCTCTGGCTTGGAATCAGCCATGAAGGTCAGCCTAGGTCTTGGGATGCTGCTAAGAGAATGCAAGCGAGTTATCGAATATGAGGAGGACGAAGCTACCCTGAACACCCCCTCTTACCTTGGCACCTCTATTTTGAGTATCAAGACCCACGACCTCGTCATAGAGGCAATCAATACAGCCAGAGGTGGGGTTATGCGGATGCTCAAGGCGAAGGAAGGACAACATGCTGCCATTGCTGAGGCTGCTGGTGGTGAAGAACACGGAGCTGATACTGCCATTCGGACGATTTCAACCAGGGAAGAGAAAGAGGATGAGGGGACGGAAATGGAGGCAGATGAGTTGACAAGGAAGGTTGACAAGGAGTCGCGGGAGGTGGAGGAAGAGAAGAAGAAAATGGTGATGCTGCAGGAGGACATGAGAAAGCTGGAGGAGAGAAAGCGAGAGCTGGAGGAGTACAACCAGAAGCTGTTGAAACTGGTGGAGATCGAAAAGGACAGTGGTGGTAAGGATGATATGGAAGATAAGGAACAGCGTGGTGAGGAGGAGGAGGAGGAGGAGGAGGACGTCGTCGTCGTCGTGCAGAAAGGGAAGAAAAGAGGAAAATCTGGGGGATCTGGAAGACCATCCAAAAAGGCTACCACTGACAATATTCGTCGATCCAGCAGACCCAGGCAACCCTCAAAAAAGGCCATGCAAAAGTGACCTAGCATAGCACATTGTATTCTTGCTGTTTTGACTCATAGATCTACTTGATATTACTAGGCAAAGCAATATACATGATGGGGTGGCCGGTATATAGTTTACAAGGCCAGCCAAGACTATATACCTGATTTTATAAGTGGGGCCGGCCAGTACCTACCCTACATGGCCGGCCAGTACCTTTGTACATGCTAGTACCTGCCCTATGGGCTCGGCCAGCAACTCCTGTACAGTCGTGTACAGGAGTGCTGGCCGGAGGCTAGTTCTTGGTAGCATTCGGCCGGCACTCCCATACACGCTTGTATAAGAGTGCTGGCCGGAAGCTGTTTCCTGGTTGAGCTGGCCAGTACCTGCCCTGTGCACTCGGCCGGCACTCTCATACACAATTGTATAAGAGTGCTGGCCGGAGGCTGTTTCTTGGCAGCTGGCCAGTACCTGCCTTGTGCACTCGGCCGGCACTTCTGTACACCATTGTAGAGGAGTGCTGGCCGGAGGCTGTTTCCTGGCAGTACCTGGCCGGCACTCCCATACACAGTTGTATAAGAGTGCTGGCCAGAGGCTGTTTCTTGGCAGCTGGCCAGTACCTGCCTTGTGCACTCGGCCGGCACTTCTGTACACCATTGTAGAGGAGTGCTGGCCGGAGGCTGTTTCCTGGCAGTACCTGGCCGGCACTCCCATACACAGTTGTATAAGAGTGCTGGCCGGAGGCTGTTTCTTGGCAGCTGGCCAGTACCTGCCCTGTGCACTCGGCCGGCACTCCTTTACACGATTGTATAAGAGTGCTGGCCTGAGGCTTCTTCCTGGCTGAGCTGGGCAGTAAATGCCCTGTGCGCTCGGCCGGTACTCCTGTACAGTCGTGTGTAGGAATGCTGGCCAGTACTTCTCCTACAAGGCTGGCCAGTCCTCGCCCTACACATTCCCTCAGTGCCTAAGCAGAGTTCAAGGTACACTGGCCGTGCCCACTTCTACGAATCGGCCAGCCACATATCTACCTGGCCAGGCCGGTGCAGGCTGGGTCATATTCTACAGCCTTTTGGCACATCCGGGGCACCACTTCTACATCCAATGTGACTGAAGGGTCTGTAGCAGAATGAACTGTCTCGTGGATGAGCTTCGCGGAGTAGATGACGATGGCGAGCTGTTCGTTGCAATGGATCTTGAGTGGCCAGTGGATCGAGAGACCGGAATCTATGGCAAGGTTTCACTCATATCGTTTGCTTATGAGAAAGCCGTCTACCTCATCCCAGTGAGTCCTTCGAAACTAGTTTATTTTCCGTGACCGATTCAAAGCCCAAAAAAACAGGTTGCTCAATACACACAGGATGATGGCTTTCTGAAGTTGCCCTCGTCACTCCTTGTCGTGCTTCGCTCGAAGCGCATCCGTAAAATTGGGGTGCAAGTGAAGGGAGACCTGACACGCTTATACAACGACTGTGGATTCTCGAGCTCTGATGGGCTGCCATTTTCAGGTGCACTCGAACTTGGTCCAATGGCGAAGGATCGAAACATAACAGATCATGCACGTGTCAGCCTTTCTGACCTAACGGGACTTGTCCTTCGACGATATCTCGCAAAGGATGAATCTATACGTGTCAGCACAAGGTGGGATGACCCCGAGTTGTCTCCTGAGCAAGAGACATATGCTGCTCTCGACGTCTATGCAGCCTGGGCCATTTACAAGGCATTTTCAACCATCCCTTCTATTGGCCCTGTTACCCCCTCGACACCTGCTGGTACACATGTTCAACTCATGTCTCGTGTCGGCGGCCTCGCTGTTGCATATGGCTACATTTCTCGCCACCAGCCAAAACAATTTGACGGGGTGAATGTGACAAAGACTCGAGCTGTTGTAACCATCACATCGATCATGGTTCCTGCCTATCTTGTACGAGCCGAGCTCCTGAGCAGCCATCAAGAAACCTCACTGTCTACTCTTGGCACACAACTGCCCTTTTCGATGTTATGTTGTCGGAGAGACTTACGCACATGTGCAGCACACGACCAGACTCTGGATATGCACCAGCCACCTCCACCTCGACGTCAAGACATCGAAACACCCTATCATATGTCAGAGCTCGACACGACTCAGGCAGTTGACTTGGGTGAACCATCACTGATGGCAGAGGACGGGCTAGACACATCCTCATTGGAACAGGCCACAAGTGATGCCGAGAAAGATGCACATGGCCTTCGTCAGGCTGAATCACTTGCGGCACTCGTCTCTTGTGCCATGTCGATAGAGATCTCTGAAATCCGTTCCCGTGTTATTGGTGACATCTGGCATTTGATGGATCAGTTCAAAATTTCTCTCCACCATGGACTGCGGAGACCCTTTAGCCGTGCCCTCCGAGATGCCATTTTCCTGTTAGATCCTGAAGATCATGCTGCAGTCGAGAAGGTTCTAGAAACGAAGAACACATCTTTCAAACAAATGGTCCTCACACATTCAGACTGGGTGTGGCAGCGGGTGAAGCGGCTTGTTCCTCCACCAGAGACATTGGCTCCTCGTGTTGCCGAGGTTCTGCAAACCTATGGACCCTTGAAGGATGCTGTAACGGGGCAACCACTCTTCAACGACTCATCATGGGAAAAAGCTCGTGCTATAATCGAGAATATCAAGATGGGCTACTACTCGGATCCACCTGGCTACAGTTTCTATGCACTCGTCAGAACGGACAAGTATGGTCTCAATGTCTACAGGTGCTCACGTGGAACCAACAATGTTGAGGGCGGAATCCACCAAAACATCATCAGACGCTTTGGATCATTCAATGCATCTCCAAGGCTGACTGTGAACTTACTTCGCGATTATACCCTGACTCATAATCTCGAGGTAAGCATGTGTTATTTGTGGCTCACATCATGATCTCATACTACTACACAGGTGGGCAGTATGAACCGTACGGGGAGGCCCTACCTCGGTTCACATGATATATGGACTCGTAATCGGATTGCTCGCCTCGTGGACATCACGGCCGATGTGGTAGAACCGACATACCGTGATTCCGGGCTGGCCAACTGGCTCAACGGAGATGATTTCGAGCCAGCGAGAGAGTCCTTCGGTATCTTACCATTCACTCCAGCCACTCGTGCGAAGCTTGGGATGAGTCCTTACCAGGCTGAGTATGCCAAGGGTTGCAAGATAAAACACGACTATCTAGCAGGACAGCAACAGACACTTGTCGCTGTCCTACCTGTCCACACAGTCGAAGAAAAGGCCCTTTACCGGCTGCTTCTCAAGAACAACACGGGCCAGTTTTCGGGGAAAAGGCAACCCAACTGGATCACGCTTGCGCAGGAATGGCAGCGCCACGCAAATGGGACGAGTATATTTTACAAAGTAAGCAGAGTTCTGCCTCAGAATTTATTTTTCACTCACATGTCTTCTGCGCGCAGCTTCCAGAGCACCTAAAGTCTTACTTCAAGATCTGGAATGAGCATCAGAACGAGCAAAATTCAGTAGAGCAGAATAAGAGTGCTTACGACGAACTGCAAAAGCTCCTCGCTGTACCCGTTGGAATGCCCGAGATCACGCTGGCACAACGCGAGACTGTCGCTGACCAGATTCTTGGTAGTGCGCGGCCAGCGGCCAGTGACGAACTTTCTGACTGGCAGATTGGTGTCATACTGGGCCGTAGCAGCTCGCGGCAAACACTCTTGCAGTTGCAGTACGACAATCCTGCTCCCACAGGAACACGCGGACAGAAATGACCTGCGGAAGACTCGGAGTTGATGGGCAGGCCCATCCACGTGAAGCAGCGTGCACAGCGTACATGCAAACGGTGCTGCAAGGCTGATTGTCCAGGGAAGTTCAGGAGTCGGCCATGCAAGTACAAGCCAGTGAGTGTTGCATTCGATTCGAAAGACGGGAGCCTAAAATGATGTTCAGTCCAACGGCGACGGTCAACAGTCGCTAGACTCACTGCAGCGTGACACTCTGTGTGGTCCCGCACGGCAAAGCGCACCACAGCATCCTGACACTCCAGCAACAGGGCTGAGTGCACCATTCTCAGTTCAGAACGTAGCACGCACCGAAAATGTACCATACACATTTTTCTACCCCTCGGCAGCCTTCAACATGGGCGGAAACTCAGTTTTTACTGTTCCGCCTGCTCCACACCGCATGTCAGACGGCACAATTAGAACGAGCACAAGTGCCCAAGCATCCACAAGCAGGGTCGCAAACTCACCCTCGATTCACGCTGACACAATGACGGACCACGAAAACAGTCTTGCTGGAGGAGGATGACATGGCGGATGACGGTGTGAGGTGGGAAGTACAGCGGGAATCTTGTGAAAGCGGGTGGGAAGCTTGATGGGTTCAGGATTTGATGGATTTCGCGGAATCTTAGTGTTTACTGTTTAGGTTATCACATTCACATTCCCAATAATAAGTGATTTCATTTACCGTGTACGGCACATTTGACAAAGTGCCTCGAGCCACTCTATCGAAGCGTTGCAAGGTATGTCTTCCCCCTCCTTCCCTCCTCCTCAATTTTTTTTTATTTAATTTATTTAATTTTGCCACCCGCCACATATATAGTTCAAGTGCCGTTGGATTGGACTCCGATCTGAGTATACACCAAGTATTAAATAATGTTGCTGTCTATATGTAAAAAACGAAAAGGCCTACGTATACGTACTATTTCTTGTCCAGTGCGTTTAGATCCCTACTGGTCCTTTCGTCTGTCACCCCCAGTGAGAAACGGTCCTAGCCGTATCGACGGAAACCGACCGAAATATCGCGACAATATTTGCGTCGATTTGGGGAGACGGATGAGACTTATATGATATTTTCAACGACTCGCATCGAGCAAGATATTGCAGAATAGAGCGTGTTTGCGTAGCGTAGATTCTAGTATATTGTAGTAGCTCCCAATTGACCTTCTGTGTAAATGCACATCGACGCAAATCGAGTGAAAACGATTATATTGCAATAGAATTACAAATGCAATAACAGTGTACTCTATACACCAATCTGACATCCCCGCCCGCGCATCTGGATGATGTAGCCCAGCTTCTGGCACGTCCTAGTAACACATAATGTCCACATTCTGGGAGTCCTTGACTGAAACATATCGTTGTTAGATGTGCTCGCCAGGCAAGTAGACAGTACTTACCATAACAGCTACCGAATTCGTGGCCATGTTGAATCGGGACAATGATATTAAGCCAGAAATGTTTCTGATATGATGTAAAACAGTCCGAGAATGAACCTGACGATGCCAGACAACTCACGATGTCTGAAAATGCGCGCATATATATAGTCATGCGTCAGACGGTGCCGGGATGGTCAAGGTCGACAGCAAGGTTTTGCTGAGAGGAGGAGATGATGGAGGGGAAGAAGAAAGCTCAGGTGAGTTGAGTGGGGATGGAATGCCCCAATATATATATCATAATTGGCCCACTGTGTGTCGACGTCATTGCGCGCGCGAAGTAATGGTGCGTGCGCAGCTGATGCGTAAGAATGCTCAAACGTTCAGAACGTTCAAATATTGAGCAAAGTCAAGCCGCAGTTGAAAGAATTTCAACATGTTCAACCAATGTTCAACGGATTTTTACTCAATGGATCAACGGCACATTCCACTTTCCCGATTTGCGTAGCTCTCGCGATATTGTTGGCACATTTCTCATATTACCGTCGTTTGCCATAGATATGGCTAGGACCGTTTTTCACTGGGTGTCACCTTGCAACCGTTTGAACAAAGCAGCTCCAAAACATGTCAACGTCACTTGCGTGTTCTTGGTCGGTTTCCCCTCGCGCCGACTGTACTTTCCACCGACTTGGATTTATCCAAGGCGAGCCGCGCAGCGTCAAGCACTTGTAGTCTAATAAAGTTAGGGGTTTACCCGAAAGTGGTTCAGGTCAAAGGAAAGCCAAACAAAGAGCACGCGTCCAGTGAAAGAACATCGTACTCACTGAACTTCGCGAGAAGCTAATCAACTAGCGACATCGTCCGGGGTAAAGCAGAGATGTCCGATATCGCTTCTCTCCTTCAAGCCTCCCTCCAGCCTGCACATAGGAAACGAGCAGAACAGCAATTACGTTCACTTGCATCACAGCAGGGATTCTTGGCACACCTCCTTACGCTGATCCTCAACGGATCCTACGATCGCTCAACGCGCCTAGCAGGTGGAATATATCTCAAAAATGTTGCTAAACTACGATGGGAGGAGGTGGGTAATACCGCTTCTCTGATCATGCTCATTCATCTCATCTGTGGTTCAAAAAGGACGATGCGCCCCTCCCGGAAGCAGATAAAGCAGCCCTCCGCTCTCAGCTCGTCCCGGCCATGATTACATTGTCAGATCCTGCAGATAAAGCAATTCGTGCTCAAATTGCTGAGTCTGTCGCTCTGATAGCCGAACTTGACTTTCCTGTAAAATGGACTGATCTCATTGACGTGCGTTATCCTCGTTAAACCACAGGCTCATTGTCTAACGCTTTTACAACAGCAACTCGTCTTATCACTCTCCCAAACGGACTACAGTATCAATGTCGGTGTCCTGCAGACTGCTCACTCCATCTTCAACCAGTGGCGAGCCCAAGTCCGCTCGGACGAACTGTTCACGGAGATCAACTTCGTGTTATCGCGTTTCATCCAACCTTTCCTTGATCTTTTCAACCAGACTGCAACCATCCTGCTTTCCTCCCCTGCTCCGCCTAATCTTGCTATCGTTACACAAGCTCAGATCATTCTCATTGATATATTCTACGACTTTACGTGTCAAGATCTACCCCCGGGTATCGAAGATGCCCACGACGCCTTCTTCGCTCCACAAACTGGACGCTTTCAGCGTTTCATGTCATGGGATCCTCCAGAGCTTCGAGTCGATGTGAGCAACGTCTTTGCGGTCCATTGCTAATTACTGACCTGTCGTTTAGCCCGATGAAACACAGCCATCGCTTCCTGCTCAGTTGAAGACCAAGATTTTTGAGATCGGCGAGGTTTGTAACAGGTCGGAAACGAGCGAACAAATGCTGACTTATGTAACAGCTTTACATCAAGCTTTTCCCAGACCAACTATCACGCTCTCCTGCTGTTGAAGGGTTTGTACAGAGTGTATGGGAGCTCATCGGGTCGAACAAGCTTCCTGGCGTCGCGGACGACTCTGTATGTTTTCGGTTTTTCTTTGTTTCGCTATCTAGCAACCTGATTGGCGCCGGCTGAACAGCTTGTCTCTCAATCTCTGCGTTTTATATCCACCGCTATTCGGTCGGGTTACTACAAATCGCTATTCTCTTCGCGCGATACTATTGCCTCTCTCGTACAAGGCGTTGTCATCCCTAATATTGGACTACGCGACCATGAAATGGAGCAATTTGAAGATGAGCCACTTGAGTTCATTCGGCTTGACTTGGCTTTCGGAGGTAGTGCATCAGAAGTAGCAACTCGACGCCAGGCAGCCGCAGACGTGCTACAAGCGTTAGTCAGCTCGGGATACCAAAGTGAGGCCACGGAAATTGTGGGGACATGGATCACCTCCGGATTGCAGGAGTACAATTCGAACCCCGCGCAGAACTGGAAGGCGAAGGACAGTGCCATATACTTGCTCACTGCTGTGGCAACAGAGGCATCGACAACACAGGTGAGCCAGTTTTAGTTTTTGACATGAGCGCTACGATCTGACGCCAAGAAAAGCATGGTGTCACGTCGACGAATGCATTAGTAGATGTCGTGAAGTTCTTTTCCGAGCATGTGTACCAGGATCTGCAAGCATCGGGTGGCAGCATCCATGAAATCCTTTATGTTGATGCGATTCGATTCCTTTTGACTTTCAGGAACCAGGTTTGTGTATTCTGATACGAGCTAACGCATCAGCGCTGCTCACACTTCGTCCAGCTGACGAGAGATCAACTTCTGTCGGTCCTCCCCCTGTTGGCTCGGCACTTGAATGCGGACCACTATGTCACGTATACGTATGCTGCGATAACAATCGAACGTATACTCTTCATCAAAAAGGGGAAGCAATTGTTGTGCGTCCGTATTCGTGTGCCGGAAACCTTGCGCTCACGCTTTGCAGGTTCTCACAAGCCGATATTCACGACCTCGCTGCTGACTTGCTCAATACACTCCTGAACAAGATAGAAGCTGCCGGCCCTCCTGAAAAGGTTGCCGAAAATGACCACCTCATGAAATGTAAGTCGATCATATACCCTGCTGGCGAGTGCTGACTCCCGTGTGCAGGCGCGATGCGCATAATCGTCACCGCACGTCAAACTCTTACTCCTGTCTATCAACAAGTCCTGCAACGACTGGTCAACATCCTTGGCGTCATTGCCAAGAACCCAAGCAATCCCAATTTCGACCAGTACATATTTGAAAGCATATCAGCGCTATTGAGGTACGCCTTCGCTTTAGACTGGGAATCTTGGCCGACACTCTCTTTGTAGGTTTGTTGTGAGCGGTACACCTTCCACTCTACCTACATTCGAGCAGGCGCTCTTCGGCCCTTTCACGTTCATTCTTCAGCAGGACATAGACCGTAAGGAGCTATACTATAACTTGACCCCTCATTATTGATTTCATCTTTAAGAGTATATCCCTTACGTCTTCCAAATTCTCGCTCAGATGCTAGAAGCGCATACCACCGGCGTGCCATCCGAATATCGCTCCCTCCTCCCATTCCTCCTCACGCCCACATGCTGGCAACAAAAGGGCAGCATCCCTGGTCTTGTGAAGCTCCTTAAAGCATTCCTCGCCCGCGACGCTGCCGAGATGGTCAAGACGGGACAGATCACAGCTGTGCTGGCCGTTGTCCAGCAGCGCCTAATACCCTCCAAAATCAACGATGGCTGGGGCTTTGAACTTCTGCAGGGTGTTGTGCAATATGTGCCTCCGTGAGTCTGTCGTGCTTTTTGCTATGGTGAAATGGGGATTGACAGCGCTGGCTGGTTAGAGCGCAGCTAAAACAGTACTTCAAGGCACTCGTCATGACATTGCTCACAAGGATGCAGACGAGCAAAACGGATAAATATGTTTATCTCTTTTCGCACTTCCTCCTCTTCACAATGGCCATCAATGTTGACGGGCTTGGGCCGGACTATGTTATATCCGCTATCGAGGAGATTCAGCCACAGTGAGGCGCATCTAGCTCTTAATCTCTGTTGCATCGCTCATCTTTATCTATCTCATTTTACAGGCTTTGGTCACAGATTCTTCTCAACTTCATCGTCCCGCAGGTGCCGAAGATGCCGCACAAAGATAGGAAAGTCGCAGCCGTCGGTCTCATCCGCATGCTCACGCAGAGCACGATCATGCTTACGCCTCCGAGCGCGCAGAGCTGGTGAGTCGCGCCCCCCTCCCCTTCACACTATAATTCACGGTTTTCACAGGCCCCAAGCATTCGTCTCCGTCATCAAGCTCTTCAGCGAGCCACAGTATCTCGCCAAATCTAAAGACGAAGAACAGAGTACTGGCATAACGGAGATTGACTTCGAGGAGCAGACTGCGGGGTACCAGGCTGCGTATTCGCGTCTCGCTGCGGCAGACGGCGCGCCTGTGGATCCCGTGGCGTATGTGCGCAACCCGCAGGACTTTTTGGGGCAGGCGCTGGTGAAGGCGGACCCGCGCGTGAAAGGATTGCTGGCTGCGGGTGATGCGAAAGTGGTGCAACCGTTTTTGCAGGCGCTTGCGGCGTCGGGATACGCGATTCAGTAGATTGGCTGCCGTGTATTTGGGGTATCATTTGCATGCAGGACGACACAGTACTGTATACTCGCTCCGTCGGATGTGCATGCATGATGTAGGTGTATAGCTAGTCAATATCATCAATATCATATCAATTTGACTGGTGCTGTTGCGTGGAGGTTTTTAAAAGGTGTGCATGCGTACGACAACCTCCATGAGCCTTGGAAATGCATTGGGTTGCTGCATATGACGTGACGCGACTGCCACCGATCGCGACTCACCTAATAATTACCGTAGTACACAGCCAACTCACTCATGGGATACTCATGTCGATCAGGCGGTCTAACCATACTACACAAAATCCATCTATACCAAATATGTACTGTATACGTGCATGCGGACGGGTCAGTACTGTCTAGCTAGTGCTAGTAACAAGAGGACACGGAATTTGAAGGCAATATTTTGCCTGCATAGTATCAGCAGTGCCGCACGCGATGAAGTCAACCACTCGATCAAGACAAGAAGGGAACAGTGGGGTAAGCAAGCCTGCTTCGAGGAGTCCTCCCGCCCCGGGCCTTGGCGCGTACTCCAGCAAGCACTCAATCTCCCTCAATTTTTGTTATGATTCCTGCAGCACGCTTTCCGCAATGAAACGGGGTCGCCGTGCAGGCACACGTACTCGTTCGCGTTCAAATCCGCAAATGCCAGCCAACATCGGATATTGATTTCAGTTCAACGACGAGTCTGGTCTGTCTATCGTGTGATCGGGTGCGGTAATATACAGTGCAGTGTTTGTGTCCTACAAGAGGGTTCGGTTCGGGGTTGTATGTGGGGGGTGGCATCACAGTACACTATAGCTAGCTTCAAAACATGTCCGGCGGGGCGTGGCGCGCGGGAGGTATGAGGGCCTGCATCATGCCAGTTCTGAAGCGATGGTGTAGATGCTGGGACAGGCGTACTGCGATGGCGGTCAGGTACGGCCAAGAAGATGAGAACAGGATCGCCTACGTCGTCATTATCGACCAGTTCCCGTAGCTCAAGACGAGAGTTTAGACTTGTAGGGGTGAGGTTTTGGCTTGTTGAGGTGGGGAAATGGACTTACACACTGAGGAAACTATTCAGATAACCTGTAATACAAGTGGATAAGATGATGACCAAAGATGAAGCGGGGGGGCGCACAGTGGCTCATGAGGATGTATGGTACAAGAAAGGCGCCGTTGTGGGGGCATACGAGAAACTGAGGGGAGGGTTTGTGAGTGGGATCATCTCTTCCGACGAGATGCGCACCAGAATGAGAAAGAGTGTGACGTCTATACTAGAATGACAAGTTAGTCGTAAACAAGGCTGCGCGGGGGACAAACTCACCTAGTTATCAAGCCCACATTGACAACAAGCACGCTCAATCTGGTGATGAGACCACCAAGTCTTGACGAAAATGAGTCCATTGGACTGAAAAATGATAGACGGAACATACCTTCCTATCCCGGTTCGGGACTTGTGGAACAAGTACACTTGCGTAGCGGCAATAAGGACGTCACATGCCATCGAAGATAAGTAAAAACTAGAAGCAGGCAGCTGAGGGTCGTGTAAGGTTTGGAAGTTAGCTGATAGATGTGGAGGTGAGCTTACGTTGCTAACGTGAGTGCTATCCCACAGGGGATTGCGGACACTTTGGGATATGTGAGGGTCGATTCGTTAGATGTTGGACTAAGCAAGCTCACGTTTTGACAACCATTGCTGCGGTAGGTTTGAATAAGAGATGATATGTAGTAGATCGAGAATTTGAGCCTACCTACACCAGATCCTGTGTGTAAGTTAAGAATCAGCCATGTCGCAGTGACAGCAAATTATTTTTACCTAGCGCAGCCAATGCCAAAAGGACCTGCGGCGCGGGCACTATGTGTAAACGGGGACACAAACGCAGACTTCCTAGACTTACTATGAAAAATGTGACTAGAATGTTTCCAAAACTGACTAGAGAGATTTCAGTGTGTATTCCCAAGATTGTTAGCGTGAAGCTCACGTCGCCATATACGATGAGCATATGTCCTGGAATAGGGAATGAATGCTTATCGCGGTATAAATCCAATAAAAGACATACAATTGGACCATAAATGCTATTATTGACTGTGATAGGGTGAGGATGCTTCTGACTGAAAGGGACGATGAAGAACGTACAGTAATGCCCATAGATGCCTGTAATGAGTAGTTACGACACTGTAATATGATGAAATACAAGAAGCGCACCTCAAATGCTCTAGTCAAAAATAAGTATGAGTAGAATGGCGTGTGGAAAATGACATACTTGGATACATGGGAAGTCATTTTGATATCACCTTGCCACAGTATGGTGTAGTGATATATTGATGCGGCGACAAGGGCGAGCTGGGCGGTGTCCAACACCCTAGGAAATGTGAGTTACGGTGGAAAAAGAGTTTGGAGCGACAGACCAGAGAAAGGCTACCTGGAAAAGACGATTGAGATTTAGAATTGGGGATGGAGTAGATGATAATCACCAAGGCCTTCATAGACCGTCTGTCTTTTGGAAAAGTTCTGAAATAACACCAGGTCTGGGCGAGAGTAAAGCCATAGAACCTGGTTAAAAAAGAGATTGACAAGGGATGTGAGGATGGAGTGTGATAGGCTCACATGCTAGAGAGGATGACACCTGATAGCGAGAGTTAGTAGGATGATGGATAGAAAAGTGATACTGACCGATGAAATGTGAAGCTAGGACGGAGAGAGTATCGATCATGGTATCGAATGTGAGGAGGGTGAAGGGATGGGTCGGATGAAGGGGGACATTCTGATATGTTGAGGATCGACTAGGATGGATATACGTGCCGTGGTCTACGGAGCGCTTCGACGAAGGACATGAAGGACTAGAGAAGCTAAATTACATGGAAGAGGCATTCCGACATCCGCCAAAAAAAAGGACTACTAATAGTATTAGTATCAGGACCCATCAAGCCAGATTCAGTTTAATATTAATTAATTGGCTCGCATCGACGACATAATCAACCTTGTCCTAGTCTCCAAAGTCCCATGTACGCTTCCGAGGAGATCTGGAGGGGAAGGACAAGTCTGATTGAAGAACTTGGAGTTCACAACAGGCGTCTGATCGAGTTACTATGTTGCTGTAACCGACAACTTACTTCGCCTCGTTACGATTCTTCCTCGACTCCTCGGTACAATCCATCCGTAATTAACCCATCCTTGTCCGACGCTTGCCTACGACTGAAAATAGCGTGGCCAGTTCATGGATCGTGGGTGGTTCTAACCAGAATATCACTCTCTTATATATTCAAGGGAACACCCTTGACTGCCAGTCTTACATTCGAGATCCCCCCTGGTTCCTGTGCCACTTCCTGTGGGATCCATGTGCTCTTTTCATATCACCTACGATGCATGTCGTCAGTTGATATCAGGATCTCGTTTAAATTTACAATACCATGTGTTGCCACGATGGAATAAGGCCTCTGATTTGGAGGAGACGGGCTTGGCACAGGTACTGGAGGCATTGGACAAGTGCGCACAGCAAAAGTGATCCTTGCGCTGAAGCATTCCTTGGTCAGGGTGACTGACGTGGAACAGCGCGCAAGGGACACGGACCGCAAGCATCAGGGCGTTAAGACCACTCGAGCCATCTTATGAGCTTCCCTTGCCCTGAATTAAGTATATCACCCCTCAGCGCGACTTCCCATGCCCAGAATGATTCACGTGTTCTGATTGTTCCTTCATTCCATCGCACCTCCGGCAAGCTTTTTGCTTTTTTATGCGATTGGCTATCTGATTTGCAGGCAAACGTGCATTCGCTTTCTTGTCTCCTCTAGAACTAGAATTTCCGAATATAATACGCACTCGCGCCTGTGTTCCTCAGACTAAGTACTCGAACCCTAGAGTTCCCGAGTCGGAGACAACAGTTTGATTTATACACCCCGCTGCACAGGACGAGCCAGTGGACTTCACCCCAAAGTTGAAAAAACACATGACTTGCCATCTTTGTTCTGCGAGGCACTGACCCTTTAAAGTTCCTCGAAAGAAGACGGCCGTTCAAATAACGCACCCCTGATCATGGTTTAGGATACTATTAATCCCCTTTTCAGAGTCCTTTCGTCAGTCGAAGACAATGAAGCTGGGCGCCACAAGGTCTAACGACATATACCTTGCGCGCTGTTGATATTCGGTCGCATAACAGGGCATTCTCTGCGCAGATAGGCCTCGCAAGATCATCTGACATGTAAGCCGAAGAATCAGGCATCTCCCCTTTTCCCCCGGGAAGAAACAAGCCAACAAAGGAGCATCTGATACTCCTTGACAGTGTGATCATATTATTGACGATCTTCATCCTTTGTGCACCGGGCTTATCCAGGGCCCGCAGATTTAACGCTGTCGGGGACGGTAACATTGCAAAATTACAAAACCGTCCCTGCACTCGCAAAAGACCTGCGCCGCTGTCGTAGGCATTGGCACATGTTTCTTGATCAGTCTAGGTTCGAATATCTGTCATGACTGAATGCGACGCGTTGATCAACTCCGTCCATTCAACTTAATCATGCGACTGATATTCGCATTTGATCATTGAATGGTGGTGACCTTGCCTGCACGTACAGGCAGGACAGAAGCCTCGAATGGTGCCTGCAGCTCGACATTGAGCTAACTAAGGAGACCTGCTGAGTCGCAACATCGTCCCGAATGGGGTATGCCTCTATCCAGTCTTCTACAGGGCTAGACTCTTTCGTGGTCATGGAAATAAACATCTTATAAGCATCTCTCGAACCTGGTTGTAAAATTCTCGTTACTCTGATGAGCATCTCTTTTCATTGGAGAATGTTGAATATTTCTGATCGAGTCAGATCCGATGAACAACATGATGCGGAAGGGGATCGCTTTCCGTTGTGTGAAATAGCAATACCGTGACATAGTAGAAGGGATATCCATCCATGAGATCATGAAATGTAATCGTCAGGACACATAGAGGCATGGAGTTTGTAGCGGAGGCACAGCAACATGGAAGAGGAAATGAACATTCATAGAAGACTGATTGGTAGTGTGAGGATAGGTCCTGCCTTCCGAAGCTGCAAGAATCGCGCGAAGTTGCTCCATTCAGTTCGCATCTGCTCCCATTTCCAACTCACGTTGTCTCTCAACTTTCTCTGCGCACATCTGGTCAGCTTTCGCTGGCGAACTTCCACCAAACCTGGCAAGAACACTTCCACCCTCTAGTGCAAGGACAATGACCATCGATAAAGGAATATCATGATATTTGCTGAGAATAGCCCACCTTTGCTCGTTCAGCTTCGTGACGTTGCTCTACCCGCTGGAGCAACTCCAACACCACTCTGACTGATAAAATCACATACAGCCTTGACACCCTGATCTGGTAGATCCCGCGGTAACAGGGGCGTGGACTACATGTTTCCGGCACAATTCTTCATCCCATAGACAGGTTTTCTAAGCTCCTCCTCACGGAAGCACTCGTGCTCATGCAGATGACATGCGGGGGGCTGACGGTGTATCGGAGATAGGACCGCTGATACCTCGAATACTGAAGGCACAGAAGATGAAGAAACTGGGAGGGTACAAAGCATTTTACAAAGCATTTTGCAGTGATGACAAAGTATCGTACTGCCAGGTGTCATAAGCGCAGGCTTCGGTTGATATCGATGAGGGATCAATCGGTTCCAACGACCCTTTGGATGAGGTGTCTTGTTGGTACATAGAAACCACAGCCTCGGCAGAAGTGCCTTTGGTCCCGTGGCTGGGATGCAACACGAGGAGCTCGCGTTCCACACCATTAGTACGTCTGCGATACTCGATGCGGCGACGTAGTGAACATTTATGTAACACTGATTATCTCGATTCTTGTCCCATTGATTTGAAGAATCCGCTATCCGGGAATACCATTCAACGGAACCACCTGCATGGGATACGGCCCACCTGGACTGTGGAACAGCAGGTAAATGAGTTGAGAAGGGGGTTTTGATACGAATGGAGGAAGGAGCGTGGCTAGGAAACTGCTGATGCTGGAGCGGTTTCGGTAAGATATTTGAGCTCAGTCGTTTCAAGTAAAGGTAAGGAGTGGAGGTAAGGAGTTCAGCCTGCAGCTGCCAGTGTAATTGCGACCGTCCATGACAAGTCCATAATGCATGATGAGCCGGCGAACAGTATATGTAGAGTCTAGACCATTAAGACTTGACCACATTTAATACGTACGCGGCCACGCAGAACCAACAAGCTAGGATATCGATAAACATTCGAGGCCCGAGCCACCCTTGATCGAGGGCATGCAGACTTTGTTCAAACGAGTTGCATCCTTGTGGCCTCCTTCCTCGAGCTTCAAGCTTCAGCCTTGTTCCCAAGTTGCCAACCGAGCCAGTGCTCAATTCTCGATTGTAATCGCGAGTCAAGACCATGCCGCCAATTCAGTGGAAGCAATAGGTTCGCAAGTTGATTTTTAGTGGAAGAGATCCACTGCGTGGTGCCGCCACACTGTTCGACCATCGACGTTCCGACGTTGAAGCTTGAAGGACGACGAAGAGGCAAACCAAACGACAGGAAACCGAACGCGGCGGGAGGGCGGGCGCGACAGATTCCCATTTACAGTTTTTACCTGCCAAGTGTAAATTTCGTCAAATAATCTAACTTAGTTTGCTCGTCGTTTCTCACGGCTGCTCGCTGTGCGTGGTTCCACGGGTTACCATATACGGATAGGTACTGTACAGTTTTACGCCGTACGCACAACACTTTCTGACCGTCTTTCAATTGGTATGGATATGAGTATCCAATAAACATTCCAGAGTTGTGTCACGCTTAGCTTGATGGAGCGCGCACACTTGTGGTGTCTGTTTTGGAATCAAGAAGTACATATGTCGGATATCCCTGTTCCTCATGCGTTTTCACAATATCTAAACAAGTTCCATCCGCTCTCAATCCTCTCTTCCAAGTCGAACCGTGCCTCAAAGCGAGTCCCCGCCACACGTGACTGCATTTACATACAGTACATGACGTACAATTTGCAAACCCCAGTACGTTTGGTCGCCGATCATGATCACTACTTACTTCCCTTCCATCAGAAACTATACACAGGGAGATCTTTCTATGGCGCTACGCTCAAAACATTATCTTCACGTTCTTTCGACACGGAATCAGGACAAGCGGTTACGCCCTCTCACGAGCATGTTCGTAAGGGCAAAACCCCCCGTGGTCGGATCTTGTCTCCTGCGTAATCAAGGCCATAAACTTACAAAACGAGCTGTATCGCATTTTGTGACACTGGAACGAGCCGTACATTGCTGTGGTACTCGGTGCGGCTCGCCTGGCTGCCGGTGGTTTGGCGTTGGCGTTGCTCGGGTGCTGCGTTTGCGGGTTCGGAGCCGCTGGCCAACAAGTGGCACGACCATGGCACTCTCATCTGAACATATCAGCTACCTCGCCCAGACATCGGCATCTTATCGGTCAAATTGAGCATCTCTCGCACCGTATGTGACTGTTCTGTCCATTGAAGGCCTTATCACACCGCCTTCGTTGAGAACCGGGAGGCTTGAACAAGTTCAGCCACTCTCCTGACATTTCAGTTCACGTCTCGTTCTCTCTTGAAGTTTAACCTGTTTTCCCTCTTTATACAGGCCCATGCTATATCTCTTGCTACACGTTCAATCCAGTAAGTCGATCTCCCTGAGATGTTGATGAAGTAGCGAATTATATCACTCGCGTTCCTTGCGCGTTCCAGCTTATGTTTACACTTGTTTACGCAATACGCGCCCATCCTCGAAATTTCTGTTCCTTTGCTGTATTGACAAGCAATCTCTTATCCCCGCCGCCCCCCCACGCTCGTTTGACAATCCATCGCCTCAAGATGCTATGCTTACCCTCAAATCTCCCGAGAGTATTAAGGGGTCTGTCCCTTCAAGCAGCAAAAGACACTGCATCCAACTGTGGCAGTTGGCTAGTCCACGAACGGATCCGTCTAGCTAGGAGATGTATTTGTTCTTGGAATGCTCTACTGCGTCGGGGGATATGACACGTCTCAATCAGATTGTTTACCTGTCACATCAGACGAAGAAGCTACGAATGACTTATTATGCTTCAAGTGATGTTATGAAGAATCGGTGCCGTAGCTAACACTTCCTTGTTCCATAATTATCAGCCGTATCATGAAATTGATCATTAGCTGATTCGCAGTGCTTCGGAGCCATAGCCAATGTGGTATCAATGCGCGATGTTATCAACACGTTCAATCCATGGTACTTCAGACGATCTCATCAAGCTCTGGTGAACTGGAACAGTGCGGCAGATGAGACGGGAAGTAATACGCATGGTCACGGGTGATGTTCGATGATGGATGATGCATTGGTGATCCAGAGAGTGCGGCTCTGATGTCGACCTATTCATGCTGCGGAGATTACCGCTTCGTGCGATACCCCCCGTGTGGTCTTTAGCAAGTGACAAGTACTGGCTCTGCAAAAACGACAAATTATGCGTCTACTGGCAAAGCTATACACTAGCGTCACATCGGGCATGTGGCGCATAACTTTGTAGTCCTACCCAGAAATCAACCGATAGCTGGCAAAATCATATTTACTGACCGGGAAAGGTACCTGCTAGAACGCGATCAACCATTTCCACGGACAGCCCCGTGTAATTGGCTGGATCACAGAGCCTCTCAAGCTCCTCCCTCGACAGCCCACTTGCCCGGACTTTATCATCCGCATATAGGAGTGTCAACAAAGGGACATCCTCCTGTACGCACCGCCTGCACAGTTCATATACTAAATCGTGCGCGAACTGCCGTCCTAATTTTGGAGCGAGCCCCATCATGACAGCCTCACTTACCACGCCGCCTCTTGTGATATCTAAATTCCTCTTCATAGCATCCGAATGGACTTCCAACCCCGCAATGAGTTCGGACGTTTTCAATAATGCAGCGTGCGTGAGAGTGCAGATCTGCGGGAGCACGATCCACTCAATCTCCCAAGGCCCCGTTGCGCGCTCATGATCCTCGACCATGGCATCATACAGCGCTGCAGAGAGCTGACGGACAGTCGCACTCATAGCAGTGATATACACGCTCGAGATGGGATTACGCTTCTGGGGCATCGTCGAGGAAGAGCCGCGGTGTGGATAGAACGGCTCTGAGACCTCCCCGACTTCCGTTTGCATCATAAGCTTGACGTCCAAAGCGAATTTAGAGCAGGTCCCCGTGAGAAGGGCGAAAAAGCCGCCAACCTCGGCGATGCGATCACGTTCTGTGTGCCACGCGATCTCCGGGATTGCCAGACCTAATTTCTGAGCGAGGGCTGCTTGACATTCGAGACCCCGACCATCTTTGATGGTGGCGAGTGTCCCGGCAGCGCCGCCGAACTCGAGCACGAGGAGACGAGATTTGATTTCAGCAAGGCGTTGTTTGTGTCGCTCAAAGGTGGCAAGGAGGCGGGCCATTTTGAAGCCAAAGGTCATGGGCACAGCTTGCTGAAGATTGCTGCGAGCCGCCATAGGAGTTGCTTTGTGGGTTTGGCAAAGACGGCGGAGATCCGAGGTAATAGCGTTTAACGCGTCTGAGACCAGATTAAGAGTATCTCGAAGTTGCAAGATTGTTGCGGTGTCTGTGACATCCTGAGACAATGAAGATATGAAACCTAGAATGATAAGAGCGCATGTTATGTACCTGGGTGGTAGCACCCCAGTGGGCCCATTCGCCTAGGCCAGGTTCAATAGAGTTTACTCCTTGGACTATCTGTTTGACTACACCAAGGACGGGATAGCCAATTGTTTCTGTCTGTATTCTTAGTTCATCGAAGTCTATGTTGGTGACATGGGAGAAAGCGAGGATGGCATCGGCAGCCTTGCGAGGAATGATTCCAATATCTGCCTGGACAGAGGCCAATGATGCTTCGAAGAGGAGATAATAAGAAGTGCGTTGGGTGTCTGACCAGATGGAAGATATGGCTGGAGTTGAGAATATGTTTCTGAAGATGACTGAATCAGTTACGGAGGACATGGCTACTCATCGATCGATATCAGTATCAGTACTTGGTGGGCGTGTCAACGTTCTTCCCCCCGTTAACGTTGTTTTGACATGAGTCGTTGCTTCCGAATCAAGCTGACAGAAGAAGTGGAAGACTCAAGGCATCTATACCAAAGTTTTGGGAATTGAAGTGCGCCTGCGCTCGTTCGCATCGCCCCCCACGCCGAGTACACTCGTCGCTCCCCACGCCGAGTACGCTTGTCACTGTGCAGTGTTCGGGGATGACTCGGGGTGCACAACGGTAGGCAAATTGCAGCTCGGGCATGATTTCGGGCATGGATGCCCTGCAGTGTTTGGCGGTGTTTAGCGTCATATGCCGTTAATGTTTAAAGTCCGCGAGGATTATGATGTTCTTCGGTTTCATGATGTAAATGTATTGTCCTTAATGTGATTTCGGGCGGAGGATGAGGACCATTTTGATCACCCTGACCGAAATAATGTCTTCTCTTGCCGGTAGACTATTTATTCTCCCATTCGCCCTTCTTGCTTTCAACATTAACATTTCCTCTTCCCCTCCTTTCCGTCCCCCGTCATGAGTATTTCGGGCCTCCGCCTGGAAACTAATGTTCCTCAGGATGAGCCCAATCACGATGAGGCTCAAGATCCCATTCCCTCATCTCCCTCACGCGTTCCAGTCAGCTTTTTTGACCCAGTTGGTGTTAGCGAACTCAAACGCACAATGACAACACGTTCCACTCGTTCTCAAGTTAATCGTCGGGAAAGTTCTCGTCGTGCAAGTTCCCAAAAGGCTGTTATGCCTGATTCACCCAAGGAGGTCCACACCCCCAGCTCGTCTTCTGTAACTTCCGGTCGCGGTGCTGATGAAGATGGCTTCGATTTCGAACTCACCCTCAAAGACCTTGTCAGACGGTGAGTTCTACAATTATAAATCGGCTATATTTTTTAACGTGTTTTAGGCGTGGCGAGGAGTCAATCAAGAGCCGTGAGCTCGGCGTTATGTTCAAGGATCTCCGTGTCATCGGTGTCGGTGCACGCTCCTCTTTGCAGCCTACCATCGGTTCCATGTTTAATCCTGCTGCTATCTTGAGAAACATTTCTGCGATGCGCAATCCGCCTGTCAGGGATATTCTCTCAGGATTCGAGGGTGTCGTCGCGCCCGGTGAAATGCTCCGTTAGTCACTTTTGATCGACTAACGTAAAGTTAAAATTTTGTGCTTATCACGTGTTCGCGACAGTGGTTCTCGGGCGGCCTGGTTCCGGTTGCAGCACGTTCCTAAAGACTATCGCAAATCAACGCGGTGAATACCATGCTGTGCAGGGCGAAGTTTGCTACGATTCATTTACACCCGAGGACATCGCAAGGCAGTATCGTGGAGATGTGATCTACTGTCCCGAGGATGATGTTCACTTCCCGACCCTGACTGTTGAGCAAACCTTGTCTTTCGCCATCAAAACGCGTACTCCACATGCACGGTTCACCGATCAATCCCGTGAACAGTATAATCGTGATGTGGTTGATATCCTCGTTCGCATCTTCGGTCTTCGTCATGCCCGAAACACTGTTGTTGGCGACGCTGCTATTCGTGGCGTTTCAGGGGGAGAAAAGAAGCGTGTCTCGATCGCAGAGGCCCTTTCTTGCCGTGCTCTCATTGGCGCATGGGACAAGTCAGTTTTCTTTTGTTTCTTGCTCATTGACAACGTTCTTAACACTATTCCAGCTCTACTCGTGGTCTCGACGCGTCCACCGCACTCGAATTCGTTCAGGCGTTACGCATCGGCACTGATATAGGTCGTCTTACCACTATCGTGTCTATTTACCAAGCAGGAGAACAACTGTACAACCTCTTCGACAAAGTATGCGTGATTTCAGAGGGCAGAATGGTGTTCTTTGGCCCGGCTAAGGACGCACGTCGGTATTTCATTGATATGGGATACGAGCCGCAAGACAGGCAGACCACTGCTGACTTCCTTGTGTCCGGTATGTTCCATGTTGATTTATAAGATTTAGCTGTTTATGTCGTGATTTCCAGTTACCAACCCAAGCGGGCGTTGTATTCGTGACGGTTTCGAGGGCAAAGTTCCCGGAACGGCGGAAGAGATGGCCGCTGCGTTCCTAGCTTCTTCCCTTGGTCAGGCAAACCGTGACTCCATTGAGAACTACCGCTCTCACTATGTTGGGAATCCCGAGCGCATGGATGCATACAGGCAGAGTGTCGGAATGGAGCACGCCGACACGGCCCCAAAGAGCAACTCGTACACTATCTCTATTGCTATGCAGATGAGAGCCGTCATGGTGCGCCGTGTGCAGATCATCAAAGGAGATTGGGGCACTGTAGCCGTCAACCTTGTGTGAGTGTATAGGCAAGGATATTACATCAATCACCTGACCATCGACTTCGCCCCAGTGTCCAGATCTTTCAGTCTATCATCATGGGCACCGTGTTCTTGAAGCTACCTGATGCAACCTCTGGTTTCTTTTCTCGTGGTGGTGTTCTGTTCTTGTGCGTGTTTTGAAGATTGCCTATATGCACGAGTTTTTCTAACTGGTCCCCAGCGCCCTCTTCTTCGGTGCTTTATCTTCCATGGCAGAGATTCCGGCTCTTTTCGCTCAACGCCCAATTGTGCTCCGGCACCACAAGGCAGCGATGTACTACCCGTTCATCGAAAGTTTCGCGCACACAATGGTCGATATTCCATTCACGTTTGTTATCCAGGCTGTGTTCTCAGTTATTCTATATCTCCTGGTCGACCTCCAGAGAACGTCATCTCAGTTCTTGTGAGTCTTGCATTTGATGTGGCTGCTGAGTCTCGCTGAACGCAAATGCAGCATATTCTTCCTATTCGTTTTTGCTATGACTATAACTATGAAGGCCTTCTTTAGAATGGTTGCCGCGTGCTTTAAGACCGAATCTGCGGCTACGTCTCTTGCTGGTGTCGTCGTCGTCGTTGTGGCGCTCTTCACTGGTTATACCATTCCCAAGCCAAATATTCCTGGTGCTCTCCGCTGGATCATGTATATCAATGTGCGTTTCTGGATTGCAATTGTAGGCTTGCGTGCTCACAGCTAGCGTGCAGCCTGTGCGCTATGGTTTCGAGGCTCTGCTAATGAATGAGTTCCATACTCTGAGTGGCACCTGCTCTACGCTCGTCCCTTCAGGTCCTGCATATCCAAATATATCGTTGACTAACCAGGTGTGCGCTGTGGTCGGTGCTCAGCCTGGTCAGAACTTTGTCAATGGCAACCTCTTCGCGGAATTGTCCTATACCTACTATTACAGCAATCTTTGGAGGGTAAGTTGATGAATGATTCTGCGGCATAGAGATTCACTAATTTGAGCTCTTTAGAACTTCGGTATCGTCTGTGTCTTCTGTGTCGGCTTCCTCGCTATTCTGTTCACTGCAACCGAATTCAACACCGCTACTGCATTTGACACTGCTGTAACGCTTTTCAAGCAGGGTTCGCGCGCTGCTATGGTTGTCGATGAGTCCAAGGACGAGGAAAAGGGTGCTCACCCTGAGCCTGCTGGACCTGCGAACACGGATGCCAGCCCTGCAGACCTCGAGAAGCCCTCGGCAACAGACATATTTACTTGGAGGCATTTGGAATACACGGTTCCCATCTCTGGAGGACAGTATCGTCGTCTCTTGGACGATGTTTCTGGTTTTGTCGCCCCTGGAAAGCTGACGGCCCTCATGGGTGAATCGGGCGCTGGAAAGGTAAGGTTTCAGGATGTTCATGTATCATCGCCGTCTGACATGTGTTTGTAGACTACACTCCTTAACGTCTTGGCGCAGCGTGTTGATGTCGGTGTTGTGACTGGTGACCGTTTGGTCAGTGGTCAACCACTCCCTGCGGACTTCCAGGCACAGACGTACGTGCGCCGTTTGAGGATGCGCTTGCTTCCAAGTACTAATTTTTTTTGCTAGTGGCTACTGCCAGCAGATGGACACGCATCTCCCTCAAGCTACCGTTCGAGAGGCTCTGCTGTTTTCTGCGCACCTTCGCCAGCCCCAGACTGTTCCTATGGCCGAACTAGAAGAATAGTGAGTTCTCGTTACCTGCTTTGCCACCGTGGCTCATTCTTTCAGCGTCGACAAGTGTCTTGTCATGTGCGGCCTCGAGGATTATGCTGACGCCGTCGTCGGGTCTTTGGGCGTCGAGCACCGTAAACGCACGACCATTGGCGTTGAACTCGCTGCTAAGGTTCGTCCTCGTTGTTGTGTGTCGCTGCCGAGTAATGTGCTGATATTGTGTGGTATAGCCCAAGCTTCTCTTGTTCTTGGACGAGCCTACTTCTGGTCTTGATTCTCAGTCCGCCTGGGCCATCATGAAGTTCCTTCGCGAGCTTGCTAACAACGGCCAGGCAATCCTTTGCACGTGAGTTTGACGTGGCGAGGGCTATAATGTAATTGCTTACAATCTTGGTATAGCATTCATCAACCTTCTGGAGAGTTGTTCCAGGTTTTCGACCGTCTCTTGCTTCTCAAGAAGGGTGGCCAGACTGTGTACTTCGGTAAAATCGGTGAAGGGTCTTCTACCATGCTGGAGTATTTCGACCGCAATGGTGCCCCTCGATGCGACCCTGACGCTAACCCGTAAGTTTTTCTTGGTCGTGTTTTACCCTTCTCCAGTTAACAACTCATTTAGGGCGGAGTACATGCTTGATGTCATCGGCGCAGGTGCAACTGCATCGTCCTCGGTTGACTGGCACACCATCTGGAAGAATTCGCCTGAGGCTGCTGCACTCCAAGAGGAGATCGAGAACTTCCACAATGAAGGCCTCGCTCGCCCCGTCATACAAGCAGAACAACCCACGGAGTTCGTGACGTCGTGGAGTCACCAGCTTATGGCCCTCACACAGCGTAACTTCCAGGCCTACTGGCGGAACCCAACCTACCTCATGGCCAAGTTCGCACTTTGCATTGCCGGCGGCTTGCTCATTGGCTTTACGTTCTACCAGACCAGCGATTCGCTTCAGGGTACCCAGAACAAGCTTTTTGTATGTGATATTTTGGGTTACATGGCGGAAGTATTTGACCTGTTTGATAGGCGATCTTTTTGGCATCGGTGCTTTGTGTCCCCCTCTCACAGCAGCTTCAAACGATGTTCATCGACATTCGGTCAATATATGAAATCCGTGAGCGTCCAAGCAGGATGTACAACTGGACTGCTCTCGTTGTCAGCCAAATTCTGGTGGAGCTACCATGGAACATCATGTGCTCATCGCTTTTCTTCTTCTGCTGGTACTGGACTGTCGGGTTCCCCACCGATCGCGCGGGATACACATACCTCATGTACGGCGTTGTCTTCCCCATGTACTATACGACTGTCGCGCAGGCGGTCGCTTCAATGGCTCCAACCGCTGTGATCGCCTCACTGCTGTTCAGTGCGCTGTTTTCGTTTGTCGTTATCTTGTGAGTATTTCGGACGTGCTTTGGTATGATCTTGTCCCTTACCGTTTTGTAGCAACGGTGTCATGCAACCGTACCGTGCGCTTGGTTGGTGGCAGTGGATGTACCGAGTCTCCCCGTTCACCTACTTTATCGAGGGTCTGCTTGGTCAAGGTGCGTCTTATGCACGAAGTGTGTTCCTTGACGCTGACCTTTCCTTTAGCTATTGGCGGTAATAACATCAACTGTGCTCCGCATGAATTCGTCCCCGTTATCCCTCCAAGTGGATCCACTTGCAGCCAATACTTGGATCCATTCATGTCATATGCTGGCGGTTACCTCGCCGATCCCAGTGCCACGTCCACATGTTTCTTCTGCCCTTACCGCACAACAGACGAGTATATGTTCTCCGCGTTCAACATCAAGGCCTCTCACGACTGGCGTGACTTGGGCATCATGATGGGTATCACTGCCTTTAACGCAAGTTTTTATTGTTATGGAGTGCTTCTACTGAGCTAATCGCATGCCCTGCAGGTTTTTGCAATTTTCACACTCACATACATCTGCCGCATCCGTAAGGGCAACCCCCTAGCTGGTCTACAGCAGAAGTTTGCTAGTCTCCGGAAGTAATTCATCATGCTCATTCGAACCTAATGACTTCACACACCCTCATTCGCATATATACCTACTCCGTTCGTTTCTCATTATATCCGATAATTTTTGTAATTGATACCTTGTCTGCTTCATTCCGTGATCCTTTGCGTTTTCATTCACAGTAGGGTAACTTATGAAATGAAATGGATTGACTGAACTACCATGTCGTATCGAGTCTGGACAACCTACTGCCCCTAGAAGGAACTAGGGAGCAAGGGATATTCTCACTTGCCTGCGATATGCGATAGGACCTCGCAATGTCCCAGTCTGATTCTGTGGACTTCGCAGGTTTCACGGTAGACATGGAGTCGTGGTTTGTGATGATGGGTGCGCTCCTGGTGCGTGAGTGATCCGAATGGCCCGGGACATTGAGAAGGTATGGCGTGGAGGAAGCGGTGTCCTGGGTGGTGACGCTGTCATGATCACGGTGCCTGAACGCAGTGTACGCGATCAGGTTGCTGAACCGGGTGCGTATTTTGGGCTTGGATGTATCGTTGGAGTCATACAGACGTCCCTTGCGGGAGGGCGGACCAGGAAATGAGAATGTCCTCAAGCTCTCGTGCTCTGTATCAGTGTCTGGCACGGGCACTTCAGGAGTGATGACGGGGAATGGCCTCTCCTTGTGTCCCCAAGACTCCTGCGACAACCGTAACTTGCGCTTCGCTTTCTGGAGGTACTCGAGGGTGTACTTGCCGATGGTGACACTGACAAGGAGGCCGAGGACGGTGCTGACTACGATAGCGAGGACGAGGACGTTGCGCTGGGAGGTGTTTGACTGTGGCGCGGGGTTGACACCAGATGTGCTTTCGGAGGCGCGGAGGCTGGGGGTGGCTGAGGCTGTCACATGGGTGCTCGCGGGGGAAAAGAACAAATGTGTGGGAGCAGTAGGGGTGGTGTGAGGCCGCTCGTATGGGGCGAGCAAGGTTCCGGGAGCGTCATGGCCTTGGGGCTGGGCAGCGCCGATGATCATTGCCATTGCGGCTGAGGCGGGGCGGAGGCCGTCAGGGCCGTGTGCCATACGTGGGTCTGTAGGATCGACCCCGATGAATGGAACGGTCTCTACCTGTTGAGCGTCATCTCTGGGTGATTCGATAGGACGGCCATGTGCTATGCTGGTAAGGAGAAGAAACGATAAGATGGTTCTGGGGAACATCATTCAGGCGCCAAGGTAATGAACGTGGTGTCGTCGTAAAACGACGGAAAGGAAAACGGTCGTGATTGTGATGAGACAAGGAGGTCGTCCAATGCGTACATGGGCTGCTTTCATACTGCCTGGACGCTGGCTGACACTGACTACGACCGACCGACGCGGCTGACATTCGGAAGCAGAACGTGTCGAAAAACAAAGCACGTGACATACACGTGCCTGCACGTTCAAAACATGCTCAATCACTTGTTCAATCAAACAATTGCTGTTTTACTTCGCTCGCGCCTCCCATTTGCTCTGACGTTCTGACTGTTGTGCTCGCTGTGCGTCACGATGACCTCGATACCCAAGACACCATCTCGCTATAGATCACGTTCAGATGCAAAAACGCCGCTCACTCCATCTATCATCTCTGCCTTCAATAGTATCTCCATCTCCCCACAGAAACGATCTCATCCTGCTGACCTCTCGAATCCATTTATCACCAAATCACGACACGCATCTCCCGTAAAACGCGCAACTGGAGGTGGAATTGCAGTCTCAGACTCATTTCAGCGCCAGGCGGGTGGAGGAGTCATCAGAAAAGGCGGCATCGAAACCCGTTTGGACGTCGTTTCACGCGACTACTTGCCCCCTACATCACAGCCTAGACCAGAGCTCAAACGCTCGAGATCAACTCCTGCCACCCGAGAACGCACACAATCTACCAGTGACAATCGTGATCGTTTCATTACCACTCGTGAAGCGGATGATGTTGCTGCCACGCTCGAACTCATGAGTCTCAACCCCAAAACTGTATCACCAGGGCACACAGCTCGTCTTGCAGCTGCTACAGGCGTCCCTCTCAATCGCCGCGTGCTGGCTTACCACGAGGCGCCCCCAGCTTCCTCTTCAGACTCTACGCTTTCCCAGCAGCGTGAACTGGCCCGTCCACTCTACGGACGCCCAGGCGAACTCCCTTCATCAACTAGCTCTACAACGAACAAGTCCCGTCGCATTCCCACTCAGCCTGAGCGCGTTCTTGATGCTCCAGGCATGGTTGATGACTTTTACCTCAATCTGGTGTCATGGTCTGTCCAGAACATTGTCGCTGTCGCCCTTGCTGAGAGTACGTACGTCTGGCGGGCCGATACGGGGATCGTCTCCCACCTTGGTGAAGCACCTGAGGGTACATATGTCTCCTCGGTTGATTTTTCGAATGATGGCGCCTACCTCGGTGTTGGTCTCGGGACGGGAGAAGTTGAATTGTGGGATGTAGAAGCTGGACAAAAGCTCCGGACGATGGGTGGACATCAGGGCCAAATTGCTGTACTCTCTTGGAACGCCCACATACTGAGCTCTGGATGTGGGGATGGAAGCATATGGCACCATGACGTCCGTGTCCCTCGGCACAAGGTCATGGAGTTACTTGGACACACAGGAGAAGTCTGCGGACTGAAGTGGAGAGCAGACGGCGAACTACTGGCGAGCGGGGGGTAACGATAATGTCGTCAATATTTGGGATGGGCGCGTAGGCGATGTTGCGGAGGGAGCACGTGGGCAGGCCAAGTGGACGAAACGGAACCATACCGCAGCTGTAAAGGTGGGCTGTAACCGTTCGATTATATCTGACATATCTATCTAACACTCTGTAGGCAATTGCTTGGTGCCCCTGGCAATCTTCCCTCTTGGCTAGTGGCGGGGGCACAAACGATGCAACTGTTCATGTCTGGAATAGCGGTACTGGCGCCCGCCTGCATTCTCTCAAAACGCCGTCCCAAGTCACGTCCATCATCTGGGCACCGCACAAGAAAGAAATTCTCACTACTCATGGATACCCAACAAATGCAATTATGGTGCACGCGTACCCGTCGCTCGAGCGTATCGCGGAGATACGCGACGCACACGACTCGCGGGTGCTGTACACAGCGGTAGGGCCTGCGGGCGATGTCGTGTGCACGGGTGCCGGAGACGAGAATCTGAAATTTTGGAGGATATGGGATGCGGTGGGTGCAAAGAAGAAGAAAGAGGGGAAAGAGAGGTCGAGTTCGACGACGAGGTCGGGGATTTTGTCGATACGGTAATCTGCAAGTTGATGTATATTCTCTTATGGGGGAATACCCACCCGAATTGATTGTTACATGTTCGTTGCTCATGACACGAACGAGTTGCGAACGCAAATCTCAAACTTTGCATTTAAATCTTGATGCTGCTTGAACTGAAACGGTTCCTCAGGTTGAAGTAAGAGTATCTTCTATCTAATTACATTAGAAAGGTTCGTTATTAGACTAATTACAGTTGTAAGTGCACAACCCTCCCGATAGTGCTAGTATAGTTTCTTCTACTTTCGTCGCTTGAAAATACTGAATATGCTGCCCGTCCGGATGCGGAATACGTATGTGAACCAGAACGTTGCGAATACCTAAAACCCGGTGTTCATGAGTGCGCGCGTAGTCAAATAAAAGGAACGTACATTGAACACAACGACACCGAGCACAATACCCGCGTTTCTCCAATGATGAGAATACTCGACGTTAAAACTGCTGAACATGAACTCATCCGTGGTGCGGTAAGGGCAGTATAGGCATTGAGTCGTCGCATTGGGGTTCGTCATGTAGCCACCAGCGAAAGATATGTAGGGATCCATATACGCCGTGCAATTGAGTCCGGTAGGGGTATTGATCGTAACTAGTTCAGTTGATGCGCAATTGATCAGCTGTCTACCAATGGCTGATGAAGATCTCAGTACAAGTCATACGAAAGAGAGAGAGAGTGCGCTAACCTTGGCCCAAGAGGCCTTCGACGAAGTACGTGAACGGGGTTACCCTGTACATCCATTGCCACCAACCCAACGCACGGAAGGGTTGCAAGACACCGTTACTTGAGAGGTATTAGCGACTGCACCGGTAAAGAGTCAGTTGGACTTACAAGATAACGACGAATGAGAATAGCGTGCTGAACAACATCGATGCGATCAATGCGCTGGGTGCCATGGCTCCGACCGCGAATGCGATGGTAGTGTAATAGAGAGAGAACACGACTCCATACATGAGGAAAGTGTAGCCTGCTCGATCGGTGGCAAAACCGACCGCCCAGTACCAGCAGACGAAGAACAGCGACGAGCCCAAGATATTCCAGGGAATCTCGACCAGGAGCTGTGACGTAACCAGTGCAGTCCAGCTGTACATCCTGCTCGGACGCTCGCGGACTTCATAGATGGAACGAATATTGATGTAGACGGTTTGGATTTGCTGAATTATGGGAACACAGAGAACCATTGCTAGGAAAATTGACTACACTGAAATGAGCGCATGACTTGTGAGCGAGCGAGAGAGAAACGCACAAAAAGCTTGTTCTGCGTCCCTTGCAAGGTGTCATTGGAGTTGTAGAACGTAAATCCAATGAGCAAGCCACCCGCGATGTTGAGAATGATCTTCGCGACGAGGTACGTCGGGTTGCGCCAGTACGCTAGGTAGTTGCGCTTCGTGAGGATAACAGCTTGGTGAATCCATGAGGTGGCGAATTCAGTGTGACGCTCCGTCTCAACCGATGGGCGTGCGCGACCATCAGCGTGTATGCGATCAATCTGCACTTGAAGTTCAGCAGCTTCCGGAGATCGTTTCCAAATGTCGTGCCAGTTGACTGAAGAGGTCGCAGTTGCGCCAGCTCCAATGGTGTCCAGCATGTACTCGGCACTTGAATACGAATATCAAACACATTTCAGTGATGTAAACGAAGCGACTTACGGATTAGCATTCTCATCACAGTGAGGTGCTCCGTTGCGCTCAAAGTACTCCAACAAAGTCGAGGATTTATCGCCAATGTCACCAAAGTAAACGGTCTGACCACCCTTGCGAAGAAGTAGTAGCCTGTCAAACACCTGGAAGAGCTCGGCAGAGGGTTGGTGGATTCTGGGTACAACCATTATGCGTCACGTTATAATCCCCAAGATCTGGCATATACTCACGTGCAAAGAATAGCCTGTCCATTGTCTGCCAGTTCACGAAGGAATGTCATGATGGCCCAGGCGGACTGGGAATCGAGGCCGGACGTTGGCTCGTCAAGGAATAAAAGCAGCTTGGGCTTTAAAACTGTCAGCACAGCATCAGAAATGTGGCTCCAAAGGATTTACCTTTGCCGCGAGCTCAACCGCAATGGTAGTACGCTTGCGGTGCTCAACACCCAGTGATCCAACGATAGCGTCAGCAAAATTCTCGAGGCCACACATCACAAGACACTTGTCCACGCTATCCACAAGTCTCAGTCGTGGGCCTTGCGGTGGAGAGATGAGAACATACTATGATTCGAGTTCCGCAGAAGAGACGGACTCGGGTTGTCGTAGACGAGCTGAGAACAAAAGAGCCTCGCGAACAGTCGTTTCCGGCAGGTGAGTGTCCATTTGTTGACAATAGCCTCTACAAGGAACATCAGCGAGAGATCTTGACAAGAAGCACGTTCACGCACGTCTGAGCCTGGAAGTCTGCGGGAAGGGGCTGCCCGTTGACAAACCGTTCTCCCCCAACAACTCCGACATCGACCCGTTGAGCCAAAACATTGAGCAATGTCGTCTGATAGAAAGTTGAACAAAGAGCCCTGAAAACAAATATGCGACGAACCTTTCCGGCGCCGGATTCACCCATGAGAGACGTCAATTTGCCAGGCGCAACATATCCAGAGACATCGTCGAGCAAGCGCCGTTCTCCGCCAGATACTGGTACGACGTATTGAATGTGCTGCCAGGTGAATACATCATTGGTTGCGGGCCTTTCGAGGAGACTATTGGCTGCAGGTGGGCTCGCAGTGCGCGCGGCATCATCGGCCAAGGAAGGTGGATGGTTAGATTGCCCACTGGATTTCTCTTCATCTTCCGTGGTATCAATGGGATCCATCGTACGCGTCCCTTGCTTGAAGAGAGTCACCGCTGTATCAAAGGTGGAGCCCGTGTTGTACTCCGCAGCAATAAACAAGGCTGCCAAGAAGCCAATGCCAAATGCAACGATGATACCGAAGTTCTGGATAATATCAGATCATCAGCGAGGAATATTGTGATTGGATGATCAACTTACTTTCCAGAGATCACTATACGAGAAGCCATATGACATATTTACATATCTGTTGCCGTCTACGGTTGTCACACCAGGCAGTGATCCTACAGTCGTGCAAACTTGGTTCGCCAAAGAAACATTCTCGTATCCTGGACCTTGGGGAATAAGCGTAGTGCAAGTAGCGTTCAATGTGTAGAACTCGTTTGTCAGGATGGCCTCGAAGCCATAACGAAGAGGCTACATCGGGCGGTTTAGCTCAGATCATGAACAGAGAAAAGGCACACTCACGTTAAGATATGTTATCCATCTGAGGGCGCCTGGGATACTTAAGCGGGGAATAGTGTAACCGGTGAACAGGGAAAGAAGTAGTACGGCGATACCAGCCATGGACGTTGCACCAGACTCAGCCTTAAAACTGGCCGCGAGCAACCTGAAGAACGCCTTCATTGCAATGGTCATGGTGTAGAGTAACAAGAAAAACACACTGTAGACCAAATGTCAGTCAATGGCATTTCAGATACACGACATGCACTCACAAGAACTGGGATGCGGATTTTTGAAGGCCGACCATGAAGTAAAGAATGACACAGAAAACGATTTGAATGATGAATGAGATTGGGATGTCCACCACTGTGTGAGCAAGAGCCTCGATGAAGGGGTAGTACATCGCTGCTTTATGGTGACGTAATACGATAGGGCGCTGGGCGAACAGGTCGGGGATTTCTGCCATCGCAGATACTGAGCCAAAGAAGAGAGCGCTACATAATGTCAGACCATGCCTTCGCATTGTCGAACAAGACACTCACAAGAACAAGACACCTCCTCGGGAGTAAAAACCCGAAGTTGCATCAGGCAATTGTACAAAGACCCAGCCCATGATGATGCCTTGGAACATCTGGGAACTGATTGATGAAGTGGAGTCAGAACGTCATGCCGCGAACGTCGTATCAAAACTAACTAACCATAGTTGTACCACCTGCGCAGTCAAATCGCCCTTGATAATTTGGACGCGGCGAACCATCACAGCCCTAACCTGCATAGGAATAGATATGGTATAGGAGTTGCTCTTGGGCGCATGATCAGCATGCTCCATAATTGCGCTCAGGCGGTATGCAGCTTTGCGGTCATCCTTGCCAACATGAAGCGCCCGATATTCGTCAATAGCCTGACGATTCAGATGGCCAAGTTGAGACGCCCGGAAATGTGCAGCCAATTCGTCGGCCGTTCTGGGCACTATGCCTTCGAAGCCTGTCCTAATCTTGCGGCTAATTTGCTCCGTGACTGATGATCAGGGACATAAGCGGGAGATGACATAAGGCTGAAGGACAGAACGTACCACCAACGAGGAAGTCTGCCGTAGTCTGCCTATTATGGGGTTCGTATCCCATATCGATAAAGTATTGACGGGCGTCTTTGGCCGGGCCAAAATAGGCCATTCTGCCTTCGGCAATGACACATACCTTGTCGAAAAGCTCATACAACTGCTCTCCGGCTTGGTAAATGGAGACGATTGTTGTCAGACGTGCGATGTCTGTGCCTAAGCGCAGAGCTTGAACGAACTCGAGCGCAGTAGAGGCATCTAGGCCACGGGTGGAGCTAGATGCGGGTGCTGAGTTAAGACCATTACAAGAGATCACAGCGGAAGCTCACTTGTCCCATGCGCCTATCATACTTCTGCAAGACAATGCTTCTGCAATGGAAACACGTTTCTTCTCCCCACCGGAAACGCCGCGGATCGCGGCATTTCCGACGACAGTATTCCGAGCGTGACGAAGACCAAAAATTTTCAAGAGAACGTCCAAAAATTCAGCATTAAATTGCTTCCTTGACTGATTAGCGAAACGGGTATGGGGGGTGCGAGTTTTGATGGCAAAAGATAAGGTCTCCTCGACTGTCAAGGTAGGGAAATGAATGTCGTCCTCTGGGCAATAAATAACGTCTCCGCGGTAATGGGTGCTGATGTCGTGAGGGGTAAATGAATCATATGAGACGTCTCCTTCTACAGCATGGTATTCCCCGCGCTGGTTAGCGAGGGTCTTGAGGAAGGTGCTACAACCTGAACCCGGTTTGCCAAGGACGACTGAAATAATAAGGTTTCATGGAGTACAATGGTGTGATATTTGGAAATGCTCACGTAGCATTTCGCCTGGTGCAACGACACCTTCGAAGCCTGACAATATATCGCGTACTGGTGGATGACGAGCAGCACTAATTGTGCGCCAGATGGAGGCAGGACTACATAAGGAGCCCATGGTGGGTTGCAAAGAGGATCTTGCACCAGTGCCAACGACACGGAGGTCATTGAAGACGACGCCGAGCTGACGACACTTTATTTCTTCCTCACTACATCTATAATTGAGTGTGAGTAACAAGCAGAGGTAAATAAAAGGTTGGTGAACGTACCGCTTGAGGATGTCTTTGAGATGTTTCTCAAAGTTAAAGTCATCGTCCTCGACCATGGTTAACATTGAATTACGAGACTCTGGTTCATTGGAAGTTGTGCCCTTAGGGTGGTCGGGAGAGAGGAGTTGAGGCTGTTCATGAGGATCATGATCGCGGGTCATGGTGAATGCAGTGGGAACAATTTTTAGGACGTGGTTGTATTTTATATATGGAACGTACCAGTTAGACTAATACCCGATGGACCAAGCTGTACGTATGAACGCATCAAGCCGGATGGACGCGTTGAAACCCCTCTGTCACAAGTATTTCCCGAATGCCGATACACAACGGAAATCAAAGAGTGTTGAGTTGACATTTATCCATATTTAGAAATGCCCTTTCACACACTGCAAACATAGTAAGGCCGCCAGCCTATGGAGCACATGTAGCCTATAACCTACGTAAAACACCTGACTGAAAGTGTCAAACAGCGAGGATGTCGGACATCCCTGCACAACACCAGAACTGCGCTCAAACCTAGTGTTATGGCAGTCCAATTCCAGAAATCGTACGCACCAGAAGCGTCTCGCGAACAATCGCCTTGGTACATGTCGGCACCGGCGCATTGAACGATAAAACAAAATAACGGCATCCACAGGAAGTTACACCTTTCCTTTGGCAGGTGCCATAAAACGCAGTGAGCTGGATCCCAGGTAACATTGTACACAGCCCATGACTGGACTTCACAACTGCGAGCGCCGCCACATGATAAAAGAGGTCCAACATTCAAATCGTTGAAAATCGAGCGTTCGGCTGCTTCCGAGCTGCATGCTGTCGACGTCGAAAGGAGGCGAACTAATACATTCTATTACGAATAAGAACACCTCCACCCCAAGTGTAGGGCGCGAGTTACACCGAATTTATCTCAGCCTGGGTGGCGTCGTGAATGCACAGATGAAGACGGGTTCCTGCGTCAACATATATCTTGCCACGTTAATGAAATATTGCCCAATCGTATGATAGCCTGAATTTCATGTGAAATAGACTGAACCTCAGTGAGGGATAAGAGTGTGCCACGAGCAAACTCACAGTTGATGACGTGTATGGAACGAGTTCATAAACGAGTGCATCGAATACGCAGTACCGTATCACGTTCAACTCCACCAAACTAGAGTCTATACCAACAACAGCTGCGATGCTTGCAGAATCTTTGCAAGTCGACCAATAAGGAAAGTAAGCGAACTCCAAGGACCAAACGACTAGATCGGAATATCCTCTACAGAATGCGCGACTCGGAGTAAAGGAAGTACAGCTTTCTGGTGGCGAAGCGTGATCGGACGCTGGAAGAACGGACATATGGCAGTCCTCTGAGGCTCATCGAGGAATAGCTGAATTACGAGACACGACCATATCAGGATCATAACTTGCAGGCGGCACTTGATGCCCGTTTCTGGCTCGTCCACACAGTAAACGAACGTGCTTGAACGCGTTAATGGTCAGGACAGTCAGTCTGCTTACATTAATATGTTTGCCAGTGTTTTAAATTGCAACCACCAGGCAGCGACACTCATCCGCGGACGTCGGATTATATAAGTCCCTAATCTGGCGACCTGACAGCTCCTGACAGTGCACCGGAAGATTGGCTTGTCAATGCGGCGCGTTTTCCATTAATCTCCCTTTGTCGAGGTTGAACAAACCTAGGACCCAAGGACACAATTGCTCGGCTAATACATCTACACGAACAACCGGCGGTTCGGTGTCTATTGCGTCCACCCCGTCATGCTATGTTGACGCGTTTTTGCCATTGTACCATTGGAACAATCCGACGCCGTTGTGTTGTCGTGCATAATGATGATCGCTATGATAACCTCATAAGTTTATGCATACGCGAATTCGAATATGCCCTTTGCATCGCTTGAACACCTGGATGGTCCCAAATATGACCAAGCTGTGTCAGACGCCGCAGGTGTACATCAAACGTAGATCAGTTTACATCCAACTTATTCGGGCTAAATAAACCTTAAGCTTCCTCCAACTACGATTTTGATGAATAGAATTTAAGGCCAGGTAAGCTGTTTTACAAAGCTTTATCATTTTTATGTGGGGGCAATTAATAAGCCGGAAGTCAGCTCCAGGGCCTAAAATCGTCATAGTCATCACACCAATTCAAGAGCAACCCCTTTCATCAAGCGAGTTCGTCACCAACAACCGAGGCGAGGAGGTCATTCGAGGGGACTCATCGACGATCCAGCAATGTCACGGTTGTGGACTAATCAAAGGGAGATTCTTCCGCTAGCCGCGTCGATAATTGAGACAATTAGTGACTTTGGTAAGAGACTGTGCATCACCTCCGTCTTCGTCAGCATGTACGGATGACCTTCGGCACGTCTTTGAACCTCCTCTGGTTGTTCAAGAGGGTCACGATGTCACTGGTACTGGCCGCTGGCGGGCCTGTTGACTACTTGCTTTGCGCGAACATTCACCAGCATCGACGCTCAACCTGTCCAGATTCCAACCCAAATCCAATGGTGTACAAATTCCAATTCCAATCCATGTATGTGCAACGAAAAAAAAAACCATCCAGTATATGTATATGTACAATATGCAACCTTCCTTCCAAGTATAAAACAAAACAAAAAAAGTCCAAATATAAAACAAGAGAACAGTAATCAAACAAGGTATGTGACAGCGGTACTCTATAGCTATCGGTCTGGCAGATGGATAGGCCAGGGGAATGGATAGAGAGTGGGAGCGCGTGGTGATGTCAGAGATATGTGATGCCAAGACAGATAAAATGCTCGCAGTACGTATCTTGGGAAAATACCCAGGTAATATGCATGTGCATGCGGGCGCCCACAGTGAGAGGTAAACAGGCACGGTCCTACATAAGATAAAAGCGCGATAGATCCAAATCCAAATTCCAGGTTCCATATGCGTTCTAGGCCCATGATAAAGAGATAGAGAGCAATTCCGTTCCACGCCCATAACGAGAAGAAGAGATAAAGCGCCAGGCCATGATGAGAATTATTTGAAAGCTCCAGGTCCATCCGATATATGAAATCCGCAGTAACTGAATGTGGTGTACACTGACGTTATTGATGCTCCAAACGTATAGATGGGGTGATTCGTTCGTCGAGGAGGATGTGGAGGACGTGAAGAATGCAGCGCCACAATGCCCGCGGGGTAGTAGAATGTTCCTCAGAGCGAGCGAGAGTCTCAGGCACCATTTGCACTAGGCCAGAACCGTCCATCCAATACCCGACATTGGATCACAATCTGATGCACACGGCCGCCATTGACCAGAACACCTGGAGACTGATCCTTATCCTGATGGTTGTCCATGATAAATCACAGCACCCACCACATCGCCTCCACCAAAATGTCCACATCACCCCAACTCTGGCACCCTGAAACGCCCGTTAATGTCGCGACCTCCCTTACAAAAGGAGCAACCACACTCACCACGCACCCCAACTCATAACGCAACACCAACCCCACTAGGCCTAACCGCACTCGGCACTCTCATCCTACTCCCCACAGGACCCGAGGATGAGCGATACACCATCCCCGTCCCCGTCCGTGACTTTGGCCTATCCCCATTTCCCCCATTCCCCATCCCCTTGCTCCCCATCCCAACACTCCCAGGCATCACAAGCGTCCGCATCACAGGAGTCATAGGCAGAGTCTGCGTCACAGGAGACTGAGGCTGTGACTGTGAATGCGTTTGTGTACGCTTGAGCTGATCATGAACGTTCCGGTTGTACATTAGTACTCCCCCTGGACGCGGGGGCTGTTCACCTGGTTGGAGGAGTTTGAGCGGGCGGGGGAGGGGACTTTGGGGGCCGCTTTCCCTTGGGCTTGTGAGGCCACTTTCTCTCGAGCTTGTGATGTCTCTTGGGATCGTGATGCTGGTGATATCTCTTGGGTTTGTAAAGTCTCTTGGGCTCATCAAGTCGCTCTCCGTCGTACTAACAAAAGGCACAGAAGACACACCCCCATGGCCGTTCTGCGCTGCGAGACTAGACACAGACGGATTAGGCGTGGACAACGAGGTATTGGACGCAGATGGGTGAGAGCTCATCGAGGGCCGGGGGGTGCTTAGGGACGGTCGGGGGACACCGCCCAGGGATGGTCGGGGAGTGCCGCTGAGGGACGGTCGCGGGACACCTAATGAAGGTCTTGGGACGCCACCTAATGAAGGTCTGGGAACACCACCTAGTGAAGGTCTGGGGACACTACCTAATGAAGGCCTCGGTACGCCACCCAGGGAGGGCCGTGGCGTCCCCATTCCCAAGCCCTCATCACCACCAGACCCCAACTCCACAGACCCAATACTCGACACGCTCGAATAGGACCGCAAACGAGAAAGCGAAGGTGGGTACTTTTTAGGCGTAAGCGGGAGCGGAGGTAGCGATTTATCGATGTTGCATGATGATGGCGTCGATGAGCGGGATGGGGGGAGTGTCAGTGTTGTATGGTTCGAACCCATGCTGGAGAGAGTGGGCGAGAGCGCGTTTGGACTCGTAGACGAAAACGTCATGGGGCTCTGAGGCGTCGCAGGGAAGGGAAGAGATAGGGAAGAAGTAGAAGCGGTGCTCGAACCGTTACCGGTACCAGTACCTGTCCCGAGCCCACTGGAGCTCGACCCTGCGCTATCACGGAACTCTGCGCGCGTGGGCGTCACTCCATCCATCCCTAATCCCAATTCGTCTTCTAATGGGACTCGTGCATCGTCTTTGGGTTTGTGGGGGCGTGGTTTGGATGATCGCAAGTTGAGAGGTTGGGTTCTGCTTCCGCTGAGCGGTAGGCTTTTGGAGAATGGTCCGTCTCGTATGACATGGCCGTAGTCCGTCCGTGCGGTGCGTACGACGCGTCCGAAATCGTCTACGTCATCTTCGTCCTCTTCTTCGCGAAGGATAGAGTGGGAGATGCTCCGTGAGAGAGGGTGAGGGGAGCGGAGGGAAGAGTAGGAGTGGGAGGTGGAGATGGAAGCGGCGGATGAACGTCGGGAGAGGTTGAGCGCTGAGAGACGGCGGGTGAGTGGGGAGGGAGCGTCTTCGTCTTCGCTGTAGGGGAGGTAAGTATCGGCGTTTGAAAAGTGTAAGAGAAGCGAGAACTCGGCGCAAGGCCCGAAGGGGATCGTCAACGCGAGCGGTGATGGTAAATATGCAAAGATGTGCTAATACCCTTGATCCTGGGCGGGCGCTGTCACCGCCCAGGGACAGAGAAGACGGCCACTAAGGTCTCCGCGCAAACCGCCGTTCTTGGCACAACGGAAGCGACTCATCACAGACAGAAGCGAACACATGTGAGGGGATAAAAGCGCGATGAGAATCACACACTCGTATCCACTCCCCCCAAGACAAAAGCCACCATTCCCAAAACAACGCCCAAGAAAAAACGATGCCAGAGAACACGAGTAAGTGAGCCCCACCACTCACCTATCACTCCATCCCAGACCAGTCGTGAGGCCAATACCTCCTCTCAACAACCTCCCATCACGATGTCTCACGCGTCTGCTAGGCGTGTCCCTCGAATCCTTGGGATGCTTGCTCCCAGTCGAACTATTCGTGACCAAGGACACGTCCGATTGGTTTGAGAACGTGCTGAAATTGGATTGAAGGGAAGCTTGGGAAAAGTTGGACGCGATGGAGAGACGACTTGGGTCTGGAGGTGATGTTGGAAGGAGCTTTGAGTGGGGAGAGAGGAGGCCGTGTCGAAGCATGAGGTGTCTGAAAAGTGAGTGAGCGCATAGTTTAGATAGTTTAGATGGGCGCGCATCATTCATTCCCATTACGAGATGACACTGGGGTCAAAGTCCCGCACAACACGGAAACGAAGAAGAGCAGGCTCGGAAAAATCGAACACGAACAAAACGGATGAGAAGAACTCACGGCAAAGGGGTATGTAGATCGATACTTGAATCGGAGTCGCGAGCATCTTCATCTTCGACTTCAACCTCTAACTGGCGAGGTTGGGGCAAGTGTTTTGAGGACCCTGAGGATCTATACCCATTAAGGCTGTTTGCCCTGGAACGTGACTTGGTGTCAGTAACGTTTGGAGCACGGGGGCGGGAGTGGCTTGAAACGCGTGAACGAGGACGTGAGCGTGGACGAGGGGTGGCTTGGATAATGGCTGATACGTCTGGACTTGTTGAGCGTGGTCTATCGGTTGTAGGAAAAGAAATGGCTAGTTCTGAGGCGCGACTTAATTTGCGTGGAGTTTTGAGTTTGATGGTTGAGGGCGGAGAAGGGAATGAGGCGAGGGTGTCTTGATCAGACTTGAAATTGTCGTCGGGAGTAAAAGAAGGTTTGAGTACATCTGGAATATCGCGTAGGGTAGTGCTGGCGCTGAGTAGTGGGGCGGGTTCTAGTTGAGGGTGAACATTGTAGGGACCTTCTTCTGAGATTGTTTGGGCTAGATCATAGGAAGGGTTCCTGACGAGTGTGCCTGTAGCGCTATGGAAAGAGCGTAAACTGGAGAGGCTTCCGTTTCTAGTCCTGGTTCTTGTAATAGGAGAGTGTGGATCTGAACTGGAAGAAGAGACAGAGCGGATGGAACGGATTGAAAGGTTGGAAGAGGGTCGGCGGGCGTTTTGAATGAAAAGGATGGTGTCGCATTCACTGAGAGGAGAAGGACCGGGAACAGGTGGAAGTGGAGCAGTCGGTGGTAGTGAAGGTGGTGGGTTAGAGGGAGAGACTGGGGAGACAGCGGGTGACGGGGGAATGTGCGATGGAGGGACGGGGAATGCTTCGAGTAAGAATGGAACTGGGGTATGTTTACTTATCATACGATGTTCATTAGAAACCCGAGCTGTGGTAGTCGCCATCGCCGCCGCCGTCGCTGCCACCGTCGTCGTAGTCGTCGTCGAGGTCGACGGACAGAATGAAGCAGCTGCCCAAGCTTGAGCTTGGCGCTCACTTTTCGTTTCACTGAAAGGGAAATTCCCAACTACTTTCCCACGATCAACCATCAATTCCAAATTTAGAATTGAACAGTGACATTGACTGTGACAGCTCACGGTCAATGTTCCGTGCATCCACTGGCATGACATTGACAGTATTACTGCCAGCATACTCCGAGAGCACTCCTCGACCTAGGCTACCCTAAACGATGGTCATCTTTGAGCCAATACCTAGTAGGTTACCCTGATTTTGGGCCTCGTGTCTATCATATCCGTTTGATCTCCACCGTCTTTCATATCGACCTCTCTTCTATATCCGCCGTTCCTTTTGTTCTCTTTCCTACTCTCCTTATGTGTGACTCCCTGACGATCATCCATGCTGTTCATTCTCATAGGCCCCACCTTGTCGTCCACCCCGTTCCTCGTCTCTTAGCAACTTACATTCCTCGCCTTTTCTTTCCGCGGAACCTTATACTTGTCGTAATATCCTCCCTCCGACCACCACTCTTGTAACACATCGCCAGGCGCCCTTCGACACCCATCATTAAAATCCCATATCCGCTTAAGCCTCCCATAATCCACTCTACTCCAGCTTATCATTTCCTCTCATTACGTTCCATTCTTCATTGCTCATTGGCCACGCAATCAATATGCTTCAAGGTCCGTTTTTAAAGTTCACTACGCTCCAACACAATGTCACCAATCACCTCAGTCCAACATAATCATTGGCTCACCTTCGTCCCTTTTACAATGTCATGAAACCCAATGTCCGTTCCCACGTCTCGCTTCTCCAAGACTATGTATGTCATTGACTATGACAACACAGGTCCACCATTGCTGCGCTCAATCAGGTCCGACTCGCAGGACCCAACACTTGTCCTTCTCATCAGTAGTTCGCCCCTACATTGCTCTATACTTCATCCACTCCAGGCTTAATTATCAGCCGACCCGCTCGGTAAGTAGCCATATGTAGGCGCCCGCGCCCGTTCGACGGTGTGAAGTCGCAGGAGTGATCGTGTGACTGACGTCGGATTCCTCCCTGTGTCCCATCACTGTCAAAGTCGTGACAATATTTGAGCACAGCTCTCCCAACCGACACTGTCAGGGATGGTCATCATGTAGAGCAACTCTATTCTTGGCGTGAGGAGCAATTCTCACCACTATTCGCGGCGATGTGCATAGCAGTCCTAATCAAACATTTTTCTACAAAGCATTATGTCATTGATGACTGACCGGACACGGCTAAATCCCCCCCGAAACTCGAATTCACTGTACACACAATTATCAGCCGCCGTTCCGTGAGTCGCCCTTCGACCTCGAGTTCTGGACCTTTCATAGTTCAAGGCGATAGAGCTTTTCATTTCCGCAGATTCAAGTGATGGATCTGATACCATGTACACCTGATAATCTCGGTTCTTGAAATGGGCGCTTGGAATGAGTGTCCTAGACTAGACGTACCTACTTATCTATCAAAGGAAGCCTTCTTTCTTTGGCATGTGACTGTTACTGAGCGCTTGAGATCCTTTGGCTTGCGGTCCGACGCTCAAACAATCGGATTTGATTGATTATTGATCCTGCCTTCGCTCGAGGAAAAAATGATCATCATTCATAGCATAGCCTGTTAGTCCGAGAAATTTAACGGATTTCGCGGCCGATTGAATTATAGAAATCAGGCCCAGGACGGTGTCCATGTTTTAATTATCGCTGGACGACCGGGACCTTGCGTCGCGATTTGACGTAGCAGCGCCCGTGATGCGCGTGTCGCACCTGCGTCTTGGCGAGCCAATTTGAGTGGCGCAAATGCGGTCTCGACCTCGGTACTCTTGACAAGTTATCACCGCTCGGCGCTCGATTTCACGCCCTGGCGCTTGGGCCTTGGACTGCGGGCGTCACTGATTTCGTTCTTTGCTGCTTATCGATATTGTACCGAAGTTTCCGCAAAACGGCAAAATGGTATATACCCGAAGCCATTCGATTTTTTTGAGGGACGCGCTGATTGTGTGGGCCTCTGGGAAGTCCCTTCTCCATCGGGGCCTTAGAATTCGGGTTGATACCAGTCAGGCTCGATGTTTTCGAAATTTTGAGGTAGCTACCGCGCGGTGAGGGTTGTAACGGCTGTTTGCTGTACCGTGCCACCGTCTTTCCAGCTGGAGTTTTGTAAAGAATGCAAGGTCGATTACACTGCAGTCAACCGTCGATGCATATGACACTCAGTCGCCTGCCTTCTTCATACATTTGGCCGTCGCGCAAATCCACCCTGGTCGCTCTTGTGGGCGGGGCTTCTGATCTAGGTCAAAATTATAGTTGAATCTGGAACTTGGAGGAGCTGAGCGGGGGGCATCGGCTTGCAAGGTTTTGCACTACCTTGGACAGTCTCGTGAGATTGGGAGTAAGCTAGAAGGAAAATACTAGTAGTCAGTCGTCCATATATGTGTTGTACTGGATGTGAGCAACATTGAAACATGCTTCCGGTGTTAATGCACGTGCGGTGTTACTATTCAAACGATTTCGATTAGGTCTATCCATATTCATCGCGAGCATTGACGCACCCACTGGCAGTCAGTCGATTGCATAGAACCAAGAAGACGGCCATCAATGCATACGCGGTGTTACTATTCGAACGACCGGGCCGGTCGACATTCACCGCGAATGTTAATCACACACCAAGTCAGTTAAGTACTAGTAGAACTAAGAAGATGTCGCGCCCAGGCCACCCTCTGGTGAGCTTTCTGAGAAGTTCACGAATACTAGCGATTACGCAGAAGAATGTTTGTATTCAACTGCTTCTTGCGCACGCAAGCTCTAGGATGAAACGTAAGGAAAAGATCTGTCAGTGACCGGAAACATCGTAGATTCGTTCACCTTTAGATTTAGAACGCGCGCGGTGCTTGAACGTTTGGTTGTGCTCAGCCTGAGAAGTTTTTTCAAACATGTGCACCATGACAACCTAAACCAACTTGGGCCGGAAGAAGGGCAGTCTCAACGTTTGTTACACTTCTATCAAGCAAAGCATGGCCCTGCATTAGTTCATCTATGAGAGGAAGATGGTTGTGGTCGTTAGGTTTGTTTGTTACGCTCAGCGTCACAAAATTGTAGAACCGTAACAATATTGTTGTTGCTTGAATTCTTTAGCCCAGTTACATAGAGTTCAAGCAACAACAAACATTAATATTGATATTAGTGAAGACCCAAGACTCATTTTGCCCCCGTCCTCCGTTTGTGACCGGTCTGTCAGACTTTAAGGTGAGCCACTCCATTTGACCATGTACGTGTGTTGAATCCGCGATCTTCACACTCGATCTATAGTTATCAGCGCAAAAAATGACAAAGTACCCTCCTTCCGTATTGCCACAGGCATTCACCACTGTCAATTCGAAGAGACGCTGGAAATTAGCTGTGCAAGTCCTAGGGTCCACCAGCTCTGTTTCGTGGGCGATACAGTGATCTTGTAAAGCTTTCTACAAAGACTTGTTAGGGTGGGTCGAGGATTGATCTTGAGTTTAGCTCACCAGATGCGTTGTATGCATTATCATTGCAGCTCAGGGCACGGCAGATTCATTGGAAAACTTGAAATGCCATGGTTTGCATGATCGACTGGTTCTGGACCAGTGTTCGGTCGACCGTCTTGAGTGCGCTCTCACCAACCTCGCGTAGGCTCATCTTCAAGGGCATATTCGAAATAATTAGGCCCCACCATCTCTCTATGCCGCGACGCTTTCACAATGCGTCCACTGGGTCACCGCGATAATGCATTATCACTATATAACGTCACATCAGCGCTGCACTGGCACCACCACAAGGAATCTCCAATATCCGCGAATCTGCCCCGCACTACTACCACGAGCGCCTGCCTCTCTGTCTCGAGGGCTGTGAAACGCCCCTTCTAGAGTCTGGCCGTGTTCGACTGCAGCGTTTACATCCATCCCTCTCCAAGCAGCTCACCCCTTTTGAGCAAAGACGGATGGCCCTGGGCAGGAACCATGCTTGAAGGACACCCACACCTGTTTTTCCATGCAGACGCTTCCGGCTTTGAACAAAGCTCGACAGATGATGCAACTCCGTCCTTCGCGGATATCTGACAAAGCTAACCCGGGCGCAGGGCAAGGCAAAATACTCGTAGCTGTTGACAATGAGCCCAAACTCGCTCCCTTGAACATCATGTTCACTACATACTCTTTCTGGAGAAACAGCCACACAGACAGATCCACTCGAAGCTTTGCGATGCAATACCTAGGCGCACCGCAAGCTTAGTTTGTGTTCTTGTTGACGTATCTTACAGCCGTCAGGGAGGAGCAGACGCCTGACGACGATGTTGCGAACCACGTCTTCGAAACTTTCTAGTACGAAGGTAATCTCGGCATTCAACATGGCTACATGTGCCGTCAAGAAGACGTATCGCTTGAGCAGATGATTGCTTTCATTCATACTTGCGTGTAGTTCCAAGTCGGATCGCTTTATGTAGAAGGTATTACGCCGCAGCCTCGAGATACAAATAAAACATATCTTCTGTGATGTGGGAGTCTAGTGTGAACACTCACGGTAGCCAGAAACTGAAAGTACACCTCCAAACGAGGTAATGGATCTTGCTACGAATGCTTGTCATCCACGAACCACACCAGGGCGTGAAAGTGGCTCGCAAGCCTGAGCGGCATATGATGTTAGATGTTAGAAGACGCGCATTGTGATTAACGGTTGAAACCAAGGAGGTAGGATAGATGGAACGGTCCCATATACTGGCTGAGGATTACAGAGAACATATATCTAATATCAACAGAAGTAGAAAATCAATGTATTGTAGGTATCGTAGGAAGCTCCGTTGCGTTGCGAGCAAGTCGTTCGCGAACGGACTTCCTAGCATTGAGCCTGACCAGCAGTTTAGTGAGCTTCATATAGAGGACTGTTTCGCTTACACCGCCATCATCGAGTTCATATAGGCTGTGGGCGAGGGCTTTAGTGTTTACGCAGTGCATAGGGAACATATAGCATTACTGACTTTTTCCTAACACCGCTCCAGGCGCGGCGGTATAGAAATGACCAATAACATCATCCTGGAACTGATACTGAAAACAGTCGTGATTGTTGTTTTCCGTGATTGCTATGAAAGAGAGGACTTACGATCACAAACATGGTAGCCGCTACAAGGCTGGGGGAAAAACTTTATGAAGTGAATTACCCAACAGGAATAGAATGTCACGCATACAAGGAAAATAATCCCATTTGAATAAAAACCCGCATCAACTCGTTGAGATAACTCCTCGACCTTGACCTTGTGAGGTGCATGAGTCAGATTACAAGTATAGCAGAAAGACCCGTACCGAACGTTGTCTGTTCGCGCCGGTCGCAAAAACCACCAGATCGTCCATGTAATGACAGCATCACCTAATGCACTGGCGACAGACGCTAATTGTGGCCACTGAACCCGAGTATAAATTCTTTGCTGGTCAAAACTATGTCAACGCTGACCGAACCTTCGTATGGATTAGATCTTCAAGCCTTCTCGTGAAGAATCTTTGGAAGATATATGAGAGATAGTACGAGCTTGATGAACAATAACGTCTTACAGTGTGCCGCTCAAGACTAGAGACGAAGACGACGACAATCAGAACATTGGACATTGGACATGAAGGATTACCGTAACTCATGCCACACACTGAAAGTGCGCAGAAATTAGAGGTAATTTGGATGAGATCGAAAGAGCTGACCGAATGCTAGAGTGGCGAGCGCACACTGAAGGTGTGTTATAGCTCTCCGCCACAGGAATGATAAAAATGGGATCTCACAACAATGCCTGTGATCAAGCGATTTTGTGCCGTGACTAAATGAACTCATTGAGACATTTAGTACTCTCGTAGATCCTAGAGCACTCACTGATCCACACCCTGTATGCATAAAAACTTTCGACAGCCGAAGCAATTTTGGCATCGTTCTACAGGAAGGCAGCCACAGGAACCACGTACCACTGAACGGCGAAAGCGATCCAATACTTGGGGTTTGTCAACAAGAGTCGATAAAATTAGACACGGAAGACTTACTCCCAGAAGTACAACAAGCTTCGTAGGCAGCGTTCAATAGGCATTACGCTACATCAAGAAAAAAGAACTCGCCAGCATCTGCCTATCCTCTCGATGAGCCAATTTGGGATTCGAACAATTCAATCGACTTACCACGGAAGTTGAGCGGCGCACTCGAGGGATGTGCTACGACGACACGAAATCAGGATAGACCAGTACATCCCTACTATCGCGTATTGGTGTATTGTTTCGAAACAACTGAGAGAGATTGAGATGTATCAGTGCATGATCATGATCGAGGATCGCAGCAAAGACCCACAAGACCATCATTATCTAGTTATCAGGGATATCAATTGACAAGGGTTTAATTAATAGACATATTATAGTCGCGCTCACAAATAATTTGAGCTTTCTTGAATCTTGCGGGAACCATCGCACGTAGAAGATATACTGTCCGAAAGCTATCCCGTAGAACCTTTGTAATCATGTAGGTCAACTTGAAGTAGTAGAGAACTGAATGGTACAAGTCCATACGTTGTAGCTATGATGAATCCTTCAAGGCTTAGAGTCAGCTGAGAGGAATTGAAGGCGAGCCATCGGAAGGCTCACCAATGAGTCCCGGCCCCCACATCGGATCCGTGGAGTTGGGCGACATCGTGGTTGATGAAGGAGAAATGTGCTGTGCCAGTGAGCAAGCCGCTGCCAGAAATAGTTGTTAGTCACTAGCAGGCTGTCGCAACGCTCATACCTTTATAACGTTCACGGCATCATGGTGGAAGTTAAGTCTTTACGGAGTGATGTGTGACCTGTTACCATTCCGAAATACTTCGGCTCTCTATCTTTCAGAAACCATGTTACCATTGGACTGACGTTATTTAGTAAAGGTTGGACCCCACAAACCGTGTCGGAGAAAGGTACGAATCTTTTCTTGTCTTCATTATTCTAATTGCATGTCTTCATCGTCCTACTCGTTGACCTCGTCGACCGTGCAGCATCCTCTGCCGACTTCTTACGCTCGTGCCCGTGAACGCCGCCTTCGCTCTGCTTCCTGCATGAGACCATTAATCCCTCCCGCCCTTCCTACGCCTAGCTATGCCGTCGCCACCGGTTAGCAATTTTTTCTGAACCTTTCAAAGCCGTCAGCACATCAAGACCGGGCGGCACGTCAACATCTCCCTCGCCGTCTTCTCTCATCAATCCTCGTTGTCTCCGCTCACCACTGCTTGGCGCCGGCATTGCCGGCGCCTTCGTATTCTTCAAGTTTCGTCATCGATTTCCACCGTGACCGCATCCTGGATTTTTTTTCTCCTCGCCTCGTAGTTCTACCCTTGTCATATTACCACTGTATACTATTACTAGTACTTGTCTACATACATGATTAGTCTTATCTCACCCAGCAAACCAAAGACATGATTTAAGTTGGTTCATTATTAAAATTTCACGACATGTAGAGAACAAAATGTATACATGAAGGAGATACTACACTACATATCAAGGTTTTGCATGAGAGGGTGACAAACCTGTGTGATAAGTAGGACTGGGACAGGAGGATGATGAAGCCAAAAAAAAGGTGTGCGTGGAAAAATGCCGCGGGTAGGTAGTGAAATGGCGCAGAGAGGTTGGGAGGCCCAAACCTGCGAGCGGCGGCTGTTTCTGTTGGCGGCGTCAGAAGTAGTACCGTGGGAGCTGAAGTCGGGGATGTTGATGTCGAGGAGTTTGGTGATGGGCGTTGGTGTCATGGTGTGGCACGAACACGGCAGAATGGCGCAGAAGAGCTCAGCATGCGCGAAGGCGGCAAACTTCGACTTAAGAATGACCAGGAAATGTACTTACCGAGCGGTGGTCGAGGTCTTTGCCCTTCATGTAATTGATGGGTTCAGGGACTTGCATTTCTCACGCCATTGGGAGCCGATTTACTTCGGAATGGTAACAGGTCACCATATACTCGTCTTTACGAGAATAAGTCCTGAGCTATACCAAACGTGTTATGACCACAGAGCAGGTAACTGTAAGTCAGGCGCTGAGGCAATTATTGACGGACTTCAACATCATGCAATGTAAATGCCGCCGACTACTATGTATGTATAGACTCCGAAAAATGCAGCGAGTGCGCTCAAGCTTCCATAAATTATATGTAAAAAGTTTCCGATAAAAATCCGATTGGTTGCTTACGTAAACCCTCGAAACCTTGTAAACGCTTCCATACCAAATTACCTCCATAAATGCTTTCCTACTTAAGCACCAGCCGTAATTATGAATGTGTCGTACGGGCCCAGTGACTTTCGATAAGAATTTAAACGTTCGAGTTCTGGTAGGAGCAGTGACATTGTCTGACATCTTTCTAGCGAAGAGAACGAGACTTAAATGATTGCGTTGTGACAGGGTGTTGTTCATTGAAGACCAGGCTTGGGATCCGGGAGTCGGTCTATATTGGTGAATAAGCATTAGGACACCTTAGACTACACACCGAATATGCACATTAGGCTAGCCCAGAGGGCCCACAGACGGGGAAAAATAATTTTATCGTTTAATGACGAGGTTATTTTAGTTGTCAGCAGTATCATTTTCAAAGACGTCATGTTCTGATCCATCGAGCAATGAAAGGCATCAGAACACATGAATAACACAGTTGGTACGTAGCGTCATGACACACCCGGCCCTGACCTCAGCAAACAACACAATCTTCCTTGAAGCTCAGGTTATACATCGTCTTGTCTACCGTCTTCTCAATCTTTTTCCAATCAGCGCGTCGTTGAATAAACTCATAAATATCCTAGATAAAATGTGGTTATTCGGAATCGGTCCGCTATAGCGGTAGAAAACAGCATACCTCGGGTCGATACGCCCCACCGTATCTTGTTACATCTCTCACGATCTGTGCCAGATCCTTTGCGTCTTCCACAACAAAGACGTGTCCCAACATTTTTAAATGCGAGAAATCCGCAGTAATATTGGGCACCTGTTCACAAGAGATCAGGCACAATGTTACTGAAATCAGCAAAAATGAACCGGCCTTGAGAGAAGCTACGAAGGAGTAATAAGCATTGAGGTCGGCAATGACCTGGAATCCGCCATTTAGAGAGATGATCTGACGCTTGATATGCTTCTGCAGTATACTGTGCCCAATATCAGCCTCCCACAGCAAGTGTCTCGACGTTTAAATACTGACGCCAATAACCGAATTCCGACCTCTTGGTAGAACACTTCAAGCACCTCCTTGCTCGTGCTGCCCTTCAGAAGCCTACAATGCGTATCCAGGCACCGGATAGCTTCCGTACAGCCCGGAGTGGGACCCAATTCTAGAGGAGCGTCTTCAGGGGGATAATATTCCCGTGGTTTTGTCAGTGTCAGGATAATGTGCTCAACCTAACGCAGCAGTGGTTTTAACAAGAAAGATTGGGAAAGCACAAAACTACACACCTGGTTCATTAGCACCTGTGTTCCAGCATTTAGCCCTGCAGCAACACAGTCATCGAGCGTGTTTTCAAAGCGTTTCTTTTCTCTCACGACCACATTCAGGAAGTCCGTTTTGTCGATGTGTGGAGCCTGACACAGGTAGCAGAGTCGGGAGAAACGCCGTGATTTCAAAATGTACATACCAGCTCCTTGTCAAAGAATACTTGTACCATGCTTTGAATCGTATCCCCGACGTGGACGAGCTCAAAAAATTGTAGTAGCGGCGCTACACTGGCAGTTTCTTCGTGTTCTGATGGTTTGTATGAATTCATCCGTTCCGTTGCTCTGCCAATGCGGAAGGTTACCTTAGGACACACATACAAGCGAGTGGCGGACAAGCAAAATAGGTTACTTACATCCCGAAACCTTTCTCTAGATGCCTGTTACACAATACCCCAAGCATCTCGCAGAATGCTTCTTCAATCGTTTCTCTTACCCTTATTCCATATTGGCCAGGGTACGACGCAAATGTCTCTAGTCGTTTGAGCGCATCGCGGTCTGCGTGAATTAACTGGAGAGCAACATCGAGGGACAACAAGAGATCGAGATTTTCTGTTGGCGCCAGTGTTGGTTTTGTCGCAGATGTAGATAAAGCTACGTTTGGTTGAGAGGTGCCAAATGTAGATGGTGCAGAGTAAGCTGCAGCTGTGCTCGTGCTAGCAATCGAAGTAGTATCCCGTGTGGATGCTGTGGCTGATGAGTCTCCTAATCCACATTACAACCAATACTTACATGGCGCCATCGAACTTTCGTCGACACCATCATCCCCTCCCTCTTCATCATCTGCACCGATCTCAAAGATAGCGGCCTCTCCTTCGGCGCCCCCAAAGCTGGCGTACTCTTTTGCGTTGTTCACCGATCCAGTGCCACCGACCCACCGCTGTGGATTAAGCATCGCAATGCCTTGGACCATCCCTGTGCCGACGGCACCAACAGCTCCCCCTACAGCTCCCCCTACAGCTACCACTCCCGCACCAACAGTACGCGGGACTATGGTTACGGGTAATAAGAGCACGTTAGTGAATGACGCTAGAACGGTGCGTTTCATGAGAGCTGGATTCTGCGCAGTAAGGAAGCGGGTCTGGTGTGCTTGCGTGGGTGAACTATGTGATGCAAGTGCTAATGTCTGCAAGTTAAAAGGTCGGGGTTGAAAAAGACCGTCGGGAGTGGGAAGGGAGACACGTACCGACCGGTCCCACTCTTTGCATATCACCTCGAATGCTTGTTTTAATGATTCTATTTCCTCATCAAGGTATTCGTCCATGTTTGGCTCAAACATCATAAATCTGCAGATTCGCGTAGTTAGCAATACTTCCAACGGTACTCCGGGAAAATGCAGCAATATTAAGGTAAGGTAGAAGAGCGAGTATGCCAGGAATTTTACCACTTACACGACATCTTCTGCCTTGTCTTTACCTTTGCCGCTGAAATTACTAGACACGGTAGTGAGAACGTCCACAATCCTCCATGATTCCCTGAAGCTGGCAGCCGCGGCAGTGAGATAGAGAGCATTCGATATCTCTCTGGCACGTGTCAGCAGCGGAGCTATGTATTCACCAACCTGCACACACCCATAGTTGTGAAATGGTGGAGAAATGGATATGACATAAACTTACAACTTCGTTAGCAACGCGCTCTGCGAACCCAATAAGGACTCCAGCAGCTGGCGGAAAGACAAACACAGCCCTCGTGCCATGTTCTTCCAGCGCGCGTATAATACTAGCCATGAATTCATCCATAGGTGTGAAGTCAAGGGTATTTTCGTCTCTGTGCACCTCATTATTTTGAACACTCGAAAGATACAGATCATGTTAGTTACTCACGTAAAATTAGCTAGCGGATTCCAGCGACCCTGCTCATACAATATCTCTCGCTTCTCAGCCCATACCTTGCCCATTTCCCAATCCCCAAACCCAGGCCAAACCTCCCAGCTGGCATGAGCAGCCTGTCTCATCATCATTTCATCTCCACGAGAATCAGCAGCATCAAATGCTGTCAGAAGTGATACGTCAAAGCGATCTACAGCAGCCTTCAGAGCGGCGAGAAGAATGTCCCAATGTCTTACGGATTGGACGCGGGGGGAGAGAAAGAAGCTGAGTAGGCGGAGAGAACGAGCCTGGGACAACAAAGATGTGCCTATGAGTGGTGTGAGCGCGGAAAGGACTGCATGTGGTGGCTGATGTAGAGGGGCCAAGCATTGTTTGAGAATTAAATGAGCGCGCGTATACCGGGCGCGGAAAGTCTGCTTTCCTGGAGATGCGTCTGTGAACGCAAAAGATGTAAATGCAGCTGAGAGAGATGGAATAGATGGCGTGCGCGGGGCAGACGTGAATTCTCCGAAATCATCATCCACAGGTATCGTAGGAGGCGAATGAGTGTTAGCCTTTGGCTCTTGCTTGGATTCAAGGTCGTCTAACGTGTCATCCAGGGCATTCCGAGTAATAGCTAAATCATTCCATCGTCGTTCCCATAATTTCTCGTCGCGAGATAAACCAGCGGTTGCCCTTGACGCTCGAGCATAGGCAGAGATGTCGGGGATGGGAAGGTGGTTAAGGACCAGTAAGTGAATGTCGGCAGGTAGCTTGCCAATCCATCGAGAAATAGGTTTTGTCCTGCTTGCCCTCTTGTTTGTAGCCGACGTCGATGATGAATAAAGCCGCGTTGGTTCGAGTGCAGTAAACTTGTCCATCAAAGCCTGCTCATCATCTTCCGCAGCGTTCACGATGAACTCGAAAAGGATAATCCGGCGGCAGTCCAAATGAGGAAGCTCTACTATTAAGATCTTTGTGGTTTAGTTCACTCTGCCAGTCTCTGCAACCAACTTACCTGCAAGCTTTCCTTACCATGGTCACTATAGCATCTCCCCAGCCAAACGAAGCAGAGCAAAAGAAACGAAAGCAAACCTTGGAGCGAGCAAAAGCAAACCACGTACGTTTTCTATGCCTTCCGATGGCTGACATGCTCCATGCATATCCCTAACACACGATAATCCCAGCTCTCGAAACAATTACAGATGCGCCTGCAGTACGCAAAGCTCAAGGTTGAGCACGGATGGGTACGCTCTTTTATCATTTTTTGCTAGTTGATGTGGCCCGACCGTCGATTCATTAGCAACGCCAAAACTTGAACGAGGTCGAGAACCTGTATTTCCATCATTCGCAGGTACGCGGGCTGCGTCCTGTTGTACCTGTAAAAACAGTCCCTCTGCTATCTACGAATTCACTGCCACCCACTGCACCCGCCCCAGAACCTCCCGCACCCATGGCGGTCGACGAGATATCACAGCAGGTCGTCAATAGCCAAGCATCTCCCACTGATAATTCTCGAGGTCTTACATCCCCGCATGATTCCCCTGTTGAATTAGCACCGACTCCCGTGCAAAATCCGTTCACCAATAACACTTCAAAATCTGTTACTCTGCCCCTACATACTATGCAGACCCTCCCCGAGAAGACGCCCTCCCAGGAGCCGTCTCAACCTGCACCCGCCCCTGTTCACCCCAGCACGCAATCCGATACTGCCTCCCAGGAACCACCAAATTCAGCGACGGTAGCCCCTCCGTACAGCCCCCTCGATTTCAGCGACCCAGCAACTATGGTGAGGTTCACTCAGATGCAAATGCAGTCCCAACCTCAACTTCAGTCCCAGGCTCCATCACACAACCAAACACCAACCCTGATTCAAACACACGCACAATCTCAGCCTTACAACCCCTACATGCCCCTCAATCGGCAGTCCTCCCATCCCCAACCCAACCCCTTCATGCCCCAACCCCTTCCCCAGTATTCCTTCACCCAATCCTACCACGCAACATCACTCCAAAATCAGTCTAACCCCCAGGTATCTCATTCGCAGCCCAGTACCAACTCCCAGTCTCCGTTTGGGAACGGGAACGGGAGCAGCCCGTTGACATACGACAGCTTCTGGTCTACACATGCGAGCGCAGGATCACTATACCGCACCCATGGAGGTTTCACAGCGAGTGCCACGCCAACTGGGCATGTCGCGATGATCACCCCTGGCGGGCATGCGGCCGTGATGACAGCCGAGGGGGTGTATGTCGGTGCTGCTGGGTATACGGGTCGCGTCAGCGGGTAGAGATCATAATGCTTCGGACTCGACTGTGTTTTGTTGCTTTATTTTCGGTGTTGCTGGGTTGAACACATTTTTCACTTTGGATTGCTTCATGATGTTACGGTACATTCATACTTACCTCTTCGTTCTGCTCCTAATGACATTTGCATGTTGGCGGCTGGTGTTACTGTGCTCCCCTGGACAAGATCTGATTGGTCTGACATGTAGCTGACACTGACAGAGACACAAAAAGAGCTTGAATTTGGTATACGGATGAATGACTATAGTACTCTACTTCTACTAACCAGCACATTATAAGCAGCACAGACAAACGCATGAAATCGGTTAATATATCATCCATCGTCATGATCGTGTCGTGTCACACTCTCGTCATCACTATGTCAGGTAAAATATCCACTACTGGAGAATTGAACGTATGGAGCACTTAAATTGGAAGTATCCGATTATTGAAGCTGAAGGCGAAGATCACAGCGGAGAACTTGAACATGGGAATCATAAAAAGATGTCGCCTAGCCAGCCAAGGACTTTGAAGAGTCCCCATAGACAGCCACCAGCGATGATTGGTAGACTGAAATTATCGTCCACAGAGCCCAAATCTGCATCCCAAAATGAGCAAACAACACGAGGCGACGGATAAAGACACCCACCAAGTGCTTCAGCAACACCCGAAACTAGACCCGCACACACAGTCACAACAGTAAGACCTACCCACCCACTGAAAACCTTCCCACCTTCCACACTCCCGCCGCTAAACGCACTCGATACACCAGCGTCCCAGGACCACGTCAAGTTGTCTCTCATCGGGCCGAGGCACGTCCAGAATCCGGCGGCGGCCGCAGCGCCTGTGAGTGAGGCTGCGATGAAGCCTGCCAGACTTTTACGAGAGGCAAGGGGGAGACCAAGGAGTCGTGCAGGGAGCGGGGGCGTGAGTGGCCCCCAGAGACGGCCGAAAGTGGATGCGGCCGTATCAGCCCAAGAAAGGCTGTTGGAGTACGATGAATAGGGGAGGGCAAAACAGGAGAAAGGCACAAACATAAGGATTGAGACGACTGCGATGTCGAGAGGCAATGCGATTAGCGCGGTGTTGGCGCCGAGAATATACCATATGACCCCATTGGATGATTTCTGACGGTACGTGAGGCCAGAATGCATGCTTAGCGTTTGTCACACTTGCCTTTTCACTATCGCGCATAAAGATCCCAACACATTTCTCGAAGGCGCGTTCAAAGAGGGGGTACTTTAGGCGGAGAATATCTATTGGAACAAGAATAGCAAGGGCAGAGCTCAAGGCAATAACAACTTTTTGTGGGTTGCCTTGGGAGGTGTATAGATATATTGTAAAGAAACCTGCCAAAAACTGTTCGTCAGACTAGATATGCAAGAAACCTTGAGGGGAGGATTTACACACCAATGGATGAATGCAACACCTTGCGAGGAATCTCCCAATCAATCTCTTTTTTTACTGTCTTGCGCTTATCAGGTGAGCCGTTGGGGGACAGCTTGCGCTCGCGTGCTATCCGCGCGTCGACCTCCTCTATAAGTTCCTCTATCGTCGCCTCTCCGTTCTGTTTCAGCTGTTGGGAACCATTTCTTGCAGATGCCTTGCGTTTATGTCCCCTCTTTGCAGGCATTCCATTTGCTGACTGTGACGAGAAGACGATGCTGCTCGACGTGGAAGAAGGTGGAGAAAAAGATATTTTGGGGGAAGAGGAGCGACGTGGGAGCGACGAAGTGCGAGCTCGCGAGCTCGAGCGACGGGGCTGGTCGTGTGCGAGACCTAACGAGAAGGCGTCGTTTGCAGGAAGCGTCATGCCTGTTGACGAGAACAGAACGAAGGCGCGTATATATGGTAGAAGTGTATACCGCCAACAACCGAAATGTCGCTCTATTTGTCCACGTTATGCTCAGCTCATCCTCAATATATACAGGAAATCACACAAAAACAGTTATCTGGGCTCAGGAAACATGCATAGCATGCATGGCGTAGTTTTTGGGGCGACATAGCATACAACTCTAGTAGACATATCCCAGAAGCTTCCCACCAACGTTCTTGCGACGAGCCTCCTCATGATCAAGAATTCCTGATGAAGTCGTCTGTCATCACCATAAAAGTCAGCCTGTGTTCTAATCTCAAGTTCAGGACAGCGTACCAAGATGATTTTCCCGAAACCACGGGCAGGGAGGAGCAAGTTAACCCATGACTCGATTTGGGTAACTTGGACATTGAAACGTGGTGAGATGACACCCGTTTTATTGAGCCGGCCGTTGAGTTGGATCACAATTTTGCCAGAGCGGTGATCATCGATGATCTCGAATTCACCGATATAGCCTGAGGTAACACATCAAAGTCAGTATTCTGCGCCCATATGACTAAGAACGAGTAAAGTTGAAAAATGGTGTAGACTCTACAGTGAACCCCGATCCGTGAGACGGAGACGATCAGCGTTGTTTGGTTTTGAGAGACGGTTGATATTTCGGAGAATTAAAACGAAGGCCGGGTAGAAAGTAAAGCCTCGGCAATCGTAGTTATAACTCCGAGAATTGCACAAAGCAATGAATGAGAAATATCAGCAGAAAACGCAGACCCACCATGGCGCTGCATGACAGAGAGGAACTTCACAATGACCTTCGACGAAGGCCTGATAAGAACCTGGCGCTTTCCCCGGCGCTCAGCATTGACAATGTTGTTCTAATAATCCGATAAATCAACATGTCTCCCTTCATAGATGCGGTCAACCTACAAGGCAGTCGTTCTAATACAAAATCACGATCAGACTCACCATACCAGAACAAATTAAACACTCACAAGTACAGATACGCGGACCATTTTGAATTTTCGAGTATCGAAGCAGGATGGGAAGGGTAACACTATCAAACGCGATGTGAGTACCTATGCTCGTCTGAGTGTCGTGCTAAGGAAAGCGCGAGTCAAGACGAGCTGCGAGAAAGCATGGCATGGCACTGGACAAGTCCAGAACACAGCACCACCATGTCGCAGGTAGACCTTAAGGCGGGCTCACCTTGCTGGCCTTGAGGATGTGCCGGATGACTGACCTTATGGACTGGAGCCAATTTGATTGCAAGGCTGAAGCAGTGGCTGTGCGACTGTATAGTACCTTTCAGCCACTGCGGAAGTTACCGAGAGCTTCGCCTACGCGATCTTAGCCTTAAGGCATCGACACCGTCAACGTCCTCGACAATAAAAATCCGACAAAATGGTGCGTGTTTGTGTTAGACACACGTTATTATTTTTTGAGGCCGCGATTAGGGCCGTGTTCGTACCAAAACCACCAAGAGGGCTGCCCGTGTGCTCATCGAAAAATAGTAAGTCTAATCTCTAACGGTTGACTGGTTTTCGGGTCTCAGGGATGGAGGACGAGAAGTCTGGCAAGACAGATGATGAATGATTGAGCTGGAGCAGTGACCTATTCTGACATATGACGCACAGCTACCCCCGCCTGACCCTCGACTTCCACACCAACAAGCGCATCATTGATGAAGTTGTTAGTATCTGTCCACTCTGCCCGCTTGTGTCTTCTCATTCTTTCTCCGCAGGCTGTGGTCCCCTCCAAGCGCCTCCGGAACAAGGTTTCTGGCTTCACCACCCACTTGATGAAGCGTATCCAGCGCGGGCCTGTCCGCGGTATCTCGTTCAAGCTCCAGGAAGAAGAGCGCGAGCGAAAGGATAACTACGTGCCCGAGGTGTCTGCTCTTGATACCAGCGCAACAGGCTTGGAGATTGACAAGGACACATCTGTAAGTATTACGATTTCCCCTGAAGCTATCTCCGCTTTCGTTTCTTGGAGAGAATTTTATGCTGATATCTGAAATTTGCCCAGGAACTTCTCAAGGCACTCAACTTCGACTCTATCCCTGTAACTATCGTACAGACTGTCATCCAGCAACCAGAGCGTCCCCGGCGGGAAAGGCGCAACGTCCCTGGCGCTGGGCGGTAACTTGTATATCTCTAGGTATCACACTTGACTCTTGTTATGCCACGCCATGTATATGCATGCGATTACAACTATCCTGGGTCCTTTACCTTTCTCCTATGCACATTTTGACCAGGATCAGGTTGTTAACCATTTAACGTTTCTCAAGCCCTGGAGGCCTTCAGGATCGTGTACCACAAAAGCTGCTAACCCGCCATTTTCACCTGAAAGATCAAGCTCTGACGAATCGCATTTCTTGTCAGCATTGACATGAATCAACGTGCAGAGATGTGTTTGTGTGGGGGAAATCGCGCCTAATCCCAAGGCTAGTGCGGAGCTGCAGCTGCAATATTCCGCATTGAACCGTGAACAGGAAACCAGGCGATTCCTCCCGAACCTATGAAGTGTGAAAGTGGTATTTTCCATCTATGCCCTTACAAGTTCAAGTGCTTAAGTACCTCGATAGCCATCTCGGCTCAAACTAAAAGAAACAGTAAGAAAGCAGACAAAGAGGACGAGTAATAACGAGATAGGAACACGCGCACACGACCTCAAATACCTCCTCAACCAGCCAAAGTACATGAGTCCGCACTGAAGTTCATAGTCAAGATCAGACGGCTAGAGACCATCTTCAGAGATGTCACCCCCAGCCGATGAGGAAGAAGAATAGATGTGTTGTATTTCGGAAGAACCATACCCATGTCACCTTGGCCTCGATGCACTCCAAGTGAGAGCCATTGAACAGTATACATATATTACTCACAGATACACACACGGATACAGCGAAACGTAGTAGGTGCTGTTTATCGTAGGGCACAGCCCCATCGGACAATAATCGATGACTCAGGAAAAACTAGAGAATAACCACAAACTTGTTATGAGGTAAATAAGAACAGCAACTAACCAGCGGGGGTGTCGACGACGGAACGATAGTGAGTGCGCGGACGCGTCGTTTGTACTCCCCATGCATACATGCAGGCGGTGCGGCAGGTCCAGAGACCCTATTGACCAACCTACGACTACAGGTGCAAGCCTGTAACATTCGTAATAACAGTCATATTTCTGTTAACACAAGCGAAAGATCAACGTATGGTAGGTATGGTAGGAAGCTCCATTGAACTGAGGCCAACTTCAAGTTGTTGCCGTTCGCGAATTGACTTCCTAGCATTGAGCCTGGCCACAAATCCCCCAATTAAGTGCGCTTTGTGTGAAGAAGTCTATCCACTTACACTGCCATCATCGAATTCAAATAGGCTAAGGCAAGGGTTTTAGTGTTTGCACAGTGCAGTACGCAAAATACCAACTTTTCCCTAGCAGTGATCCAGGAACGGCGGAATAGAACTGATCAAGACGACTATTCTGGACCTGATACTGAAACCGTACTGATAATTATCTTCGACATGTTGTATGAACGGCAGGACTTACGAGTACAACCATCGTGATTGCCACAATGCTGGAGAACATTGAGACAAGAATGTTCGACATGTTTGTGACATTACACATACCAAGAAAATAAACCCATGTTGACAAACATTTGCGTCAGTTGTTCGAGATAATTCGGCCTTCTTCAACCACATAACCCTGCATGAGTTAGACCACAAGACCAAGGTAGATACTCGTACCGCACATTGCCTGTTCGTGCCGGACGTAAAAACCACCAGACTGTCCCTGTAATGAGAATGTCACACAAGGCACCAGCGACTGCGGAGCCCTGAGCCCACTGAGTTGAAGCATGAATGCCTTGAGTTTATTCAAGACTATTTCATGGCTAACCTTTTTGCCGAATAGATCTGCAGGGCTTCTCGTAAAGAATCTTTCAAAAATATATGAGAAATCATGCAGACTCAAGGACCAGAGCTCACATTAAACCGCTTGTGACTAGAGACGAATACAACAGCATATCAGAACATTGACTTAGGGATGATAGACGGACGCACTCATGCCAAATACTACAATGCTCAAGAGTCAGATGTTGAGTATGTGGGATCAAAAGAACTGACCGAGTGATGTAGTGGCGAACACGCACTGAAGGTTGGTGTTATGGCTATCCGAGAAATAAATAATGTAAACGAGGTCTCACGATTATGCCTGTGATTAAGCGATTGTGTTCCGTGACTGAAGAAAGACATCAAAATCAAAACTCATGGTCGAGCAGATTCTGAACGACTCACTTATCCACACTCTATGTATATAAAAGCTTTCGACAGTCGAAATTTTTTTGGTATCATGCTGCGGAAAACCTAGCCATGGGAAACACATACCAGTGAACTGCGAACACTATCAGACACTTATTGATGTTATTGAAAATTGATAGCAGCAAGATATGGAAGACTTACAGACATAAATACCCCCAGCTACAGCAGCCATGTTCAATATGTAGTATTAAACCAACGCAAATGTACTTGCTAGCATCTGCCTATCCTCTCAATGAGCCGGTTTGGTACCCAGTAACAAGTCTGTCGACTTACCACGGAAGTTCAGTCGTGCACACAAGGGACGTGCTACGGCGGCACGAAATAAGGATAGACCAGTACATCCCTATCAAGGCGAATTCGTTTATTGTTCCGAGACAACTGCGAGACATCGTCATTGGTCATGAGTGTACTCGAGCATCATCGAAATTACATACAAGACCATCATGATCTATCACAGATGTCATTAAGTCAAGACTTCTGTGGATGCACAAAATTCCCACTTACAAATAATTTGAGTCTTTTTGAATCTTGCGAGAAATATTTCAAGTAGAAGATGTACTGCCCGAAAGCTGTCCCATAGAACCTTTATAATTCTGTAGGTCAATTTTGGGTAGTAGAGGCTGAATCAGAAGTCTATACGCTGTAGCTATAACGAATCCTTGGTCTAAAGTCAATATAGAGGCAAACTGAACTGTTGGAAGACTCACCAATGACCCCCGGACCCCACATTATATCAGTGGAATTGGCGGCCATCATGTCGGGATACTAAGTATGTAGTCGAAACAATATTGTGCGCACTGTGATTTATTAATTTTCAACTCCGCTTTCCCGTGAAACGTTAGACGTCGGCATCATTGCTCATACATATACTACCCCCGATTTAGATTTAGGGTTACAGTAGCTTCCCTCATGGGCCTGCATCTCTGTTCTGCCTCATATTGTGCGGTCCACGAGGATCTATGGTGCTCGTACGCTTTACTTTCCAGAGACGTTCTGCATCAAAAAAGAGTTAAAGCTAGAACGATACTCATGATCAATGTTAGTCTCATCGGTATTCCAACTTGATACCCCCCACACACCGAAGGAGCTGTACTAGCTTTGATCGAGTCCAAGACGTAGTCGAAAAAGAAAGCTACTCTCAAAGTCATTTGCTGCGATGGAGCCCAAAAATGACTCACGGGTATGTAGGTGATTATATTGAATGGCGAAAGCTGGCTGGCAGGAAAAGCTTCAAAAAATCCAGGTGTGAAGGGAAGCTGGCACGGTGTTTGTGGAGAGATAAAAATCATATGTATGAAGACGCAGATGCGAGATGGATACATTTATGTTGAAACTTAGACTCGTAGCCAGTCTGAAGCAGTAACTATCATAACGTCAATTTGAGATAGTAAGAAAATTTCCACTCGAGCATCCGTGGTAGTATACGCCAGGCTGGCCACGAGTCTAGTCGAAACTCGAGACACTGATGACCACAAACCCTCTGCCATTTGAACGTACTGCGCGTCAAGGTGATTAATCAGTCTCAACAACAGCATGGGCATGGAATGATGAAGCACATTCCTCCGCCCTGACGCTTGAATTCAGCTCATCTTTTTTGCAATTCGGAACAACTACTTACAGGGCAAGGAATGCAACCGCCTCTCAAACGCATCGGCGAGTGTGTTTTCTCCTCTTCCTGTGGAGATGGATACAACAACATGGATGATGAAGACGGTTGGGAGGAGACAATTCCTCTCGGGACAGCATGAGCTGCGGGCGGGTATGCAACAACGTGGTCAGCGAGAGGTCCTGAGCTGGAATTCATTTGGTTTTGGTAGAGTAAAGGTTGAGGTGAAGAAGCACTTACTCCAAACATTCGATATTTATTTCCAAGACTCAATGACGTCGTAAATATCAATTACGTAAAACTAAGGAATTTATTATAAGACAAGAAAGGAAAGTTTTGCTTACGTGCCTGCACACCCTAATGCATCCAAACGTAGCTCCGTAGCCAAGATGGAACAAACTGCGCTCCTTATCGATATCGCTAGACCATCATCGATCATCACCTACTAGTGCGAAATCAAAGTAGTACGCAATGTCAACCGAAGACCGAATCATTTTTCGTCAGGGTGAGTATGTGTCGTGCTGGATCGAATGCCGCTGTACTGACTGTATTTAGGGATCAGCAGCGGCTTCGCTGGACTTGAGGTCGCCAATTTCGAGCACAATTTTTCCAGATTGGCGTCAAACCCTCAGAATCTCTCTATCACTTCTCAAACACGCCAACAATATGAGCCACAACTATCCGCTGCCGCTGCACCCCTGATTGTCTCTGACGCTGCTGCCGAGATCGACCAGGTCATCAACACACTCCAGAATATCTGGAACCCAGTCATGCAGGATCCTGCCGTAGAGCAAGGTGCCCCGCCACTCAACTACTATAAGACATCTTATGGTATATGTGTCATACGCGGCGGAAAACCAGTGTGGTCAAACTACCTTCCTGAAAGGGGGGTCCGTCCACCAATCTCTGAAGAGACAGCGAACAATGATGAGAGTAGTCAGTTTGGGGACGCGGTGAAAGTTCTCCAGAGCTTGGTGCAAAGGTCGCAGGCAGCTTGAATGGCGTCATTTTGACTCCTCCATATGTGGATCAGTGAGCTAGGCAGAAAGTCATCAGGACGCAATCAGGAGGTAGATTAGATAGGAAATTTATGTGGACATAACGACACCATGACTTGTACGGCGGGTATAGGATAGGAGGAAAGAGTAAATGCATAATTCAGTTTGAGAAGAAGAATACGAATCATTTGACAGCCTCTACCAGTTCACTGCGATCAAATTTCGCGGGGTCATGGAAGTCTCAACAAAGTTTTAACGATCCTGCTGCTGAATGAGGGTACCATCACGTTCTTCACCCTGTTCATCAAAAGGCTTTTGCGTCTCGTCTCTTTCTGGTAGTTTCATTTCTTCATCATGACCGGTCCTCTGAGCATCAGGATCGGGGATCTTGGAAAGGGACAAAGACAGGATGACTGCCAAGCCGGCCCAAGGAATGAGGGAGATGAAGCTCCAACGGACACCGTTCCTGTAAGCATCGCGAATGATTTGCTGAACAACCGGTGGCAGACCTTCGAGCGACTGGATGGAGTTGAGGCCACCACTGCTGTAAAGCGCTTCAAGGACGTCGAGGTCAGAGCCTGAGACGACGCCGCTTCGTATCTGCCCTACAACATAGGAGTTGACTTTGGCGTTCATGACAGTGAAGCACTGCGCTAGACCAGCGGTTCCACCGAGGGCGCGGAACTCCGGGACATCATTTGAATATGCGCACCATATGGCATGCTGACAGAACTCACGAAAAGCATCAGAGCGTTGGTTACGGCGACGTGGTCTGGCATCAAAAAACGTGCTTGAACGACAACAGGGCCAGCTGGTAGACCAACCCCGAAACCTGCCACACACATGAAACTAAGGCTGGATGGAAGTAATCTGCTTTCGACCGATATAGAGAACGTCTTACCCATCAACAAGCCCTTGCACATTCTTCTGCATGCCCATCTGAATGAGACCCAAACTAACAGTCATGACGATTGATCCAGCAACGATTGGATATATCGGCTGGAAGGATTGTTAGATATGTACGTTTAGCGAAATAATCCCACCTGTCTGAAACGCTTGATCAACCGTATGGATACCAAGCTACCACATCCCTGTCATAACAGTGAGACATTGATAATCAGATGTAGTACAAAAACATACAATGCCAGGAGCAAAATAGAGAAGCTGTATACCGGCTTGATCAGGCGGTAAACCAGTGACCACAGTCATAAATATTGCGACGAAGTAGAACATCACAAATGTGACGATGCCAGATACGAAGGAAGCATACTGCAAGGCACATATGTCGTAGGACCGGAAAAGCTCGAGAGGCAGCATAGGCTGCACCTGATAGAGTGCCGAAATTGCTACGGTAGAAGCCTGGTGCTTCCGCTCCAAGGCGAGCTCCCAAAGAATGCAGGTCACAAAGAAGATGACACCAATAACCAGGCAGACTATGACACGGGTAGTCTTCCAGTCGTCATTGGGACCCCAGTTCAGCGCAAGCAGAATGAGGATGGCTCCTATAACGAAGAGGAACGTTCCGATCCAGTCGATGAGGGCTAGCTTAGCGATCCATGTCATAGACGTGGCGGAATTTGGAAGTTCCTCAGATGGCTTAGCACCTTTTACACGTTTGCGGAGCAAAAAGAAACACAAAACCATGGCAAGAGCAACGCATGGAATACTATATTTCTGTTAACATTGTTCATCAAGTGTACCGTGAAATCCATACTTGATCGCGAACACCCAGCGGAAGCTGACAGTAATGAGGTAACCACCGATGACGGGGCCTATACTGAAGCCGATAAAATACAAAATAAACATGGAGGATTGCTGGATATTGTTCGTGTCCAGCGAGGATGAATCTGACAATATTGTCCGCACAATCTTAACAATGATCAGAATGTTGTTCTTCAACACAAAGAGTACACGTACTGTCAACAAACCAGCAGCTCCAATACCAGCTATTCCTCTACCAACCAAAAGCATTATCATATTGACAGCTCCCGTACTGAGGGCGCTGCCAACAAGGAAAGATAGAAGAGACAATTGAAGTCCAAAGTGACGGCCATAGATATCGGCAATGGACGCGAAGAAGGGCAAGAAAACTGTTGATGCTAACAAATATGACGTGCCAATGTAGCTAGCAGTGGAAAGTCAGTAGAATTCCCATGTCGCAATTGAAAATGTATCTGTACCTTTGCAGGTTTAGAGCATTGAATACAGACTGAAAGTGATTTCAAGGACTGGCAGATTGAAGATAATAAAAACTTACTGCAATACGAGGTTGCGCAGTGGCGACGACTGGGTGTTCCAATAGGGTGAGACGAGAGGCAGAAGAAAACAGAAATGACTTGCCCGTATAATCTAAAGTCTCCAGTATCACTGGGATGACCAAAGCGCACATCAACCGCCAATCAAACCTCTTCCAGAAACCACCCTCAGCCTTAGGTGGCCCATCATTCAAGTTGGAGAGTTGTGGAGAAGCTGCAGAAGAAACGAGTTGAAAGACCAGAATTACACAGAATAGAAGACAGACCTTGATGCTCTGCGTTCTTGCCCTTGAAGCGGCGGAGGATGGACTTGACAAGAGCCATACTTGTAGTTGAGGTCTAAGGTCAAGGGTCACCCGCGTATACGACATATACAACAGACACAGCTAGTCTCCTATATAGGCAGCCCAAACGGAAGGAAAGATAGTCGCAGAGTCCTGAGCGCAGCGCCCGTGCTAGATTTGGCCTCAAGGAGATACAATTGGGGGCGCGCAGCAAGGCTGTTCAACAACTTGAACGGCATATGTCTGACTAGAAAAGACAACACTGGAATGATGATTCCATAGCCACCTCAAGTCACGCAACACTACAGCTAAAGGCGATATTTGGCCCGCTTCATTAGGGCAGTGTATGGAAATGAGTGCTGTGTTTTCTGCGAGGACGTCGGCTACTGACAATCTCTAGCAATTCGATTACTCTCGGGCCCAATGAGCATGTCGAACGGTCCGAAGCGCCTTTTGGAATGTCGCATGTTCTGATTGCGCGGTCTGCGCGGTCTGATCGTGATGTGACGTCATGGCAGCCAAGTCCCTTGCCATTAACCCACTGCCTGTGTGAAAATTCATGGTGCAGGACCAGAGGAATAGGACAACGTACGGATAAAAAAACAGGATGTTGGATCATAAGCCAAGTTTGCGTTACGTACGATATAGCTCTACCAGTGACTAGTCACGACTAGTCACGTCTAATCCTTAGTGGGCAACTTTCACTCCACAAATAGTTCTGACTGGATCACGCCGGGATGACGAGAATCTTCTTCCTCATCATTGTATGCTTTGGGCCCTGGAATGGTATATATGGCGTTTTGTCATTTTTACAGAGTTTTCGGCAGCGTTGGACAGGCACCCAATGTATTCGAACATGACAAATCAAAAAGCAGTGATTTATATTCGAAGTTCATACAACTGAGGGAGAGTTTGGTAAATGGCAAACCCATCTCAGGACACAGTTGTGACAACTACTTCCCTATCACATCCGCCAACTGTGTTGTTGGAATTGCTGCAGGGTAGGCTTTCCTCTGTAGCCTTGTTTGCGTCTTCTGTTCGTAGGCATATGCAAAACTGACAAGGCTATACTCGCTCCATGCTGTTCCAAAGAACGAAAGTCCAATTGGGACGCCTGGAGCAGGATACACAGTCTCGGGCCCAGCGCTGCCAATTGTAATATTCTCTGGATAGAAACCCAAAGGCACTGAGCACCGGGAGCATTAACTAATCAAATAGTTAGACATAGGAGAGATAGATCACTTACCCGTGACAATCGGATATCCCGCGATGGCTGCGAGAGCACTGCGTGTGAGCCCATAGATAACACGCAGATTTTCAGTACGAACCTGCAGGAACAGTCGTGTAACCTGGTGCAGGGAGTACCAGAGCGTCAAGAGCGTACATCTTGAGGGCTGCATCAATTCCACGAGTAGCGCCGAGTTCCACGTCAAACGCGAGAGATTGGTAATAAGATGCATTAAAACCAGTAGTCGCTTGTGATTCAATCAAACTGTGATTATTTTCCGTGAATATGGCTGTGCTCTGACAAGGGTACTCACATAGACTGGTCTGTGTATCCCGCGGGCTCTTCGAGCGTTGGGTTGACGCTGTCGAACATGATTAAGTCCTCAAGTGAAGCCACCCCTGATGGGTTTGCGACGAGGCTGTCAAACCAGGCATTGAGTTGCACCTTCCGAATCAAAGTGTTAGCACCAAGTTTTTTGAATATCTTAACTGTGCTCGAATACCTTGAAGTCAACATCCAAGACAATGGTCTCATTGTTAGACTCGTAGATTTCATACGCCGAAGGCAAATCAGCTGGGTCTACAATTGTCGCGCCAAGAACCCTTAGTGTCTCCAGCGCCTGCTCGAATACTTGATTCACATATGGATCATTGCCGGTCATGCTGTCGTTCAAGAAGACTGCGCGAGGCACTCCAATGCGCTTACCAACAAGAGATGTGTTACTGAGTGCCATGGTATAGTCGGGGACAGGCATCGGCTGTGCCATCGTAAAGTTGTCGTTAGGGTCTGGGCCGGCGATGATGGAAAGGACGATGGCAGCATCTGTAACGGAGCGAGCGAGCGGACCGACTGTGTCTTGGTGCTCGGAGATCGGTATGACTGGAGATAAGTTTGTGAACTTGATATAAGACGAGGCAAGACGAGACTTACCCCCAGCACGGGATGTTAATCCCACTGTGGTCTTGATGCCTACCACATTATTTTGATTTGCGGGGCATGTGATACTTCCGTCCGTCTCCGTCCTGCCTCTCATATCAATCAAAGTTCAAGTACAAGAGAGAGTGAACTAGAGCAAACCCGAGAGTAACAGCAGCCAGGCCGATAGATGCAGAGACGCCAGATCCAGCCGACGAACCACACGGATCGGCATTTGGGTAATATGCATTCGTGCACTGTCCTCCACGACCTGACCATCCAGAGGCAATGTTCCCACGGAAGTGTGCCCACTCGGACAGGTTTGCCTTGCCTGCAGTGGGACACTGTGTGTTGAATTCTGATATTAACCTGTGGCTTCAGAAAACGTACCGAGAATAACGGCTCCTGCCTTGCGTAATCGCTTCACTACACCTGCATCGTTCGGAACTACGGACTTCAACAAGCTATATGACCCTGCAGTCGTGTTCATTCCTTCGTGCATTGATATCACCATCGATTTCCCACCCCACATCATTGAAACGTACCTTCAAATGCTACAGTCGCAATGTTGTCCTTCACAAGCACTGGGATCCCATGGAGCGCACTCCGTGGCCCGTAGGTGAGCCGCTCACCATCCAGCAGTGCAGCTTCCTGCAGCGCAGACGGATTGGTCTCAATCACAGCACGAAGCATTGGCCCTTGCAAATTAACTTCTTCGATGCGGGCGAAATATGCCTGTCATAACAAAAATGTACAGCCATATCCACAACTCCATTAGTATCATCGCAGGCGATTTGTGACTATGAGAGACTGCTAGCATGCTTACGGACCTTTATCAGGTCAACGCTCGTGAACTGTCCCGAGGTAAGGCCCGCTTGGAGCTCGATCACAGATGCTTCGTAGAGATCGGGTAGAGGCGTTGTGATTGACGCAGAAACCACTCCTCGGGAGACATAGAAGGAATTGCTTAGCGCTAGGCATGCCCAGAAGAGGGTAAGTAGTTTTGCGCCCATTTTTTCGTGCAGAGAGAAAGCGGAAGGTTCGCACCTAGTGATAAGTGGGTGACAAGATGGGCTTGGTTCAAGTAGCCCCGAGCGGAGCATTTCCCAGAGGTCACTTGAGTGATAACAGTGACAAGGAAGACATCGAGGCAAGGTTGACTTCTCACACGACTGAGGAGACCTGCATGTGGACCTTGTCAAACGTTCAAATTTAGTAGAGATAACGCCTGTCGATCATGCGCACCGGGAGAAGTATATGTCGATATCACATTTTCTGGCTTGGTGCCAATGAAAGCATCCTTCGCTTATGTTGAGGTCAAGCTAACGGACATTATTGGTCATAGGCACTGTGATATCGTTTTTATTTTGAACTAAACATATCAATGTTGGCACTGGCTAGTTGAAAAACAGTGTCAACTTGCCATAGCCAGTCACCTGCCAAGGAGAATGCGAAATATCAACAGTGTGTTTAAGGAGTGGCTGAACTTAACAGTAATGTGCAACGCAGCGAAACTTATGTCCTCCCATCTAACTCACAGTTACTCACTGTTCTGCACATGTGGCAGTCCCACCGTCATCGCATTCCACTGCCTGCCTAGGGGACCTCCCAGTTTCCATGACATCCCCACGCCCAGTCCATCTTCCGGGTCGTCTCCTGCTGAGCCTCGGTACGGGGAGTGTGCATATTCCGTGCTTGGCATCATTCGTGCACGTGCGAATCCCATGGAGGGGAACGATGCCACCGTTGATGATGACCCGGATATGACTGGAAAAGAATAGTTTATGACGTAGGAAACATCGTGGAATACGCGCCAGTAAACCGTCAGCAACCTATTAATCATGTGTATGATGTAGAATACGCACCATCGAGGTCAACTGCTTCACGCGGATGATCCACAATTGAGCGCATGTACGTACATTCGGGCGTGTGAAATGTGCAAACAGAACTAATGGCAAAGACTCGCCCTCCGGTACCAATATTAATATCATCTGCCACTGAGATACACACTGCAGTCCGCAGCTGTGGCGTTCAAAGACCTACTATCGTCCTGATTCCTGAGATATTATCGGTGATACTACTACATAGGCTCATCATGGTACCGTGGTCTCGGCCGAAATGACCATTCATCTACACCCTGTGACATAGTTGGACACGTGAGTAAGCCTTGCTCGAGACTCGAGTCTAACGCGAATCGTTCTCGTTCAAATCTTTATAGCTATTAATGGCCTTGCTGCCAGAGCGTGGTGTGCCCTCGTAGTTGCCACTTGATGGGGCCAAGTCAGGTTGACGAGGGCACGATACCGCGCGGACTAGAGAACGATAAAGGATAATCAGGTTCGACAGCAAAGGTTAGCAGACACGCAAAAACCAAGAAGTCCAACCTGTGCAACAATTTTACGAGCATCGATCACAAATAGTCGCCGCCGCTGCAATCACGGAGGATGAAACAGGCCGCGGAGAACGTTGTCGCTGGCTGGCTTTCGATCGTCAGTATTCACACGATTCTTTTCTCAATGTTTGTGCGAGGTGCACGGCATCAGATTCAGGGTCTTAGGCAGTGTATTCAAACAAAGGGTACAGTAACAAGTTTTAATTGATCCGTACTTACGAAACGCTTAAACTCTATTCTAGAAGTTTATTGTGTATTCTGTGAGATCTGGCGGCTAGCCTATCGTACACACAAAAGGAAATTCTATGAGGTAGGAGCATGTTTAATACCTACACACAAACAAAGAGCAGGTAGCGAAGGCCTGGCTGACTGAAGGGCATGCAACCAATACAGAAAGAAGGACTCATCTGGGAGACTGTGCTACAGTTCTATTCTTTGTGAGGCCGAGCGTAACAGATTGCGATACAGTCGCAGTGTTTGGGATGCTGAGAAGTTGGGCACCCAGTCGTCCTCTCAGTAGGGACGACAAGGTCACTGAGCTTCGGGGCTGAATGGCATGAATAAAGCCTCGGCCAGAGCAAGGCTTATAAATGTAACGAGTGGAGTGACTGTTCAGAAGAAATCATTTTAGCAGGACAGGGATCATCCAGAGAGCTTGAAGGAGTGACAAGAAATTATCTACGAAGGTGGCCCATGATATGAGTGCACGACACACATGTACTAATCGTGACAACGTTGTTGCTCGTTTTCTGCCATAACATGCGGCTCTGTTCACACAGGGGATGGACAGGATCCCGGGCCGAGAAGAAGCCGGGCCGGTCGACTAATTTCAATAAGTAGGTACGACGTTTCTTACTCAGGATACGCAGTCCAGTTGTTGGCCGTGGGCCGCATCATTGTAGCCTATTTGTAGCTCCTTGCGAATTGGGCATGTCCATGACAACGGCCCCCGCTAGTACGGCTGTGTACTCAGTGCCTTCGGCGAGACGCGCACGTCAGCGCACGTCGCACGCACTCTACAATGCTCATTTGATTGACGAATTACTACGGGCGGAAGCAATCTCTATACATAAAGGAGATTAGAAAATTCGACGATTGCGAAGAGCAACTTCATCTACCTCAGCATGGTCAATCCTACCCTTTATAAACTTGTTCTCTCAGCAAGCTCTGTACTTGTTGCCTTCGGATGTTGGAAGCTAGGAGAGCGAGTCTGGCGCAATTTAAGGTCGCCCCTACGCGCATTACCAGGCCCCAAAGGAACAAGCTGGATATATGGGAACTTGAAGGACATCTTCAACGCGGTACAGTGATACATCGGATTAACCATGATGATGTATTCATTGAAAACTCACAGGAGAACTCAGTGCTTCACGAGCAATGGGTGAAGCAGCATGGGACAACTCTGAAATACAAAGGGTTCTTCTATGTATGTCCATTCCTCCTGCGCTACAAAACTTATAATGTCTGAACTTCTTTTGTCAGTCAGACCGACTGTTCACTATGGATACTCGTGCACTGAACCATGTTCTCACCCATAGCAGTGATTACCAGAAACCGTCACAAGTCCGGTATAATCTTTCTAGAATTTTAGGCGAAGGTGCGAGTCAGCGTGTCTACTGTTATCCCAGAGAGTCTGATACTGTCTCAGGTGTCTTGTTTGTTGAAGGTGCGATCCCAACTGTGTGACATCCACACTTATACTCATGGCAGTCTCAAGGGGCTCAACATCGTCAGCAGGTATGTTTTTGCACGCATATCAATGTCATGATTTTGATGGCATCTCTCAGAGACGGATTATGGTACGGCTTTTCCTTTTGTTTGTCTTGAAACCAATTGACCATGTCTTCTGAAGAACCCCGCATTTGGACCTGCTCAGATTCGCGCACTAACAGACATCTTCATCGACAAATCGATCAAGGTAAGCTTAGTTTGTTTCTCACTAGATATGGATTTCGACGTCGCTGTCTTTCAGCTTCGAGACATCTGGTCTACCATGACCGCTGCGAGTGAACACACGGCTCGGATAGATATCATGCCCTGGCTGAGCAAAATGACGTTGGACGTCATCGGGCTTGCAGGTATGTCTTATCCGAAGGAGCTTCCGAGCAACACCGAATGAGTATCGTAGGTTTCAACTATGAGTTTGACGCCTTGAATGCAACCGATAAACCGAATGAACTCAATCAGGCCTTCTCAGTTATGTTTTCTGCCAGTCAGCAGATTAGCATCATTCCCATGCTTAAGGCATGGATCCCATTGCTCCGATGGATCGTGAGTGCATCATGGCGACCTGACAGCAAATTGTCGCTGACCCTCTCTAGCCCTCTGATCGTGATCGCAAAATAGATGCAGCCCAAAAAACGATGGGTCGCATCGGCAGCCAGCTCTTGCATGACGCTAAAGCCGCTGTTATATCTTCTCATGGTATTGAAAAAGGTGGTTCCATTGAGAAGAGCAGTCTTCAAGGGCGCGATTTACTCAGTCTACTTGTCCGTGCTAATATGGCAACTGATATCCCGGAGAACCAGAGGATATCAGACGAGGATGTGCTCGCGCGTATGTTGTCATTTAGATTAATAACATGCAGAGTGCTGATGGTGTACTCAAGAGGTTCCCACTTTTTTGGTCGCAGGACATGAGACCACAAGGTGCGGATGCCATTTATTGCAGAGGATAATTCACACTTACACAGTCGGATAGTACCGCAACAACTTGGGCACTCTATGCACTCTGCTTACGCCCGGACATTCAAACCAAGCTCCGGGAGGAACTCTCGACGGTGGAGACCGAGGCTCCGTCCATGGACGAACTCATGGCGCTCTCGTATCTTGACGCGGTCGTGCGCGAGACACTTCGTTTGCACGCCCCCGTCCCTAACACAATTCGCATCGCAATGAAAGATGACGTCCTTCCGTTGGACACGCCTTTTACGGACAAGTATGGAGTGATTCATGATGGGATCAAGTACGTTGCAAGCGTCCCTTTCCATGATCATCGACATCTCATAGCGGTTGCATCAGGGTTAGCAAGGGCGACCCGATCTTTATCCCGATCTTGGCAATCAACAGATCGGAGGCGATTTGGGGCACCGATGCAAAAGAATTCAATCCTGACCGTTGGGCATCACCTCCAGAGGTAGCATCCCAAGTTCCTGGGGTCTGGGGACACATGATGACGTTCCTTGGTGGCCCGCGCGCGTGTATTGGTTACCGGTTTTCGTTAGTGGAGTATGTCTCCGCAACCTTTCATTCCATCATTTATAATAACGGCCGTTTACAGAATGAAATCTCTCCTCTTTACCCTTGTTCGAGCTTTCGAGTTTGAGCTCGCTGTTCCTGCCTCGGATGTAGGAAAGAGGTCGACGATCGTGCAGAGGCCGTTCTTGCGCAGTGACCCTGATAGCAAGAACCAGCTTCCCTTGTTGATCAAGCCGTATCGCAAGACCTCATAATCAAATTCTTTAATTCTGTAATAAGTGCCTTGGAAATGACGAAATGGAACTGTAATATTTCCTGATGAAAGAGTAATTGCCAATGTGCAGAGGCTGTTTTCTGTACGGGTAAATCACTTAAGATCAAAGATCATTCTATTCGATTTTCAGTACGTAAAGTGATTGTCGTATTAGATTCAAGGCCTGCCAGATTACTGAGATAGGAGTTGAGTGAATTTCTCAATGTGAGCTTCACAGAGCGCAGAAAAGTAAAACTCATGCTCAGAGTTATGGGGTTGCACGAGGTTGTGAGCGATCTCGTGGGCTAGCGTGAAGTACCTGGGGCAGGTCATTAGTTCAACAACTTCAAGGTGATGATATCTTACCAGGAAATGTGAGCCTGATTAACATCTCCATTCTTCACGTCTTGGTCATCTACAGTTGACAATGTTATGAGAGTACGGAACTGCAAGTATGCACACGCACGCCATGCCTCGAAGAAGCGGTGATTAAGAAAGAGACTGCCGTTCCGATTAAAAGCAATCAGGCCGCCAGCCAGGTCGTAAAAGACATGAAGTGAAGTCATAGGAAGACTATACACGTTTGCGAGGGGCGTGACAATGTGAATAAAGCGCGCGAGGGAATCATGTTTCCTCTTTATGAAGGTATGAGGTTCGGGAACATCTAAACAATGTGAATGCTGGATCGTGCAGGACAATGGGACACTCACCCCGAGCAATGAAGATTTTCATTGTGCCCATAGCACCTGCACATCATTAACGACATGAACATCAGGACCTAAGTCACTACTTACCGATATGATCAAGCTCAGCAACATGACCGGACACATCACAATACCCCTCATCTAGAGACTCCTTGATCGTTTGCATCTCACGTCTGTTGTGTACCAGCTTCCCTTCCTCTGGTCTGCAACCTTTGATTGCCATCGCAACATTCGATCCTAGCAACATGTCAGGCAAGTATCTTGGCAAGTATGGAATGGATTTCTCTACGCTTACGAATGTTGCTCTGCGGAGTCACAGTTGGAGGTGTCCTGGGAGATCTCTAGTTCAAAAATATATTCTCACCCAACGAATGACTCTCTTACCTCGGATTGGGGGATCGCCCCTGTGAGGGAGTAAGAGCCTCTTCCGATGGACTGTTGAAGCCAGGTATCTTGCGCCTGATGTTCTGTAATGTGTTGTTCACTACATTTGGAATCATGGGACGTCTTCCGACGTCTTCATTGTCAACTGTACGTTGAGGGGGCGCAGTGGTACCACCACCAAAGTCGTCTTCTCCCGATGGTGGAGCTGGGATAAGGGGGGGAGCCGGAGCGGGTGGCAAGAATGGTTTCGATGCTACTGCCTTGGGAGGCGAAGTATCCCAACCCCCTGGGACTCTAGCTCGGTGTGAGGGAGACAACGGGCGCAATTCAGGATCGGACACTGAGGTAGGCACTGGTGGGACACGGTTCCTGGTTGCCTCCACTAATTTTCGGTCGTTCTGTTGTTGTCTCAAAATCTTATCCACTGAAACAGCGCATCAGGCTTTCGGAAAAACGAGGAAACTAGAAGACGTACCGTTATAACCTCTCCGTTTCAGAGACTTCAAGTCGGTCGAAAGGATAGTCATGAACAAGAGCGCATCGTTCACTTTTACCGTCTCAAACAGCAGGCGACACAACGATGTCGCTACTCTACACGAACCACGTTAACCTGCAGCTCGTTCAACATGACTTAAAAACACTCACTCATACATGTCCACTTGCGTGCTTCCTGAAAGCCATAGTTCAATAGGCCCATGGCCAGAACGTTTGGCAGCTGCCGAGGCATCCTGCTCCCTTTTCAAAGTACTGTCTCCAAAGGAAAGCGATTTTACTACGGTCAATTTACCGAAAACCCTGACTTTGAAATTTTCTTCGTTAGAGAGCCAGCTGAGAGAAACCTTGGTACGCGTATGCGTGTGTTCATGGAGGAACAATGGCAGCCTCTCTAACAGGAGCGCACGAGCGTCAGCCGCAGACTTGTTATGCTTCATCTCTGAGTTGACCCTGTAGTCTTCCTTGACGATAGCGCTGAGGCGTTTAGAACCTAGTGCTGCGTAGAAGTCTGTGGGAGAGTTAGATCACCCTCAGTAGAGAGCCAAAGGCATACTTTCAAGGAGATCCTCCTGTGGCGCAGTATAGATAGACTCCCCAAACATCTGGTAAGCATTAGTATCGTCCGCGATTACAACATCCAGGGGTTTCCGAAGATCGTAAAGCAGCTCCCAGTCGTCCTCGTCGAGGTCTAGTGCTTTGTCTGATTCCTTTCGAGGCTTTCTTTGCCGTCGAAAACCGATCAAAATGGGAGAAACTTTCATTCGGGCAACCGCGCCTGTGGATAGCAGACGAGCGTTGACAGCTAGGTTGCGCAATTCTATGAGGTAACTTGAAAAAAATGAGTGTACACGGGAGCGGAAAGCTGGGCCACATACTTCTCTTTACCACCCGCCAGATCGTAGAATCTTCGGGGATCAGCGACCAAAATACTAGCTACCTCCTCCACGGAGGGTTCTAGCTTGGAGCCACATGTACTCAAAAAACTGTTGGCAGAAGGGCCAAAATCCACAAAGACGAACAATTTTGAGTGAAACTGTCCCTTCGATGCCCCTCCAAGATAACATTGGCTAGGGGAGAGCCAACGCAAGGCCTGGGAGCCAGGTTCTACTTGCGTAGGAACAATCGGTAGACCCGAAATAATCGATATTTGGGATGAACTGAAGTCTATATAACTGTCAGGAAGGCCCCAATGTTTACTAAGCGAAGCAAACCTGCAACATGGCCTGCTAGAATCTCAAACCATTGACGAGCTACGTTCTGATCTCGAGGGGGTGTTTTCTCAAGCAGTGCCACGATCCTGGTAGCCGGTGGGTGTTCCTTCAAGCCTAGTTTGCTTACTGCGATATCCCGAACGGCATCATGTACGACCGAAAAACCAAGTACCTTCCACTGATGTGATGCAAATACCTATCAAGCACACCACATGAATATGCATTTATGATACAAGCGTTCCCGCTGACCTCGTTTGGAGTTCCCATATGAGGTCCAGAGTCGTTCACCGCTGGAATGAAAGCAACATGGCCAAAATTTTCACGTCTGTAGTCTGGGTATCTGGAAGGTATGCTGTCTATAAGATATTTGAATGCTGCGGAACGAATGTCCGGCTCTGATGAAGCGCAGAGTTTGACGGTTAAGTCTAGAGGAGGATTTTTTCGCAGACCGAGCCGATAGAGAAGCTTTGCTGGTAGAAAAATATGGTTTCAAACAAGCGACATGCGAGATAAGAGACGGACCTTCTTCGGAGCTACTTCGCCATTTGGTCTTCTCACCCCAATCGATAATCGACAAACCAAGTTGACGATTGGTGGCAGATGGCTCGTAAAGTTCACTAGCCCTATATCGTGACTTCTTCGTTCCTGGAGGAGCGTTCTCGCCCTCCTTTGAGAACGCAGACGTCATCTGAAGTTTTGTAATCTCATCTGGAGTTAATGTGCTTTGAATAGTGACTAGATGCATAATCAGGTCTGAGATTGTCCAGTCCCCAGTTTTGACCATCCTGCTGGAACGTGAATGACTGATTTGTGTTATTATGCATAACGGCTGACCGATCGAAAACAACCTGAAGGTCCACATGCTTCCGAACGCCGATGAAAGAGAGCAGCTTTTCCACGCCGCCCTTGATAACAACACCGGACACAAATGTAACGACAGGTAGATCGTTGAATATATTGGCGCTGGGAAAGTACGACAACTCTGGCTTTTGTAGGCCTGAAGATGTCGGAATGCACATTTTTTGGGCGAGCGTGGCCTTGATAATTTCATGCGACTCCTTCGACAACGATGGCCATGTGCGAGCTAAAACGGTCAAAACTCGCTCGGCCCATTCCGAAGACCTGGTTACGTCTTGTGCCGGATTAGCATTCATAACATCTGGCCTAAAGATGTGCTGCATCCAGTCGAGAATCGAAAATTCCCGCCACCCAAAAGATCTCAGCTGCTCCTGCGTAAAGTGTTTCGTGATGCTCAAAGGCATGAGAGTATCGGGTAAGGGCCCATCCAGCGGAATCATACGCTGTTGAATGAAGTACTGCACCATCGAAAGGGGAATCACCCTGGCATCCTTTCCTGAGCCCAGACTGAGAATAGTGGCATTAAGAAGCTCGGTGCGAGCGCGCTTAGTATCGTGCGTTGGATCTTGCTGCCCGACACCAACCCACCACTTCAGGCAAGCGAGGAGTTCCTCTTCGTTGAGCGGATGCTGGCGAAGTTGTGTCAGAACATCCGAAAATGTAATATCTGTGATCAGTTCTTTGCTTTGCAGAGCTCTAATGGCAAGAGGAGCAGAGGATAGAACAGGGTCAGGAAGGACGGGCAGGTGTTTGAGGAACAACGAAAACATGGGGTCGGGAGCGCGTACATCGGAGGCATCACGCACACCCGTGGTCGAAAGGACTTTGAGGGGCGAAGTGGAGCAACCAAAGAAGGCAGCCTCAAGGAAACGTGCGACATCGGAAGAAGGTGTAGAGACATGGAAAGTGAAAAATTTGAGGACGTGTAAGAACCGATCGCGCAACCAGTCGCGAAGTTCTGGATCCGGATGAAACCCGTTCGTGCTAGATGGACTTGTAGCTCCATTCCAGAGCATCCGAATATTTTCGAGCTCTATCTCGTATGCTGCTCGACACAAATAGCCGCCAACGTACAACAGTTCTCTATTCCATACTATATCATTATCAGTGGCGAGATTGACTCAGTGGCGAACACGTAGATCTCACCTGCGACGTTACGGTCGCTGTAAATATGGTCAGATGGATGCATGGAGCAATGCAAATATACTCACACTAAATCTATTGATTCGCGTTCAACCGTCGGGATAAATCTAGATGCCATATGGCCGCCGATACCCGTTGTCTGTCCGGTTGCGTGCCCCTACGTTCCTTTAGCCAATTTAAATCAATAACTTGAGATCGCTCTTACGATAAACACATGTGCTTGGCCAGCACTGTATGCATGACGTTACAGCCTGAGACTTATCAGCAGAAACAAGGTACTGACCCATTTAAATCAGCTCTGAGACCCTGGAAAACACTTCCACACGATACGGGCTGGCTCTTCTCCTCTTCCACACTCACACTGTACTCGTCTTTTCCTGTCTGCAAAGAAATCAGTCGCAAGCCAAAAACAAGGTCGCGGATCAAAAGCCCACATAAATCAGGCTGTAATTTAAGTGATTGGGTGGGTTTTTCTTCGTAGATCGGTGTAGCTCGTTCTGAAGTTTCTTATCCAGCTTCACATCTACGTCCGCATTGAACATTGTGAGTGTGACGCTTGAAGTATATACTTCCTTGGGGTCTTTCTTAATTTGGGTTTGCGGTAGGGGTTTTGCGAGCACAGCCTGGTGGTGTGACGTAAAAGTGCTGAGAAGAGACGAGAAAAAACCGCCTTGGGAACCTTTGCGCGGTTCTTCGATCGCGAGGACGAGAGGCCTCTCAGTGCCAAGATCATATACAGCGTGCATGACTTGTGCCCGGATACGAGTATCTAGAACAGTGCATCAGTACACAGACAACTAGTAGCAAGAGGAGGTGCTCGCCAGCAGACTGCACGCTCTTCACGCTCATCAAACCCGAACTGCTGGAATTTTTCAACACTTTAGGTAACCCAAGCTCCTTTGGAACACCGGGAGACTTGGCGAGATGGGCCAGGCGATGAGAGTCTAGAAAGACGCTGACTGAGCGAAGATGGACCATGAATGTGATACTGCTTGCAAGGAATCGCGTTAGATCGAAAGGCTGTGGAATTGGTCCCTGTTCGCGGAGCGTCATCTCAAAAGTTGTCCACGGATTAGATTGGGGAACATCTTTAGACGGCAGGTCACCACGCCGTACAAGGAGCTTCGAGACGTCAGCTGATATCAAGCAACAATCAACATGCATACTTGATCTCCAGTTTTGTCCTTCCAGTAAAATTGCATTCCGTGACCTTAATTCTGTCAGAATGATATAAAGATACGCGGAGGCAATCTCACCTCCCGAAATAACAAACGGTTCCTCAGTCACAGAGAACAGACTATAGAACCCTGCAAGAATAGTAGGAAATGAAATTGATTAATAGCTCAGTAGGGGCATACCGACACCAAAGGCGCCAATCTTCTCCTCGTCTGGGTTTCCCTCCGCTATCCAAAATGAGTTTGATATTGATATTATTAAGTTTCAGGTGCACTACACACCGATTTTCCTAAGCCGATTCCAGTCCTCGTCGCGAAACACAATCCCGTTATTCCGAAAGGTCCACTGGGCAACCTACAACGATCAATTAACAAACACGGAAGTTGCAGTAACATTGATATGGTACGGACTGGAGTGGCTTTGAGGTCTGGTAAGCCCACACCGTCCTCTGGTTGCATTGTATCCTTGCTGATGTTTCGTCGCAGATACTCCTCGGTCTCAAAATATATCTCAACCGCGGAAGACTGTGCGTCATCTGAATTCTGAAGAAGTTCACGGAAGACTGTAAACTCATCAGGGCTGTGGGATCAAATAAGAAAACCAATAGGTATAGTGCACCTGTGAATTCGCCTGAATATCGTGCCAACACCTTGTCGATCAATGCACGCTGATTGACTTCGACTGTCTCGTCGTAACCACTCGCCCACTGCCTTTGTTGTACATCAGCATCTCATAAGGACTCAAGCAGGCTTACGAGGGTGTCTCGATCATGAGCCATGAATTACACACGTATTCCCCGTGTGCAATGCGTTGCCAAACCTGGAGGATGCTTGAATGAAAGTTGAACGGAATTGGGCTGGTGTAGTCAACTTCTGCAGGTGTTCAATGACAGTAAGGATGGGAGCCGCTGAGTCTAAAGAAGAAAACAGAGAACCGCGAAAACAGAGACGTTGTGTACAGGAGTCTGAGCAGCAAAGCGCTATTGAAGCACTGAGTACTATAATTAGGCCTTATTCACCAAACAAACCATGACAATGAACGGAAAACGATACATCGATGAGCAAGTACTACACTATGCAGTATTTATATTGACTATCTTACTACTTCTGGCCGAGTTTTTGAACATGACTCAGTGATTACATGTGATGCTCAGTCGCAGTGGGTGCGACTGGCGCTATAGCGCTACTCGTCGTCTCCTGGCCAGGCCACGAATACTACAAGTAGCCTGCTAGAGAGGACGGACCAAGCATCCAATACTTGCGATATGTAGACCTTTTGATCCCTCGATACACGTTTCTAGCCGAATGGGCCCAGGTCTGAGAGCTGACCGATATTGAGAGCGATTGCTAAGCAGCTAAGCTATACAACCTGAGGGGAAGGTTCAACGTTGAAACCGAGGCTCACTGAGCGTGAACGTAATGAGAAGGAAATTCATTCGAAATTCCAAAACCTGAAGCCACATCGCAAGTTGCATGCCGAGTCCGGTTAAAATGAGGTCAAGAAAGTTAATTTTGAGAGTAACCTTTGAACCATTACTATGGAGCAACTGGGATGTCATGGAAGGTATATAAAAATGTGCAAAGACAATTGATGGCATAGAGACCAATATCTTCCGGGATATGGTTGAATTGATGCAATGTTCCAAGTAGTAAATTCCTTGACAAAAAATGCAGAGATGCAGAGGGAAGTGTCAGGGAGCACAGCACCCTACGCCCTGCAAGGGCAGCCATAAATCGGAACCTCGTGGCAGATCAGGGTCGGCGGGCATGGAAAATAGAATTCCAGCCTGCACCAGAATTATTGGTTCCCGGTAAGCGCAACAGCAAACCACCCAAAAACAGCCATTAAGAAGCGCACCATCCACGCTGGGTCAGCGCCAATGCCACGGCCTGGCCTGAGCTGCATCGCCAGAGCAATGTCAAACTCGGGCACAGCACGGTATGCGCGACTGCGAGGATGAATAAGCGGCAATGAAGGAGGCGCAGGAACAGGAGTTGCGACCCGCACGGACCAGGAAGGACGTGCAAGTGGTTCATGAGCTTCAAAAACTATTGCTGGGTGTACACATGTTTGTGGGGGTGTGGATCGATGATCGGGGTTAGGTGCCGTTGTGATGGGTGGTAAAGGAAGATCGCGCGAAGGTGAATCAGAGGACGGAAGGTCTTGCACGCCGAGAGACGGCAGAATGTCTAAAGCATCGTGGAACTTCTCGTCCTCGGAGTCTTCTTCTAAGTCATTGGAGGAGGTGACAGAGACATATGACAATAGAGTAGATGCGCGAACACTGGAATACAGGGGTTCCTCGCATTTCTCATTCAGAATGCTCTGTGTCACCGCCACAGCTGTTCCAGAGTCTGAATTTCCCCTGCAGGTGGACAATACTGCATGCTTTTCAACATAGGGCAGAATTTGCCAAGCCTTATGAAACCAAAAAAATTGGGTACACAAGTGCTTGGTGGCAAGCTGTCTTAGGCCTACACAGGCCAGTGCAAGCAGCGCGATAGCGCATGAGAATATGAGGAAGAGGGTAGAAGCAGAAGTCAATACACCTGCTTTCCCATAGTCAGCGACAAGGTCTGGGAGGCCGTGCGTGGTTGGCACTTCATATCCTGAGCCGATCGTCGTGATCCGTTGACCATAAGGCACTAGACCTTCCACGTTGGTCGGCCTGGGTACTGCATCAAATGAAATGTAGCCATTATCCGCGGCAGCAGACACAATCCCGATGTCCGTTCGGGCGTCGCGTTGGAAGTCACTACATCAGCCCGTATCAGTAATGTTCAGAATATAAATGCCAGCGCGACTCACTCTGGATGTGATGAACGCAAACGAAAAACCACTTGCGCAGAATCTTGCGTTTCTGCTGACATCCTACAACAGTCACTCACTAGTGCTCTTTGAAGCAAAGGAAACCACTTACAGCTCAGAAACTAGTAAAATTGGAAGACTCGAAACGACCAGCGAAAGCAGAGGGACAGAAACAAGTGTAGTAAGTATCATGTCAACCTCGATGGGATGTCACCGGCGATGACAGAACGATGGTTATTTAGATCTGAGGCGAAGGAGGTGCACCGGTGGAGGCGAAGCAAAAACCCGCTTCGTTCAACCTCGCACGACACCAACAACACGATGCAGTGACTCAAAGGCGGCATAAGGTCGGCTTCCGGCATGCAGTCGCGTCTCCATTTAGTCGTCACGTGCAGATGGAATCCCTTGCAAGGCAAACCCACTGACCCAAGGCCAGGGCCCAGTTCCGAGTGCTCCTTGAATGGCACCAACTTCAAGAAACCAGCGCCAACAGTCAAGAGCATCTTTTCATCCATCCAATGACACCGCAACTTACCGTGATCTTCTGCTTTTCGAAGAGCGCCTCAAAACCAACGCTGCTCAGCTTCAACGCCGAAAGTCTAGGTATCAACGTATGCTTTTACGACATTTTATGCTGCTGAGGACGCTAATGCCTATCCATAGTGTTTTTATTCCATCTTCTGATAGCTATTGCGTTCCTACTCTCCGAAGTCCTTCTTCAAACATCCTTTCTAGACATACCATACACGAACCTACTCCGCAAAGTACTTCCAGATGTCTACGGTGGTGCTGAGAACCTAAAGCCTCACCCATACTTTGCATCAGGGCTCCTCTTCGTACTTGTAACTGCCCTACTCCTTTTCTTTGCAAGCGGCATGTATGTTGAGAAAATTGCATATGCAAATAGGTCAGCCCTTCATACAATATCTTCATCGCTCAGAGATTTAGCGACAGTGCCGCAGATATGTTCCTCATGCGAATAAAGCCCTTCGAAATTTCAACATGTACTTGAATGTCCGACGTCCCCCCCTCCGCTCAACATTCTCCATCAGCCCCTTTTCTTTCATTTTCCATCGACCTACCCAGTCGCAAGCACCCTCCCCAACACCACGCCCATCCAATGCACCAGCTCCCATGGCTCCTATACCGCCCGCAAACAGTCCACGCGGTGAACTCATTTTTTCTTCGCGCGTTGACCGGGGCTTCAGAGAGAGCTACGAGAGATATCGAGCTGCATTTGAAAGAAAGCGAGATGGACGAGAGAGGGATGAAAGAGGGAAGACATGGACAGGACGGATTGCGAACAAGATGCCGTGGAATCAGCCGCCTACTTTAGCCGCCCCTTCACGGACCGCGTCTGGTCGCGGGCGGGGTAGCGTTGTCGGTACTCCGTTGGGGTCCAGGAGATCAAGTCCTATGCCGAGGCCAGGGACAAGAGATACTCTTGCTGTGAGGGCTAATGATTAATATTGATTAGTCAGACCTGACCATTGGCATTTGAATCCAATTTTTGCAAATCAACGACTGTTCATACTTTTATGAGGTGTTCTTCAAGCCGACTAGGGCAACCAATATACTGGACGCTGCGTTCGGAGAAGTGAACACAGCCACCACGCAAAGCTAGTAGCAGATGCGCTTTGGTTCTGTCAAGCGAAGGAAAGTTGCCGGCGCCCAGTGAATTGGAGACGAACAGTGGCCTACGGGTATATACACAGTCAATTACTGGGCTGTCAAATTCTCAGTGAAGAACAAGGCAGTAGCTTGTAAGGCGGCAGCAAAGCCAAGACATTCACCTACTCGTAATCCAATCGCACAAAGATCAAGCTTAATGGTCAACTAGTTGCGGTCCTGCGAAATCCCATTGAAATTTAGGACAACATCACAAGGTAACAGTTTCGCATATCTATAAATCAAACATTAATGAATACCGTACGGTAGCACGTTCTCAGAGATGTACCGAAAGCGCCCACGCATATCGTGTAGGTCTGGCCAGGAAGGCGAGACGGTACGTGACTTTCAAAGTAGTACTCACATCCACGCCAGATATGATTTACATGATTTCATCGCCTGCAGCGCTGCCATGAGCCACCTGATGGGCTATACAGACTTGCTGTCGGCAACAAGTCGGTAACGGTGTTTCTCTCGACATAAGCTCATGGGAACCATGTAAATGGCTCATGTAAGTACTCAGCGGGCGAGTATGGGAGATATCGCCATATTATTCAATCTGTTAGTTCATATGCTTGTTCAAGTTCTCTTAAGATACTTCGGTCATTGCTGAGTTCAAAATTCCACGATTATGCTCGGTTGAGCACGGAGTTGTAGTGTATTACATGCACTTCAGGGACATGGCATTCATATTGGAAGCACTGCGCGGTATGCGTCAGATAGGCTACGGAATTTCCAAAGGCTCCATCTCCGTCGTGTCCGACTGGATGACATGACTCACGAAGGCTGTTATCCGGATCCGAGGTGGGTAAGGGTTGCTCAGGTTAATGCTACTTAGAAGCCCGAATTGCGAGTGTGTTTCACGTTGCGTGACGGAGAGAAAGCTGCCTATCAAGTTGTTAGCACGGATACTTCTGAAGGGACATCACTTGCGGTCCTGTTGCGCCTCAACATGGTCCAATGGAAGAAGTACACAGCAAGCGTTGCGGCAAGCGCGGCACCTACCTTGCGTGGATTGATTATTACATGCCCCATTTCTGAGCTTGTCAAGCATGGATCCAACACGTCATCTAACATCTGGGGTAGCATGCGGGCGAACTACCGATGTCATACGCACGCGGGGTCGTGGTGATTCGTGACGCCTCCCGCGATGGGTTCTGCATTGCCCTTTTGAATATGTATTATGTAAGACATCTTGATGAAATGTTCTCTTTTGTCACCGGGTTAAAAATTAAATAGCTATGCCTCACAGTCATCACTCTCACTCTGGCCAGTTCTGTAGGCATGCCCTCGGATCCTTAGAAGAAGTTGTATTGGAAGCCATCAAACAACGTTTCGAGGTTTATGGTTTGACAGAACATGTACCCCGCTACAGGCTAAAAGATCTGTATCCAGAGGAGGTAGTTTCTCCTCCTCGAACCAGGCTTTACATCTAAATCCATCTATCAGAGGGAACTATCCCTTGATGACCTGACAAATCAGTTCATGAGATTTCTTAACGAAGCTCATCGACTGAAGGAGGTTTACTCTCCCCAGATCACCTTATTAGTTGGACTCGAGACAGAGTACATTACCGATGATGACCTCAATCATCTTCGAAAGCTTCTAAAGGATAACAAGAGGCGCATCGATTATATCGTTGGATCCGTCCATCATGTCAGCTCTATCCCCATCGACTTTGATCGTGTCACATATGAAAAGGCTTTGGCTAACTTTTCGGGTGAAGAGGGCATTTATATTCTCGGAAACGATCAGATGGAACGCTTTTTGTCTGCATACTTCGATGCACAGCATCAATTGATACGGCAGTTTCAACCAGAGATCGTTGGCCATCTCGATTTGTGCAGACTCTACACCCCTTCCCTCGATCTCAAGCAGTACCCCCATCGCCTGGGGCAAGTTAATCAGGAACATCGAAGAAGCTACGCGGTACGGTGCACTTTTTGAAATCAATGCTGCCGCGTTGAAGAAGGAAGGATGGGCTTCGCCGTACCCCGGAAAAGATGTGGTGGCGGTCAGTAACAAAACGTCATGCTGTGTTGGTCGTTATGTTCTTACTGTGCCTAGCTTATTCAGGAGAAAAATGGTCGATTCGCTCTGTCTGATGATAGTCACGGACCGCAGACTGTCGGGCAGTATTATCTGGATGTGGCGGACTATCTGGTTCATGTAGGAATTACTGAACTTTGGTGTTTGGGCCATTCCTCAGAGCCAAATCACAACGGGAGGTACATATCTCCCAGGAGAACTGAAGGTGATTGGCGGCTTCACGCCTTCTGGACACATAGGGAAGGTGAAAGGCGCGGAATCGCTTTTCAATAAATACGAGATGGTTTTGGCGACAGAAAGTTTCATGGAAGTACGTTTTGCGGCGATTTGAAGTACATCGATATTTTGTATTTGATCTTTTCTGCCCCAAGATGCACTCCAGTCAAAGCCCGCGAATTTTCATTTTCTGTTGACCATGCTTTGTTTCATGGATGCTGCTACGTTTTCTTCTGGCATTAGATCATCATCCGCGACGCACATTTCGGACTGCAGGTCGCTTGACAAAACATGCCTGAATGGAGTGCAAGGCTTTCAAATTCCATTACGGCGTGCGGTGTTTTGGTGTGAGGAAGCGATCAGGAGTCCTCTCGTCCTCCTGTGCCAATTAATTTGCTTATACGCTGCTTCAAATCAGGCGCAAATCAGGCGCGGTGAGCTCGCACACGTAAAAAGTTTGCATCATGGAGACACACTTAACACACTTTAGGATGGCCACGATGGCGCACCTGCGGTCACCAGCATTTCCACGGTGCCACATTTGACAGCTGGAGGGCTCATCGCAGAAGCGGTCAAACCCATGATGGTTACCTTTCACTGCTGCTAGCTCAACGCCCAAGTACTCTGAATCAAGATCTCGATTTTCCCTTGGACCCACGATCCTCATTGCGTGTCATCAGCTCAATCTCAGATGTGGGTCAGCCATGCTGCTCAAGATAAGATTAATATGTCTTCGCATCATGTGCTCACCTTTGACGTGCTTCTCGATGCAAGGCGCTCGGCGTGTCGAAGTTTAATGCCCCAACTTCGCAATCCGTACCCCGCATTGACCTTGACATCACTTAACCCCGCAGTTGTCAGTCTAGCCTTTCACGGGAATAATTTTTTCTGCTTGGCTATTATCCCTCTTATTGCATATACATGATGGGGGGCGTGCAGTGACAGGATTTAAAGGGTCGCGAACAGAGTGTCTTCAGCTTAACGATCCCACCCTCCACTAGACATCTCTCATGTGAGGGCGATTCAGATGCTTTCTTCTGGCCTGACTAACTTGCGTCACAGATAACATGTGTTACCGTCAGGTTCAGTGCGCCGGACACGGCTGCGGGCACCCCGAACCCATCGGGGACGCGAAGGTTAGCCTAGTGCAGCAATAGTACATTTGCAGCGCTTTGAAGTCACTGACAACAACTGAAAGGTGGATTGTCAATCCTCTCAATGTCGATACAGTGTTGCACATCCACGAGGCTGCCCATTTTGCCCTAGCACATGCGTTCAATGGTTTGCTGCACCATAATATGTAAAAACTCAACGACTGACAGTAATTTTGTCTCTTACCAGGATGGGCACAGCCCAAACTATCGTCGTCCAAAACGGAAATCTGATGTGTTCCCACTGTGCTAGGCAAAACGCATAAAAGATCGGACCTGCTGTGTGCAGTCACAGCTACCAAAAGGGTCTTCACCCCACCATGCCGATCACAGTTTTCTGTCCAATCACCTTGTACTTGCAGTCCGATCTTGGATTGATGTTCGTAACTACCGTCATTTTGATTGAGTTACAGTAAGCATTGGGCCCATCCAAAATCTTAGGTTAAGGGCATCGCTTATACTTTTACTTACTTATACTTAGTCTTGTTGCTGAGGGCCAACCAACTGTGTGGTCATCAATACTTAAATTGAAGTGTCTTCTTTCAATTCCCGAACATCTACCACGTTTTCAGGCATTCATAGTCCCACGAGAGGAGCATAGCCTCGTATACGAGAGTAGTACCCATCTTCGCGGGAACCTGAATGAACCAGCGTGCAATCTAACACAGTTGCGCATTTACTTTTTCGGCCGTTGATTGGATATCGTCATATGAGTCTTTGGTCTTTGCCCATAAGGGCGTTTTGAAAGGCAAAGGGGTAGATCACCGCATATAGTCTCCCCTAGACAGGCTATACTTATACGTATAAAAAGAAGACTATCATTCCTTCTTGAGGGCTTCTTTAAGGAGTAGTTTCGGATCTATGTTGTTTTGCAAAATTTGGATCAGTGGCTGGCAGTGTTATGGGATGTTATGCAGCTTCGTTGTGGCTTTTGGACGTTCGATCTTAGGCGCGGATAAGTAACCTAAAGCACTATACGGTTAATCCGAATCATGAACCTAACCGCATTCTCTAGTCCATCTTTGCAGGCAGCATATCTTCGCACTCTTCCAGCCATTAGAGAGCGATGCTCAAAAGTACATGCCATGGCGCAGCGGGGAAAGCTAGAGTATTTTGATTACGACCCTGACAAGGAATCGTCCGTTGTGAACTACTGCCTCGAAATCATGAAGGTTCCGCTTCGAGTCGACTCCTAGTCGTTACTCATAGCTGACACATATTCCAGAGAGACTTTCCCACTGCTGATGGCGGTGTTGATTTTGCGTCTGTAAGGATTTATTTTCTAATTAGACAGCAAGTGTCAAAATTACATCAATAGATCCCACCGCATGGGAGATGGAGGCATCTGGATGCAGGAAGATCGCGCATAGCGCCTTTGATAGCGAAATGGGATGAAGAGCGAGGGTCGCCAGTCGGCGAGAAAGAAAAGTGCAAAAGGTTGATTGATTTATTCCTCGTTTCTGTCCTACTGGATGCTGGAGCTGGCAACCAATGGGCATATAACGAGTTGGACGGGGAAAGCTACACTCGTTCGGAGGGGCTCGCGGTTGCCACTGTACACATGTTTGACCAAGGTCTTTTTTCGGGCTCTCCTGCAGCTCAGCCTCATCGAGTCGATGGTAATGGAGGCATCCTATGTGTCTAGTGTTCGCGTCTGATTTTTCTACCTGAAGCACAGGGACTGTCTCAGATCAATGAAGCAAGCATCGCCGCCGCTATGCAAGTCAATGATGCCAACCCGATGGTGGGTCTGTCAGGCCGAACTTCGCTCTTGGTCAATCTCAAGACTACATTGGAGTCCAACCCTCACTTGTTCGGTTCTGATGCTAGACCCGGAAATATCATTGGTATTGATCATTGTCCACATTTGATCAGGCACTTGGTTCATTACTTCTGATGTTTATAGACTTCCTGGAATCCGAATCGAAGTTCGATGGTTCGTCTCTGCGTGTCCATGTCTCATCGCTGTGGGGAGTTTTGCTTGAGGGTTTAGCTCCAATCTGGCCTGCAAGGCATTCCATCGGTGGAGTGCAGCTCGGAGATGTGTGGCCGTGTTCTGCGCTCACCACCGATGGGCAAGCTGAAGGAGACAACTTCGTACCGTTCCACAAATTAACGGGATGGATCACGTATAGCCTGATCGAGCCTATGGAGAAGATTCTCAAGTGGAGATTCGACGGCATCGAGGACATGACTGGTCTCCCAGAGTATAGAAATGGTGCATAGGATGTACTTTCTTTTGACACCTTCATTGACTTTTGATCCAGGAGGTTTGCTGATTGACTTTGGCGTTCTTATCCTCAAACCCAGCCTTAAGGCGCTTGCAAACTCTGACGGTGTTCCGTGCCTTCCACCATCACATGATGCTGTAGTTGAATGGCGGGCAATGACGGTGATTGAACTGTGGGTCATCAGTGGAACCGTCCCAAGATTATACTGAAATTCATGGGCAGGGATCGCATCGCCGACGGCATCCGACATCAAGTTGGTGTAAACTCTTCTGATCTGACCCTTGCCCAAGTACTAGAAAGCGCAACGTGGAAAGGAGGGAGAGAAATTGCCAAGCGGCTCCGGCCCTTGACCGGCGGACCGCCTATTGAGATAGAGAGCGATGGGACTGTTTTTTGAGGCCGTGACATTCTTCCGGAATGTATACAACACCAAAGCATATATCACTGTAGTTCGACATTGGAAGTAACCTGATGACTAGGATAGCAATCAAACTCATGTGCGTTTCAATTCCCTAGCTAGGCGCCAGCACAGGACGAAAGCCACGACCGCAGCCACGCCCCCCAACCTGATTCAGTCTTGTGGTCAGCTGTTTCACTAGCATGCATAAAGCCATTTGCACCCACCGAAAGATTATTGCAATTGAATTGGGACCTGAGTTTACAGAGAGATCATCGTCCCGATGTAAAATTTGTCGCATGGCATCTCCTGACGTAGCAATCGTACCATTGACAGGTATAGCATTGCCCGGATGGTGACCATGTAGGACAGACTTCTGGGGATCAAATATCGCGAAGATGATCGACGACAAACCAGTGACGAGAAATTGGGGTACGACGATAAACATGTTATGAATGCCCTGATAACGTTCATTAAATATGGCAGGAACAAGAATCTGAATTACTGACGAGAATGGCACCGGCCTGCGAGCTTAAGCCATTGACATTCTTTTTTGGCCTATGACGAGGCAATGCATCATGAGGCATTTGAGTCGATGAGACATTTATATCTATCTGGCTGACTCGTGCTTCGTTATTCGTCATGATCATCGGATAGCCACCATTCACTTCTTCCAACGACGAAGTTCTTGAATACGTCGGGTCTTCGAGGTCGGAATCGACGAGATGCCGAGTTTCATCAGTATCTTGCCCATCATCATCCATCCTGGATCTTCGATTCGAGTGCGTGTCCTCGAGATATATTGAAGCCGTCTCTTCATCCGTGGCGGAATGAGACAATATCGCCTCCGCGAGCTGAGAATGTGATGAAACCAGGTATTAGGGCGACAGCTCAGGGTTTGGATGATGACATACTAGCGAAAATGGGGCCCACTGTGATATGGCCCAACAAAATCCGGTCACTGACATGATGGAAGTAGCACCACCAACACTTGATACAACGCTTCATAGTTCAGGGTTCATCAAAACAATCGCTTATTTGGGCGTGCAAAGACTTACAACGTGGCAGCCATGCAGAATGCGAATATAAACAGAGAAAATGCCCAGAGTGTGGCCAAGTGAATCCGAACACGTTCGAACCACAGCTTCTTCGGTTGAGAGGGACTCAATGTGGCGACTTCTTTGGCATGGACAACGAAGAAAGGCATAATGATGTTTGCTGCAAGGGACACCAGCGCACTGTAGAACAGTGCACGCGCGCCAAGGCGTGTAGCTTCTGCTTCCAATATCATAGCTGAATTGTCGTCTTCTGGGATAGGGGAAACCCGTTTGTGTAGTTCGCCGATATACACGGTGGTATAGAATAGAACAGGGAACCAGGCTAGCCATGCACTACCAGGTCATGGTCGTCAGATAGGAGGAGCGTTACTCGGCACACACGCACAAAAATTGGATATAACACTGTAAAGCAGGTCATAGACATGGAGTGTTGAGAGTATATGCTGCGTACGATCTGTCTTATTACTCGGGGTAATCTTGTATAAGTATTCCATATGTCGTAAATCTCTTTCTTCAGCCCCTTGGAGCGGGAGCTATAGATGGCCGAGTGAGACAAATACCAAGTAAATATGAGACGACGCACTTGGTTGCCACAAGTATCCTCTCTTTGACGCAAACGGAGGTTAATGAATGAGTCAATAGCAGTAACAGAGACGCGATGACTGCTAGAACTTCTAGTTGAACACGGCCAAGGAAAGGCAACCATCGAGGAAGATCTATTTCTCCCCTGTGATAGAAATATGAGTGTCTAAGGCTACGAGTTTGCATAATTTAAGCTCACACGAAGAACCCGAATACACTGCCAATGGCAAGCATTCGAGCAGCCCACGCGTTACCACTGGGCTGATCTGAGGGGGGTAGAGTGTCAACTAAAAGAGCGCGGTCCAGAGCCTGCACTGCAGAAGGATTCTAGTATCATCGTGAACATACAGGGTTTATGATGACAAACCTGCGTTAATGGAAAAATCTATGCAATATATTGATAGGACAGCGAGCCATATGGTAAGTGAATCATTCTGATAAAGTCAGTACGGTCTGTCAGTTGTATTGAAGAGTGCACGCACTGAGGACGATCCCGGCGTTGTAAACAAAGCGGCAAATGGACGAGTGTACCCGAATAGAAGGGTCGCAGCACAACATAATGCTGCCCCAATAACAATTAAAGGTCGCCGTCTGCCAAAGCGTGACTTTGAATGATCAGCTAGCACGCCTAAAGACGCGTTGAGGGAACTGAAAAATAGAGAGTACAGGAAATGTACCTATCAAGGGCTGAACGACGAGGCCAGAGAGGGGCCCGGCAAGGAAGACCACTGCCATGAGTTGTTTTGACAAACCGAGGGACAACAGGTAGGGGGAAGCTTGTAGCGTGCAGTAGCGTTGAGTAATAATCTAACGAGACGGTGTAGGCTAACCATTCACCATATGACATCTCAACCGACCACAGGACCTGCACTCCCAAAAGCCCGACAGTAAGAGTGGGGAGACGTGTCGACGAGGGTCCCATAATCCTGGCTTTTCCTATCCACCGGGATTCATCATTGAGGGAATCTTCAGCTTCGAATGGTAAAGCAGAGAAGCCAGTCATTCCTGTCGAGTGTGCCTAGGTATGTTGTCCGCAGGAATAGCCTCTAAATAGTACTTGAAAGTCCAACTTGAACTAATGACTAGTAGTAACCATGTATGGATTTACTCAATAAGGGTGTGACCGCAGCTGACCAAAGCGAAGTTGCCTTTTCGAGATGGAAGACTTTGGCACTGAGTCACTTTGCCACTTGTCACCGCGGCAGATAATTATTATTTGCAGGAACTAATCGCTGAATGCTGACCCGCGCAGCCCTTCATCCAAAGATACTTAGTCTCAATCGCTTGCTCCATTCATCCTCCCGTATCCGCAGGCAATTATTTGACCCATCCAATATTGAACGTGTCTCCGAGGATGTGGACGTCTGTATCGTCGGAGCTGGCCCCGCTGGCCTAAGCACCGCGATTCGACTCAAGCAACTGGAACAAAAATTGGGAAAAGAATTCAGGGTCGTTGTGCTGGAAAAGGGCGCTGAAGTAGGTGCGTACTCCGAATACTGAACTTTTCCTGTGTCACTGTAACTCGCCCCAGGCTCCCATATTCTCTCCGGAGCTGTCATCGAGCCTCGAGCACTCGATGAGCTCTTACCAGATTGGGCCCTCCGCGATGACCACCCACTCACGCAGCCAGCGACGTCCTCTCGCATGCGTTTCCTCACCAAGTCGCTCTCGATACCTATACCCCATCCTCCGCAGATGTCAAACAAAGGCAACTACATCGTCTCGCTCTCTCGTTTCACTGCGTGGCTCGGGAACATTGCGGAAGAAATGGGTGTTGAGGTTTATCCTGGGTTCGCCGGCGCGGGCGTAGTCTACGCAGACGATGGGAGCGTCGCTGGTGTCAGGACTAATGAAGTTGGTCTGGACAAACTAGGACGCATGAAGGAGTCCTTTGAGCCTGGAATGGAGTTTAGAGCCAAGGTCACCCTTATCGCGGAAGGCGCCCACGGTTCCATCGCGAAGGAACTCATCCATAATTTTGACCTTCGCAGAAATTCCGATCCACAAACATACGGCATTGGCCTCAAGGAAGTTTGGCGCGTGGATCCAGCCCAGTATCGACCTGGTGAAGTCGTCCACACCATGGGCTGGCCCCTTGACTTCAGGACCTACGGCGGTGGCTGGGTTTACCACATGGCTGATGGCCTCGTCAGCCTTGGCCTTGTAATCGGACTCGACTATGCCAACCCATATCTGAGTCCCTATAAAGAATTCCAGGTGTGCTCTTTTTGATTGCTGCACGCATCCTTCTGATATCGCATTCAAGCGCATGAAACACCATCCATATTTCGCACAGCTCCTGTCTGGGAACTCCACAAGGATAGCGTATGGTGGACGTTCGCTCAACGAAGGTGGTCTTCAATCTGTGCCTCAACTTTACTTCCCCGGTGGTGCCCTGGTTGGTTGCTCGGCCGGTTTCGTCAACATCGCAAAAATAAAAGGCACCCATAACGCGATGAAGAGCGGTATGTTGGCTGCCGAAGCAGCAGCAGCTATTCTATCACAGGACTCTAGCTGTGGACCCGCAGACATGTCACAGTACGAAACTGCACTGAAGAATAGTTGGGTTTGGTCAGACCTCAGCGAGGTTCGTAACTTACGTGCAAGTTTCCACACTCCCTTGGGCATTTGGGGAGGTATTGTGTATTCTGGCGTCGATTCTCTCCTCCTTAAAGGACGCACTCCTTGGACGTTTCGCAACCGAGCAAGGTTGACGGATGCACAGTATACTCAACCTGCGTACCGATTCCGCCCTATCAACTACCCTCCACCGCAGCCCCCGTTGTCAACAGATTTGCTGACTTCTTTGACTTTAACCGGCACGAACCACGCAGAAGACCAGCCTGTACATCTTCGTGTGCGCAAAGATAGCGTTGAAGATACCGCAATTCGGAAGTTGCACGTGCAACGCAACGTGAGCGATTATGCTGGGTTATTGCAGCGGGCTTGCCCTGCTGGCGTTTACGAGTACGTTGAAGATGAGATGGCAGCAGATAGGTGGAATGGACATAAACTAGTCATCAATTCTCAGGTGCATCTCATTCTTGAATCGTGTGCCATGTCTTATGTCGGTCATTGCAGAACTGCATCCACTGCAAGTTATGTGATATCAAGGTCCCCACACAGGATATTACATGGACAGTTCCCGAGGGAGGTGGAGGTCCAAAGTACAGTGAGTATCTTTCGCTGACTATTGTCGTCATGATGGCTCATCTTATTCTCACCATTAAGCCATTACTTGACGATATGATAGTGTAGTGTAGCTCTTGGTTAGCACCAATGTAGTTACATAGCCTAGTGCAGTTAGGTGTGCAGTTCCGAGTCATAGCTAAGCATCTTCGGTTATTGCTATAGCGCCTGTGTTCTAAGGGTATTTGTGAGACAAATATATTTGAAACTAACTACGAGAAATAGCGTGAACTAAGAGCTAAGATATTAGAGTCTGTTCGGGATCACGATTTCGCCCAACTTCGAGAAATTCAGAAAAGAAAAAAACAACTTAAGTAAGTACTAAGCATGCCGGTGTGCCGTGTGCCCTGGTCACAGTGTGACATCTTCTTATCGATTCAATCATGCCCTCGACACGAAACTCATCAGCGCGATACTCTTTCCGGTTCCACCCAACTATGACTAAAGGAAAAGGTAAAAAGAAAGCAGCCACTGACAGTCAGGAAACTGCCGCACCAGCAAAAGACCGCTGCATATGGTCTCTGGATGATGAGAGGAAGCTCGTGGAATACGCTGTACAACACCACGCCAAAGGTGGCGATGGTATGAACTTCACCAAATCGTTCTGGGTTGGTGCCGCCGCCAAGATGGCAACACGCCCATGCCCTGAAGGCGCTCCCAAGACACCCGAAGCCTGCCAATCCAAATGGACTCGGGTAAGTACTATTGTTGTATTGATACATGTGCCGTTACTGATATAATTTAATGTATCTCTAGATCAAAAAGATGTATCAGGTGGTCGACAAAATCGCTAGCCATGCCTCGGGGCTATCATTCCACCCGGAATTAGGAGCCAACATCAGCGAAGAATCAGAGACTATGTGGGCGGACTTTATCAAGGTCTTTTTTCGTCTATTTCCCCTGCTCTACCTTACTAATTATTCACGCAGCATAACCCCTCAGCGAAGCCTTTAAGAAACAAAGGCTGGTCACATTACGAGGCGCTGCGAGGGATCATTCCGACACACACGAGCAGCTGGGTTGGGTTTCATGCCGGCACGAGCCTCACCACAAACACATCGACTCCTACAGCAACTGGTAGCGACATAACTCAAAATACTACCGCCGATGCCCCCGCCGATGTCATGTCGTCACTGGAGAACGCGCTCCATCAGGTCGAGTTCCGCGATCTCGATCTCGATGATGACGACATGCGCACCACCCCAATACCGAACGATACCCCACCTGTCCCCGCGCCTATCCTACCTGTCCCTGCGCCTATCACACCTGTCACGCCAAGAGGCTTCAACGCTGCAATGCAGCCTTTTGTTGCCCCCTCGATTTCCACGCCTGGTTCATCAACCGCAGTGAAGCACAAAGCCGACGGGGACGATAGTGAACGATACGCGTCCCGCCCTCCACACTCTTCAAAAGCAAAGAGTGCGTCAGGGTCGTCGAAATCACAACGTCTCACGCTGCCACTGGCTTTGGAAGGGTTGGGGGATAAAGTGTCCGGCGAAATATCTACCGCGTCATCCACACTTCAGGACGTCATCACAGCCCACATCATGGAGCCCGTTCCATCCCGCAAGCGGCGCGCCATGCTTCGAGTCCAAGAAGAGAAGGACTTGGATGATTATGACGCTGTTGCAATGATCAGGCTGTTTCAAGCTGACGTCACTATCGCTGACGCGTATAATAGCATTACAAGAGATGGTATTAGGAAGATATTTTTAGTGCAGCACCTGCAGGAGGCAAGGAGAGTGCGCGCGAACGAACAGCAACTTTTATAATACCTTTACAATACATCTGCGCGCAATACAATACTTGAAGTTGACAGAAAACATCATCATGATTGGGCAGCAAAAACAAGATACATTGTACATAGGACTAGATACCTACAGCAAAAAAATGACAATATTATTCAGTTTGCACCAGGTGGCACAGGTGCTCCTCTGCGCCGCCTTTCCGCAAGGTAGTCATCCCACATCGACTGAGAAATCTCGTCACGAACATCATGTGCACGAATGCGTGCTGCTTCAGTGGGAGGTCCATAACAATTTGAGGGGGTATCGGAGTGTCTGCGTCGGGGAGCCGGATGTAAGTGGAATAGATTGGGCGGGAGGAGAATGCGATGAGAATGCGTTTGAAGTATCTGAAGGGAATAAAATTAGTACGCATAGCTAGGGGTAAGATTGGGGGGACGCACTTCGATATAGTATCGTTTGAGCGCTGGAAACGCTCAGCAAGGTGGTGTACAGAAATGCCTGTAACGCAGGCATATGGGGGGGTGGCTAGCTGCTCTTCTAGGGTGACGTGCTTTGAGTCGTTGATCCCGCCATTGCGAAGTAATTGAAGTAGGATGATGAATACGTGGCGATGCACGCCGAGCTCACATCGAATCCGCTCTGGATGGCCATTCAGCAGTTCGTTGACCCAGCCAACCCCCGTCAGGATTGACGTGTGATAGGGTTGTTTGTCGTAGTAGGTAGTAGTGTATGTGTTTACAGCGATCCCCGCAATGTTGATGACTTCGGAAGCCGACGAGACCACGTGCTGAAAGGACTGAATGATGGCTTGGAGAAATTTTAAGTTGGATTGTTCAGCGTCTTCTACACTCTCCTCCAAGTCCTCATTAGACTCATCTTCCTCATCTCCTTGGTCCTCCTCATCCCTCTCATGATCCCTCGAGCCTGATGTTGTTGAATCCTTGTCATCGACCTTGTCACGGTATAGCAAGAGGTTGGAAAGCATGGCCGCGGTGTGCGTATACTACACGCGCATATTGATAACAACTGATCAGCGTGACATCGGTTTCAAGCTCCGATCAGGGCGTGCTTACTTAACATTGTTTTTTTCTTTTCTGAATTTCTCGAAGTTGGGCGAAATCGTGATCCCGAACAGACTCTTAATGGCGGTCAAAAGTAAGATTCTGAAAACTCGGTAAGCTCGGTAAAGACCGTGAAAGTTCGCTTGACAGCATTTTGAATTTCACTGAAGTTTGGATCAGTCAAGTACGGCGCACACCAGCATCGCATCGGAGTATGAAATGTGATGCCTGCCCTACGACCACGACTTCGTCGGTCTGCACGTTTGCAGACCCTCTCCCAGTCTCAGAAAACCAACATACCGCACTTCAAGGACTGCAGGAAGTCCATGGAGCAGCCAGCTCCTGCCACTCGTGGAAAGGGAAGACGGGGAAAAGGAAGAGGGACCAATACCACGCCCCATGACTCATCGCCATCCATTGTGAGTTGGCAGATTGTCCCCTTGCGTACCAACAGGCTCATCAACTTCCTCGTCGAGCATCCGGCGGACTGCGCCATCTTATTCCCGGCTGAAAGCAAGAGATCTACCGACCACGGCGCTGACTTGGGGTGTGCATCGGGAAAGGACAAGGGGGATATTCAGGGTGTCATCGCGCAGTTCGTCTTTCACGATGACACTGTGTATGCTCACTGGTATGCCACCAACCCTGTTAAATTCCGCGACTCAGTAGCAAATCATATTGTGTAGTAAGTGCCCCCCCCCATCAGACTTATCATGCTTTGTGCTGACCGGATGATGCACAGTCTGCGGACTAAATTTCGTGATATTTGTGATGAGTTTGAGGCTACAGGTGCGGGCATTGTGCCCATCGACTCTGAGACGTCTCAAAACTTACATTGTGAGTCCCACGCACATCTCATTAGTAGCGCTAATACATTTGCAGGTAAAGTCAAGAAGGAATTTCCTTGGTACAATGACCTTTACAGGATATGGGGCTCCAACCCCTCGTTCTCCGCCAAGAGGAGCTCATCGAAACCGGGCATTGACCATGCGGGGGACCTGTTCGCACTGACCTGTTCTGCAAGAAGCTCGCAGAACAGCGTGCATGCCCCTCCACAAACCAACATCTCTGCCCCTGACACCAGCTCCCCACAATTTGACTATGTGGCCCCTCCCCCAGGTGTTTGTGCACCGCAATACAGGCCCATGGGTGAGGGCGCTGGTCCCCAACAAATGGACCACGCCCCCCCTCCCCCCCAAGTGCCTATCCCCCCCCAAGTGCACATCCCCCCCCAAGCGCACACAGCGACAGCTCCCCCATGCATTTGGACTATGTCCCTCTTCCCCCAAGCACTTCAGCTGCTTCAGCTGCTGGCACTGCTGGCTCTCCCCCCCCATTCAACTATTCCCTCCCTTCTCAATATGCTCAGGGAGCTGGCGCCAGCACCAGCTCCAGCTCCCAACAATGGAACTTTCATCACACTCCCGCAAACAATTGTGCAGCCAGCACCGCTGGCTCCCCCCTCCAACATGGCTACACACCACTTCCCCCCAGCAGCCAGTCATTTGTCTGCGACAATTATTCTCCCGCCCCCTTGGATCCTACAAATCACCAAAACAATGACCCACCCTATGATGCTGGCCCCCTCGCTAATGGTATGAATGACCTCCACATGGACGACACCAATGAGATGCCGGGTGAGGAGACTGTGTTCAATTTGGACAGCCCCCCCAGATCAAAAAAATCCCAAGGAAAGAAATGACAGCGGCCTCAGTCTCCGACGCCGTCACCTCCCCCCTTACCTCTGCCTCCTTCCCGCACCTCCATCCACGACGGTCACAGCTCGTTCAAGTCCCACGCCAACCAACTCATCATCCGTGAAAATAACTCAACCCCTTCCGTCACTTCGAGGACTTCATCGGGACGTGCACACTCCAAGCTGTCCTCCCCAACTTCCCAAACATCGTTTTTGGAGACAGCCAGTAGCAGGGACTCGATGTTGAAGTGTCTGTGAATGGAGGTTCATGAACAGGTTGACATGTTGAACGACGACCTGGAGAGCATGCATTCGGAGAAGCTCACCTTGTATTAACTGAAGAACAAGTGCTTGATGGTCAAGCTGAACGCCAATCGCCAAGATAAAGAACACCTTTTCTTACACGAAGAGCACGCCCATGAGCGCTCAGACACCACTCTTATCCATCAACGCCTGCAGGAGAGCAAGGCCCAGGAAATTCGTTTGTGGGAAGTGGATGCAAAGGCCTTTGAGTTGGAGAGGGAGGTGATGCTCCTGCGCATTGAATATGCCAAGCTCAACCGGGGGTAGGGTGTTGCCGTCGCTCTCACCGCTCGTCGTACTCGTTGTATGTCTGTCTTTGTTGTTCGTTTTTTTTCGCGCTTGCATGTCTGTCCTCGTTTCGCGCTCGTGCTTTTTTGTTTCTTGCTTTGTTCATGTTTCACACATCACTCATGTCTTTGTTTGCCTTCCATTGTGTACCATGTTTGCCACTACTAGCTAATCATACAAGCTACTGCTACCCCTATGTGTTACATTTGTTTGCAATGCTACTTGTGTTTGTTGAGACCTATCCTTGCCTGTGCTGAGCACCTGAGTGAGGACTATTAAATAACTGGTTCATCAACCTGGCCCTACATGCCTGACCAGGAGTGCCTTCATATGATGTATCACCCACCACTTCATCACCATCAGGGGCTTCATGCTCATCATGCAGAGTGTTTTGCCCTTCTCTGATGGCCCATACAACTGTGGACTTGTTGTGTTTTTCTTCAAACTTGATGATCATGTTGTGAAGAATAAGGCAGCACCTAACCCAATGCAGAGTAATCTGGAGGTCTTTCTGGGTCTGCATAGGGTGTTGAAGCTCCTTAAGAGACTGGAAACACCCCTTCAAAGCAGCGAATGTGTGCTCAACATGAACACGAACCTGGATAAATTAAAATCAGTGAAAAATCACAAAAATCAGCAGAAAAAATAGGAGGTACCCTGGATAGATGGATATTGAAGGTTTTCTGGTCTCTTGTCAACCTGCCATTATGGGGCTTCTTGAAAGGTGGGATACACCACTTCTCAAGTGGATATGCGCTATCAGCCCAAATCCAATGGTCATGGGGAAGGAGTGTGTCATGCTCCTGATAAATGCGAGTAGATTTGAAGGCATAAGCATCATGTGTGCTTCCAGGGTGACCGAGTGAATAATTGGCAATGAGGAGGTTATGGGGCATAATAATCGCCTAAAATTTTATATCAATTTCTAACCGTTAGAATAAGAAGAAAAAAATACCTGACAGTTGAGGGAATAGTTAGATTTTCTGTCATAAAATGCCTCACCATAGAGACCAGGTTTCTCATACAAATTAATAGCTGAGCCATCAATTGCAAGGATACCATTTCTCCACTCAGGGCAAGACTTGGACTCAACATATTGCTGGACACGCTCGGCATCTTCGGAGTCAGGAGCAGGGAAGCAGATGAATGTGTCATGCTGATTGAGGAGGGCAATCATTATGCGGTTACTGCAATTGATCACCGATCCAACACTAACACCCGCCCATTGGCCCACATCCTCTGGAGAGATAGCATTGCCATAGTGGCCAGCACAGCTGAGAAAAATAGCTAGCTGGATAGCAATGGGAAGTTGAGGGTTGTTGGACTGGTTAGTGAAAATGGGGTGACCAGAGATTTGATCGAGGATATCATCAAAGATGTCTGGGTTGACACATAATTTCTTATGGAAGAGGTGTTGGCGAGAGTGCCCAAAGTCGTCAAGGAGCTGGATCTGAGGTGCTCGCATAGGAGGTGCATCCGGTTTATGAAGAATGCGAGCCCTAGTAACTTCGTCACAAAGGGCAATGATGCTGTCATGAATGCGGTCATAATGGGCAGTGAAGCCATCAGATTCGTCACTGGAAGAAGAGTCGGAGTCCGAAAGGTCGGAGAATTGTGGGGTAAGAGGAGATGGAGGGGTTAACACTAAATCAAGGTCAAGATCAGGATCGAAGTCAGAATCATCGCTATCAGAGTCAGAATCATAGAGATCATTCAAGCTAAGGAGGGCACGCTCTAGTCTGGACTTGAGTAGGGCTAGTTCAGCTTCGTCCAGTTGCTGGAGCAGCTGTTTGCGTAGGGATACACGGGGCATCTTTGGGGATTGAGGATTGAGGATCGAGAGAGATAAGCTTATCATCTGGATCGATGGGAGATGCTGTTGGCCGAAAGGGCAATATTTTCAAGCAGAGTTTTAATTTCACTTCATTGCTCTTGTGCTAGATGACGAGCCACACAGCGACAATGCTCTATACACCCAACATCCACGATCTGTACGATCTGCAACATCCGACTCCGCCACTAACAAAAACTTTCTTATCGTGCTGTATGCACCTCCCTGCTCTTTTTCAAATTCAACATGCCTGATTGCCCCCTGCTATTTGACCTACCCCACCCCATCCACATTGACCTGGATGGTCACACAGGAACTCTTACAACCTCCCCCCTCTGCGCTCTTAGTCACACGCGCAACTCAAATGGTGCCCCATTGCTGAAGAGTCCCTCCCCCATCCGCACCAATGCAGACAGCCCTACCGGTACTGCCATCAGGCACATTCCCTGCCACACTTGCACAGGCAGTGCATTCGTTCCCCCCGCCTCAGCGGTCTCTTTGGCCTTACATATTGTGTGGGCAGGGACTACCCCCTTGCATTGTCCGTCCATCTACCCCCATATCAGTGCCTCCCGGCCACCATCTATCAACCCAGCGCTGCCATGGATGGCTGGCACTGCTAGCTCCCCACAATTTGACCAGCCTCGTGCGATGCAAATGCGCGCCTCCCTGCCGCTATCCAGTCATCCCCCCTTTTCTTAACATGGTCCTATTTACTTTGACGCGGGTCACTCACCCAGCGCTTTGCCACCCTCCGCACAACGTATATCTCACTGCGCACCATTTTTTATTACACGGCCGGAGTTGGGTACAGGGTACATTACAGTCTACCTCCATGTACATATCTCATTGCTGCTATTCCGAATATGCATTATCTTCATCTATCTTTCATCACTAAGTCTCGTTTCGAAGTCCAACCGCAATGCTGAACTGAGCCGCACTTATGTCAAGTTTTTCAGGACATTTCTTGCCGAGCTTTACCAAGCTTTCACGGTATTTAGTGAACTTAGCGAGTTTTCAGAGTCTTACTCTGAACACCATTATTGGGTGACAGTGCGCAGCACTGACCGGCCTCAATCGGGAATCTGCCCAAAAAAAAAAGGTGAGCTGTGAGGGTGGGCGGCCAGCCTCGCAGCATCACGGAATCGGGCAGGAGATGTTTTAGATAGATATTTGTGGCAAAATCATACATAAGCATTAGCATAATGACATGGGGGGACAATACATCACAAGAAAACTCTGATGCCGATGAGGAGTGACTATGTAAGTATCGCAAGTATGATACTGAGTGGATAAATGATTGGAAGAGGTTCTGCATCTCTCCAACATGGTGGTCACCTGTTGTCTGGGCTCAACTTTGCGATGGTTGTTTAGAATGGCAACCAGTTGCCAATCAAGAGTTACAGTACCCTCTGTTGGAGCTTGTGACGATGACAACCGTGGGAATCTAATGTTGGAATACCACATCAGGAAAACCTGTTTCTCTATATAGAAGACCATCCTCTATATAGCCCTGATAGCACACCATAGCCCTATACAGTCTATGGCCAGCTATCACAGCGCTATAGACCAGTATAGACATCATGAAAATCTATATATTACCATAAAGTTTGGTATGCGTATTTAGAAGTAAAACAATTAAGTAAGAAGGTATCACATTTATCTAATACATTATCAGAAGTCCAATCTATAGGAATTGTTGTTCCAAAGTTTGGAACAAGCTGACAAGTCTGTCTAATAGATGACAGTGGAATAACTTTACCTGGCAATGAGCCATCTGAGGAAAGTAAGGGTTTCTTGACGGTATACATTTCATGATAGTCTTCTGCTGCAGGTTTCAATGGAGCATACCACTCAACATATGCCAAAGGGTCTTTGGTCCATGCAGGTTGAATAGAACCATATACTTGTTGTGGCAGACGAAATATTACTTTCAACCTTCCAATACACATTCCTATAGTGTTAAAATTTTCATACAATCAATGACCATATATATACCAATATTACTCACCTGTTAAACCAGTAGATTCACAGTCAGGCTCATCCATTACTACAACTGTATCAAAGCGTCCAGCTTTATGAGAAATAGGTGGTTGTGCCCATTTGATCAAAGTCAACGTCATTGCCTAATGAGTCTAGACAGAATTTGAATCCATGATAGATGTCGATATGAGTGAAAGGAAGATCCATATCTCTGAGCTGTCTGCGTGAATGAGAGTGAGCCAACTGAGTGTTAAGATAGGTGATGAGATCTTTCTTGAAGCCTTTGCAAACATGATTCTGCATGACGTCCAAAATATTTTGGTGAACACGATGAGGATGTTTGGTGAGGATAACTCTGTGATCTCTAAACCTTGAGTGAGCAAACTCGTCTTCTTCATCCTCCATAGACATCTTGAGATAGCTTTGAAATGATGCTACCTTCTCTCTTCTAGTTAGCCACAATATCATTTGAGGCTTTTCGTTTCTTCCATTGGAAGCATACCACCCCTCTTTACAAAAGTCGATATGAAACCTTTCAAACATCTCCGTGTTATAATTATCAGTGGTTCCAAAGTTTCGGATGTTTTCCAGATAGTGTTGCAGGGAATGGAATTTCGGAATGTTGAGATGGTCTCTGATACCCAGATTAATGATGACGTCCTTGTGAAGGTGAAAATCTTGTAAGGCCTGTTGCATATATTCCAGAGTGTTGTCATCATGAGTGGGATATTGGGCAAGATAAATGAAATCAAGGAGGGCACAGTATGACAGGATGACACCTCTTGGAACCTTGCCAATCAAGCAAGCCAATAGCACCCTAGCCATATGTTTTCTCTCTTTTCCACCGACTTGACCCAAAGCAGACCAGCCCTTGTAGAAGTGATGGACGCCATAACAAGGAGGGAGAGTTCTAAGTCTTTTATCCAATTCTTCTTTGTCCATAAGCTCCTGACACCACTCAACCATATGCTTGAATATGCCTTGATAGAGTTGATGAAGCACGTCAGATGTGATAGCCAAGTGAATATCGCAATGAGGGAAATCAAGCCAAAATGGTTCGAACACGCCTCCAGCTACATCCTGAGACATGCACTGTTTACGGAAGGCAGAGTCGGTCTTGGTGGAGATGCTTTCAACCAAGGTGAGTGGCTCTTCATTATTATAGTTTAACGTCATCTAATGTTAAATTTCTTTAGACACCAGTACTATATGCTGAAGCTTGCTGAATATCGCCAGAAATCTCCCTTGTATATGGAAAAACTAAGGCATGATCTGTGGACTGAGGTTGGGTAAGATCTTTTTCATTGTTAATATTTATCTATTTTATTTGCTAATGGTTGCAATCCTAGGGAGGCATGTCGCTTTGTAACTAGAGAGGATGCAGATTCAGGTTCTGAATTGGATTTTGATGCCATGGAGGCGTCTGCTAGAGTAGAAACCAATGCTCCTAGTACTACTTCTGATGTCCCTAACCGTAATAGTATCCGAATCCACGCTTCCATGCTTTCTATATCTCATGCAATATGAATATATGCCTCTTTATAAAGCTATAAAGCACATGATAGACAAACATTTCAACAAGTATACCAAGATATAGACATTGTATAGTCAGGTATAGTCTGGTATAGCTTGAAATTTGCTTAACATTAGATACATATCATAGTAGTGTATAGTTACATTGCTCTGCATAACACTATATAGCGCTATATACTGGTGTAGTAAGCCTGCACAATTGGGCACTTGGCTATACGAGCTATAGTGCTATGAGGTCTCTATAGCAGTATATAGCGCTATGGTTGTCTATATAGCCTTACCACATTTTCCTGATGCAACTTGTTCCCTATATATCAGACTAGGGCTGTTCACCATACGCCGTACGATGGGACTTTACGGGGCCGTAATACGGTCACCGTACTCATACTGTTCATCAGGGCTACTGGACAGTTTCCCACAGTACCTCACAGTGCGGACAGAGGCTCACAGACCTACAGACATGCACAGAGGCCTATTTACACAGCTCCCCCACTTTGCCCAAAGCCTACAGACATCACATGCTTTCAAGTAGTAGTAGTAGTACAGTAGACACAACACCTTACTAGAGTTTAGAGTTCACTAGGAGGATACTATTAAGTCTCTCGCAAAGTTTCAACTTGAATACAAAAAAAACATATTCATAGCAATGTGTATGTAAGACTACTAAGACAAATGTGTGCAACTCCAAGTCCAAGTCTACATCAATCGAGTTGAATAGTAATATTACGATCGGCCCCAAAATGGACGGAAGAGCCTGTAGTTTATAATAGTAAGTACATCAATACCTAAGAAAATGTTGGCGGACTTACTGGCGTCATCACGGTTTGCAGGCACATGATGAGAAATACCACATTTCTTGAAAGTGATCCGCATATACCCTAATCCAACGTCCGCCTTGTTGAGTTTCTGTGTGGAAATGTTCGACTTGAACTTCGAGAGACTGGCCATCAATTCACACTCGCAGACCATGCAATCTGCAAGTGACTTTTCAGCCATGAAGACGTCTCGTCTGGCCCTTGTGAGTTCCATGACTAGGTTGGCCTCAAGTTCGTCGTCGTCATTAATTGTCTGTATAAATACAATAAGGTATGATGTTATTAATATAATTTTTAAACGGAGGCACTTACTATTGATCCAATACCGTCAGCGACATCATACAGATCCGGGAGACCTTGATATATATTACGGGACCGGTAGCGAGGGAAGGTTTTGGGAGAGGGGATGTTGTCAGTAAGATTAAGACTAACAGTTGAGTTCGACATTTTGTGACTATGTACTTAGTTTCATTGTTGATTGATTCGACACATGCTAACTTCAACTGTATAGCATTCGGCGAAATCTGAGCCTCAGAGTTCAAACTTCTAAGTATATACAATTTCTCACACTTGTAAACGGTATCAATACTAATAATGTTTCAGTGTCCTTCGTGCGGTAAAGGAGGATTCAAAGATGATATTGCTGTTGCCCATCACATGAATCAACCTCGCTTGGGATGTAGCACCTGGCTACAGGATATAATCCATCTTCAGACCGACTACTCTGGTATGAACATTGATGACCCGCACATGCCGCACGACTCCGAGTCACATCATTTGCATCAAGACTACGATGACCCTGAGAGCCTCGGAGGTGTTGATGAAGGTATTTTTACCGGTCACACCGATGAAGACGGCACTCTACCAACCACCGACTCTATTGAGTGGTTTCCCGATGCCTCTCAGACATATGGCAAGGGTCACACATTTCTTGACTTATTTCACTCCGACAAGAATAGCGTATATTGCACGAAGAATCTTTACTACCTGTTCAGTGGTCGGAAGGAGTGGGAAGTTGCATCATGGCTATTGCGTTCTGGATTGAGCATGGGGAAGATTAATAGTTTTTTGTCACTCGAGATGGTAAGCGCTCTACTCTATCGTTTTCAATTAGTGAGGTCTGACAGTGTGTCTGTTTAGATTAAGGATCTTTCATTATCATTCTCTTCTGCTAAAGAGCTGCGAGGTAGGGCCAAAATGTTGCCCAGCGGTCCACACTGGATGTCTCAAGTAATTCCTACGGCCCATCCCATGAAATCGCCTGTCATATTATACTGGTGTGACCCCTTGAACTGCATCTCGAGTATTCTTAATCACCCTACATTTCACAAAGAGTTAGACTTTATGCCTCGCAGGGTGTATACCACTGCGCAGCAGCTGTATCATGTGTACTCCAAGTGGATGACAGGCAATGATGCCTGGGAGATGCAGGTGCGTAGTCTCGTCATTCAAGCTGCTCTGAGTACTTATTGTTTCCAACAGTCGAATCTACCAAGTGGTGCGACCCTGCTAGGCACTATTCTTTCATTGGACAAGACCAATATATCTATGATGACAGGTGACAGAGTTGCCCACCCATTCCTCATCAGCCTCGTGAACATACACATGTCTACTCGACTCAAGACGTCGTCCGGTGCTTTCTTGCTCACTGCCCTACTCCCCGTACCCAAATTCACTCATAAGAAGAAACACTTGCGAGGTGTGCTAGAGGACTGTCTAATTCATCAGGTCTTGGATATTGTTCTGGCGCCTCTTAAGCAGGCTGCTCGTGAGGGGGTCATGCTATCAGATCCGGTCGGCCATAGCCGTTATTGTTTCACCCTGGAGGCAATGATGCTTGCCACCATTGGAGGGAAACATCTCCGGTTACCATGGCCTCCTACAAGCAATTTGGAGATCCTTTCCTCCATGAACCTCGAACATGATCGACTACCCTTGCACAACTAGCTGTCGTCCGACAAAAGGTCGACCCCGACAATATTGAAGCATTCTTTCGCGAAGCGCAGAAGTTTCGCTTCAACGGAGTCGATAAACCCTTCTGGTTGGATTGGGTCATGGCTGAGCCATCACATTTCCTCACTCCGGAAGTTCTTCACCATCTTCACTGACAATTTTACGACCACGATGCCAAATGGATCATCTGCGCAGTTGGGGAAGCGGAAATTGATTTCTGTTTCTCTGTGTTGCAGCCCGTGACGGGCTTTCGCCATTTCCATAGTGGGATCTCAAAGCTGAAGTAAGTTACAGGGCGCGTCCAACGTGATATCCAATGCTCAATCATTGCGGTCAGTACAGATGCGGTACCCAGCGCCGTGATCACTGCCGTACGAGCGTTAATGGATTTCTGTTATCTTGTACAGTTGACACGGATTGATGATCACGATCTCGAGCGCATTTTGACAGCGCTGGCTGAATTTCACGCCAACAAGCAGGCAATCTTAGATGCTGGGTTCCGTCAAGGCAAGGGGGGCAAAAACATCGACAATTGGTACATTCTGAAATTGGAGCTCATGCAGAGCATCACTCCCAGTATTCACAATACTGGTGTTTCCCTGCAGTGGACTGCAGACACCACGGAGCATGCACATATCACTGAGATCAAAGATCCCGCACAAGCTGGTAACAACAACCATTATGATGCGCAGATTTGTCGCCATCTTGACCATGCTGACAAGTGTCATCGCTTTGGGCTCCCCGCGAGTCTACTGGACCAGTCAAATCAACACACATACCCAGATGAAGAAGATGACGACAAAATCGATGTCGATGTCGATGATGATCGTGACATCCTAGTGACAATCAACCACCGCGATTATTTTCATGGCCAATCACTGATTACTTCACTATCACACAGACTCTTCTGCACAAGGATGTAGGAACAATCCCCTGGCCATTACGAACTTTGGTTGTCGCACAGCATGTAGCAGTTCACCTTGCCTACGACCCATCAATCAGAGCCATCTCCATTGACGACACTGCTCTCAAATTCAACCTTCCCGACTTGCGACCAGCTCTTGCTGACTTCCTTCGTCGCAAAGACACCTATGGAAATGATCACATTCACACAATTGGTGGGGCTAGGAGAGCTGAGCCCAATGCTTCGCTTCCTTTTGACAAGCTCCAAGTTTGGTTCAAACTTCGGCTCCAGGACATGGTCATTCACGAGACTAGCATTGTGCGGCCTGCACAGACCCTGAGTTGTGCACCGCCTTGCGGCCTCTGGACCTCTGGCTGGTACGACACAGCCATTATCAATCACGATGGGGGGTACTCGTGGCCTACTGATGGTCTTCGTGGTGAGTTATTATATTATTCTGTCGTGCTGAACATTGTCTCATTGAATGGTATCTAGGTCATAGTGTTGCTCAAATCAGGCTTATTGTCCGTCCAATTGGAAAGAGGGGCACAGAATGGCCATGGAAGGATCACTTCCTCAGTTATGTGCAACAATTTGACATTGGTGATCGTGCTGTCATGCATGAAACGAAGATCATACATTGACATTCAATAGGATAAGGGTATACTAGTCCAAAAAGCTTTTGCTTTAGACTAATTACTCTATGTTGAGGCAAGAGAAGTAAAAAGTGGCAGAAAGCTCGTGTTTCGTTTACTTCTGTTTACATTTATCTTTGTTGACTTTCTTGCTTCTGTTTCTCTTGTTCTTTGTTATTTGTGCACGTTATGTGAGCTTCAGCCACAATCTGAGCTTACATAACATGTAATTAACCCTAGGAGAAGTCATGTGACTCCAGAATTGAGTCATTTGATCTTGGACGATGTCACTCGATGTCATAACTCCACAACAATGTCATTTGATGTCATAGCTCCACAATGATATCATTCAGCTCCACTTTGCTCCACAAATGCTCCACACTGCTCCACAGTGATGTCATTTGCTGTCAAATGAGTCAGAATGAGTCATTTTCCTCCTTTGGTGTTCTTTCCACTTCAATTCTGCATTTTATGCTACAACTACCTGATTTCTTCTCAGATTTGTGTCTCTTTCTATTTTCTTGGTACTATACAGTTCCCAGGATATTTCCCACACCAAATGTATATAAGGAGGCTCAATTCTCTGAGGAGAAATGAGAGACTCCCCATATTGGAGATTTCCCACTTCACATCTATTATCTGAAGTGCAGGCTGATACTGACAGCCTTACTACACTAAGATTTGATATAATCTTAGTCTTGTGCTATCTTTACTGTTGTTAGGGGCCTTTAGTCACCCTAACCTTCTTTTCTAGTCCTTTGTTGGTCTAGAACTGCTGTTTCCTTGCTTTAATTAAGTCAGCAAGGATTTGTCTGGGAAAAGCTTAGTCAGCATCCCACACAACCCATATCTTTTGTCCAAGAGCTGTTTGGACAAAGAACTCTTCAGGAGAAATTCTTGCTTTGATTATGTCAGCAAGGATCTGTCTGGGAAAAGCTTAGTCAGCTTCCCATTCACCATATATTTGTCCAAGGATCATTCAGACAAACCTACCACAAGTCATAACTTGCTTCGAGTAATCTCAGCAAGGACTTGCTTGGGTCAAGCTTAGTCAGCTTCCCAATTCCACACCTCCAAGGACTTTTGCTCCATACCAAAGGTCCCTCGTTCATCAAAGGATCCACACACTTCAGCCAAGTGTTGTGTAGTGCATCCACTCGTATATTTGTCCAAGGACCATTCAGACAAACTATTTGTCAACATAGTCTAGTCCATCTATTCTACGCAGTTCATCATATCAGGCCTATCATCTAGGTCTATCATCCCATCCAAAACCAAACCCCATTCCAAGAACCAACGACAGACTGTATAGTCAAGCCTCCCACGAACAACACATTATCAACCGAGAAAACTAGAAAATCCGTTGACCGTGTACTTGAGGAGTTGGCAACTCTTGTCTTATCAAAGTGTAGTTGTGGTGTCACTACATTTACACGAAAACATATAAGACCCTCAAGTAGTAAGACATCGCACCAGCTACAAAGTTACATTTGCTTAAGAGGGCAAATCGGTTGAATGGGACTCGGATTGGTGACATCATTCCAGTCACTCAGTTCAGGGTGCCCGTGAATATAGTCCCTCGCTTTGGCTCAAAGGCAGATAATCGTCTCACCCCATATAACAGCATTGAACACTCGTCAGAATTTTAGCTTAACAGGTACTGGGACAAAAATATGTTCTTCCCGCTTTCGATGTAGTACACACCCATTGAATAGCCATTCTTCTATGTTTACGCACCATTCTTTCTACTTTTGTATCAGTCTAGGATATCTTTGGCAACGATAAGCAAATGCCATCTCATTGACCCTTGTTTTCTGAAGCGCTGATGAGGCCGCTGAGTACTGCGCATGTCAACATGTCTCACTTTTATAGAACAGTTGGTGACGGGATCAAATTAGCGTCACTCATCTCCCTCCCCAAAGTCAACGATGTCCCTACTATGAACAAACTGACCTCTGTTGAACTTGATTGATCAGTTACAACTGAACCTCAGCCTGAGGAGGACTCGCTAGGCCACCTACTCCCTCTCATTTTCAAGCCTTTCACACACCCTATTCCATCGGTATCGAAACTTGAAACACAACTCAGTAAAATCATCTATTGCAACACACACATTAACAACAAATTTTGTCTAACCAACTCAAATGAAATGGTGCCACTGTATGATACCAATGCGGGGCTTTGGAACTGGGGACTTCCGCTATTGTATCCTAATGGTGGCATAGCAGAAGAATGCATTCCAATGCCAGGTGTCAAGATACCACCCACGAAGAAATATTCGCCACATGTTTCAATGCTGTCGCTACATCTATGGCTAAATCAGATTCGGAACTGCCCACACCATCTGTAACTTGGATATGGAGCACAGCTCATTCAATGACTCCTGTGCAAGGTGCCAAAATCAAGCACAAACCGGATCTCGTCCTGTGTGATGATATAAAGCCGAAGTGGGGCAATATCAGAGCATGTGCTGAGTTGACGGTCAGCCAGTACAAGCCCAGAAAGTGGTGTGTGAGAGCTGCAGACACTCAAGCATATCTTTTGCTGAGCAATCAGCCCTGGAGACACTTCACGCTCATCCTATCCTTCACCAATGGCTACAATGACCTTCGGGTCTTGTTGTACAACCATTCTGGTGGTGTTGTGTCTCCCTGCTACAACATCAGCCACCATCCAAACACATTTTCCCAAATCATCGCTACTGTCATCTTTGGTAGTCCAGAATGTATCGGGTACGACACTACCATTACTTTCTGGAAAATACTCCACTTCCTCCGCCCCCAGGTGCACACATCCCTGACTGCCATCCATTTAAAAACCATCCTGCTCGAGCCGACACTATTGACACGGCAACCACACTGCCTCTCAATGTGTTACCTGAGGATGCCCAGGAAGGACCTTCTAGTGGCACCCTCTACAACTCGAGAGAGGAAGATCCCGACTCTCCCTCCCCTCCCTCCCCTTTGTCGCCCCCCTCCCCTCCTTCCGCTTGCCCCGCACTTGCCCCCTTACCAAGTTCCGAACACTCAGGGAGTTTGTGAAAGTGCTTAGGGACATTGTAATTGGTGAGTCTTTAATATATTGTGCATGAGTCTTAGGTTAATTATCTTGGATCATAGTCCAATGTACTGCAGTCTTAGAGCGCAAAGTTTTGCATCGCGATTGTAGTCTCTACAATGCGATGATTTTAGATGAATTTGGTAACAGCAGAGGGCTGTTGATCGACTGGGAGTTCGCGGTATTCATTTCTGAAAACAATGAATACTGTAGAGATACGACACTAGGTTCGTCACAGGTCACAGCCATCAATGAATCGAACCTATTTGGTGTGACTGTCACATAATTTTTTTGGGGGCCGAAGCTAATTTGTGACATGTGGTAAAAACATACAGAAAAACATATAAAAACACACAAAAAAAATATTAAAAACAACAATGCCTAGCTAGATTCTACCTGTTGCTTCTCAGCTTTACAATAAGATATGAATCAGACAAGAAGCCTTGACAAGTACATTGGTACAAGGTGCAGCAATAACGATTTGCGAAGCTATTTTTTATGTGGTCACAGGTCACAGGGTCATTTGAAGCTGTGACATTAAGTGTGACTGTGTCACGTGCTGAACATGACGAAGCTAGTGTCGTATCTCTACAGTACCCTATAGGTGGTACAGTAAATACATTCCTTAAATGCATTAAGCTCTGTTGACTCGTTGATCAGGGCACAATTCCCTTTATGTCACGCAGCCTTCTCACCCAGGCTGCGGGTCTGCAGGCGCAAGCTGCAAAGCAACAATCTAGAAAATCATCCTCCAACACCCCCGCGCTGCCTATATCTCGCGTCTCACAAACCTATGCGGACGACCTTGAGTCCCTCTTTTACGTGTTCGTTTACATTTGCATCAAATACAGCGGCCCTCACGGTGAGGAGCACCAAGAGCCTGTGAACGACTTGCCACACGCCATATTACCAGATAGCTGGACAACCCTCAACCTAGAAGACTGCACATTGAGAAAAGTTTTTTTCTTCACAGTTTCATCAGAGGAAGCACATATGACCAATCAATTCCACCCATATGTTGCCAACCTGATCCCCCTGGCAAAAGTGTGGTGTTTATTGCTGAAGCCCAGTAAGAATCGGACATGGCCATTTCCACACAGGTTGATGGATTTGTAGGTTTTGAGTCGTCAGTAGACTCGTATCAATGGAATTGTAAGTTGTGCAAATACATGTTGAACAATCTGTCTATAATTTGAGCAATACAGCACGCAAGAATGCGCAGTTGCATTCAACCATTGATGTGTTCAACTTTGGTTCAACTAGAGGTTGCGTAATATGTATCTCATTGCTCGAGTATTTCGTACTTCGCCACCCTCGATCCAACTGAAACAGTTCAACTTGCTTGCCTGCAACTCGGAGTTTCAATGAACTCTCCTCCTCTCACTATCATGGGTCCATTACTATTGCTGTTGACTGGCTCACTCGTCGCACGCCCACCTACATTGATTTCCTACATCCAGTTGACTCCAACTTGGTGCGTGTTGTAGACCTCAGCAAGCGCGCAGAACTACTTCTTATTATGAGTCGGGCATTCTCAACGAGTGCTGACGAGGCATCTAGTATCTGACAGAAGGTACCTAGTATTAAGCTTCTTCAATCCAGCCATGGAACAGACAGTATGTAACGGCATATCCATGTACAATTGTGCTCATTTTTTATTGTCAGTGTGCACCTGGAGTCTGCTCCCCTGTTTGGATATACAACACTTTGGTTGCTGTTATACCAGCTCCACCACCGCCAGTGGCCCCAGTCTGGTCCCATTTCCCTCCAGAAAGAACCAGTACACCCTCGCCATCAACAAGTCCTTCAGCGGAGAACATTTACCCCGCTCAAGTGGGCACAGCATCCAGCCACTCAGCCGACATTCACCGGGATGGTTGGATACCGTGAGCCGACCCACAGACATGCTATATCCCAATAAACCACGTACTCATACACTACAAATAGGGCGCATATAGTCACTCTTTCGACTTGGTGTTTCAACACGACTCACTAGCATGACCACTTCAAGTCCTTTGACATTAACAGCAGCTCCAACAGCTCCAGTGCCAATGCTCGTTGACTCGATGTCTGAGTTTACTACTAGCACTGATGATACTACTACACCTGCCCACACATCAAACTTGAATATTCTCATGCCTGTCACCACCACACCCGGGCCTACTCACTCGAGAAGACCCGTCAAGCGGTATGTTTTCATTTTTTCTTATCGTGTTTCTAGTCTACTAATTGTAATACCTACTACTGCAGAGCTACAACATCGAGGCCTCGAATCTGGTAAGTACTAATTATATTTCTATTGTACACTTACTCCCACGCTCTACCCAGGTTGCCGACTGTGTGTGGACTGCGAACACAGTCGATGTTCTCGCAAAGTTCTCTGGTGGCACATTGCATTAGCTCAGTGCTGCGTATCATCAGCGGGGGTGGGTAGTAGGATGGAGGAGCTGGTGCAAATGGGTGGGCAGGTAGCCTATTTTTATAGTGTTTTTTTGTTGCTTTGTTGCAGTCTAAATGCATTGTTTTCCGTCAATTTGTGTCGACAAAATCTGAGAACCAATGGATGCAAGCAATATATTTACATCTACGGAAATCTAACTACTCAATGTTTCGTCAATCAGTGTCGCTGTGAGTTGTCTGAGCATTGATGGTACATGCCATTTGTCGACGCTCATCGACTGACACCAAACTTTTCAGACTCCATCGATTTCCATCCATCTCCATTGGCTGGCATCTGTCTGATTCTTACTGGGGCTGAAGGACAACATGGATGTGCGTGTGACTTTCGACAGCATGCTTGATATGCTAGAGCATCGTCTTGTCGCTCTTCCAGAATATATCTCCTTGTTATCATCCACCAAGGAGGACCTCAGGAAATTTGCTGTTGATCTTGAAGATCACGTACCTACCAGACTGGAGTCATCTTCCTCCATGCATTCAAGTTCGGTTAACTTAAAGTGGAAGAGAGGAGAAGACAAAAGCAGTTGATACTTGTGTTGGACTCAGACGGTAAAGGTGACATCGGTCGACGATGTAGATGGAATTTTCACTTTCAATTACTTATTCTTTACCCAAATGTTGTGCCAAGATTTGTTGTCCTCTTACCTAGTATAATGTAATCAAATTGATGTTTTGTACCACTACTACCAGAACACGTGCTTAAGCTTGGAGTAATACAGACACGCCTCTTCAACGTGCATCATGGTACACATCAAGTCATTCACTTAGGACATGATATTATCCATTCCTTACTCTGTCGTTTCTGTGTTTGAGTCAAATAGGACGCACACCCGAATATTACTCTCAATGCATGTCGAGTCCCTCACTTAGGAAAAATTTCGAGAAGGCAGGCATCGTATAAAGTACAGGTGAGTCTTGGATTATTTACCTACCTGTCTTTTCTTTCTGCTTCTTTGTCGCAGCCATGCCTCCTCGCGCCTTTGCTAGCCCTAAAAAGAAAAGGCCAGTGAAGCGTAAAGCTTCAGATGCTGCCAAGAACTGTCATATACCGTACACTGAGCCCCTGAATCATATCTCATCTCTCGCAACACACAATGTCCGGACCTCCGAAATGTAGCCAAGCTATACCTTAACCCTATCCCTACCCCTCAGCAGGATAACTCCGCATCCCAGTCTCCACTGGACATACCCCTCAGCAGGATCTGCCCTGCTTTCCTATACATCGGATGTCCTATACGTCGGACGCCCTATTCATCGGTCCTCCTCCTGTATGCCTCGGATCCCCTATACATCAGACGTCCTATACGTCGGACATCTTATTCATTGGTCCTCCTCCTGCATACCTCGGATCTCCTTTTCGTCGGACATCCTATTCGTCGGATCCCACCCATGTCATCCGCTTGTCCACTTGTCTGCTCGTCCACTTGTCCACTTGTCCGCTTGTCCGCTTGTCCGCTTGTCCACTTGTCCGCTCCTCCTGTATTCGTCGGACATCCTATTCATCGGACATCCTATACGTCAGACCCGCTCAGGTCCACTTAACCCCTAAAACATCGGATCCACTTCACAGTTCATCTCCATCCCCATTTCCCGTGATCCGCTTGACAGTTCATTTCCGGTCCTGCTCCTATTCTGTTACCCCATTTGTATAGTCCCCTTGTCCTAACCCCTATATGCCCGAATCTGTTTGACAGTTAATATCTGACTTCATTCTCGATCATACCTCCTATGCCCGGATCCATTCGATACTTCATCTCCGTCTCTGTTCCTGTATTATTTTCCTTGCGCCTGTCAGTTTAACCTTTCCATATGTTCCTCGCGTTGACCCGGATCTCCGCTGACTCCGTCCCCGTCGCACATGTCCATAGTATATAATACCTTGTAAACTCGTAGTAGTTTCCTCAGTTCAAATATCACCTTAGATTATCCTCATTCCTGTTTCCTCGGACCCGGATCCATTTCCATGGGCCCGGGTCCACTTCCCTGTCCAACCTCTGTGTCCTGGGATTGATTCCTCGGGCTATACTCCGCCTCTACCTTCGGGTAGTCTACCTCTGTCAGTTTCTACTCTGGACATTGTCTAGTGTAGTCTTACCTCTAGCTTCTGTCCCCTCGGACTTCCTGTCCTTCCGTCCTTACACCTGTCTGTTCTGTCCCCCACATCCGCCGGACTAAAGCCCCTATTCTCCGGGTGTACTAAGCCCCTATTGTCCGGCGGACTAATCCTTTATGTCGGCCGGACTAATCCTCTTATGTCGGCCGGACTAATCCTCTTATGTCGGCCGGACTAACCCTCCTTACGTCGGCCGACGAACCCCCTTTATGTCGGCTGGACTAATCCTCTTATGTCAGCCGGACTAACCCTATGATCAGCCGGACTAACCCTCCTTACGTCGGCTGACAAACCCTCCTTACGTCGGCCGGATTAACCCCCTGAACATCGGCCTGACTCTTCCTCGAAAAGCCTACCAGACTTGTCCCCTTGAAGTCCACCAGGATTCATCATCCTCCCTCGGACTTTGTTTCTAGCCTTCGGAAATTAAGGGCACGTACTCGGGTAAGGGGTGCAGCGCACGAGCTGAAGCCAAGCCCTTCAGATCCGCCCTTTGAGAACGGTCTTAACAAGAACATAGTGAAGAAGTCATGGGCACAAGAGACCGGCATCGAAACATCCAGTATGCCCTTTGTATCCCTTGGTCTGGCCCATGCAGAAGCCCCAGGTACTGATGCTCCTTGGTGTTCTACCCACCCCAAAGCAGGAACAGGAGGTAGGACCGTACAGTTGGAAAAGATAGGTGCTTTGCCAGAGGCTCCATCTCAAACCAACCAATGCAAGGGCTCAACATCGCTCAGTTCTAACATCCCTATCAACCCTCAGGCTCCAGAACCGACTCGCAGTCGCAAGGGCCAAAAAATTGTTCAAAGGTCTGTTGCGTAAGGGACCTTGTTGCTTGTACTGATAGTTCACATTCAGGCAGCTCCACCACCTTACACCAATGTCCCAGACACCTCCGAGTCGTGCATGAATGCCAGTATTGTGGAGCCCTTACAGCTGCCTGGTTTCTTGTTGCGTCAACAAGGAGCTAGGTTTGGATTCGCTGATACTTCACCTATTGTCCCTCCTGAGCCAAATCTGAACAACTTGTATGATGCTGTTGGCAGGAATATTCCTAAGAAGTTCTCGAAGAATACTGTTATTGGCCATACTGCAGCCCGTTCGGTAGCACCACCAACTACCGGCTTCTCAGATCAGATGCTGGACCCAGCGCTGCGTGATACCAACAGGGCTGAGTTTCAATTGACCGGAGTACATAGCGGCACTGACGAAGAAGACAGGGAGGATGATGGAGACAAAGACAACGAAGACGATGAAGACGATGGAGATGACCCAGGAGACGACCCAAACGATGGAGATGAGGAGAATGTGGGCCCAGAGGAAGAGATGAGAGAGCAGGAGATTGGTTGGGGGGAGGTTGGTAGATGCCACCACAACCATCCAGGTACGTTCTTACACTTATTACTCTCATTCTGCTATAGCAGCAGCAAATTACTTCACTGATCTGAATTTCCAGGGTTTTCCAGGGAAGAGCCCCCTTCGTGTACCCCCTCCCTCCAAGTCGCTGTCTTATGCCTGACTTCAAATTTATATTCTCCCACGATGAAGACGACATGGGAGCCCAGGTGAGTCTCACTGGTGTAGCTAACTCCGCAAGGCGACCTGGAATGGAGTCTCAAGGTCCCTCATACGTCCAGTGGTACGATGCCTCCCAGGTGTCTGATGACTACTGATTTGTACTTGTGCTCACTGTTTTTAATTTGTTTCAAGGGCCTTCTGGATAGTGTGCGAGGAGTGCAACAGATACAAGACGCTGAGGTGAGGAGACGGCATTTTTTATAAATATAAACAAAGCTCATGATCTTTAATCAGCTATTGCATCGAAGCCCCAGGATGTCTTGAGGCGTCACCACGATAAAAATGGGCAGCCCCGACTGCCTGACCCTGACACCTTGGAGCTCCTGCATCAAGTAACAGAATCCGACAAGCTGACTCAGTGTTCCAGAATCAGAAGATCAGATGAACCCAAGGACGGACCAAAGCCTACTCAACTTGCCTGGTACGGACCGCGATGGAAAACCTTCCTCGAGGACGCTAAAGGGGAATGTCGCACTGAACATGCATTGGAGAATCCATTTCCGACCCTAGTCCAAGATCTACCAGTGGTTCTGGTTGTGGTTTTGGTCGCATGGGACCAGGATGGTAAACAGTTCGAGGCTGGTAAGTACTTGTTCTTTTTTTGAACTGCTTTGTTTTAATACTGCGATATAGGGATTTGGCCAGAGCAAAAACCTAACATGGCTCGGCTGGTACATTTTTTGTTCATCAAATCGAGGCCTCGCTGATTCATTGTGATCTATACTGTAGTTGTATGATGACCTTGCCACTTGGCGATCTGACTTGAAAAAGTGTGCTATAAGCATTGCACCTATACAATACTCACTCATCCCCCCGCCTTCTATTCCTGCTCAACAGCATGCAGGGTGGATCGAAACGGCTGCTGTTGCATTACTTGCGAATTCACTCTTCTTACGTCATGGAGTTGATAATATGGTGAGTGAACTATCCCCGACCTGGACTACACTAATGAAGAACACTAGGGAAAAACACGAAACTTTGCACATCCAGCGCTTCGGGAAGGCGTTATCGCTTTCTTTTACACTGGACCGTATTGAATCGCTCAGAGGCGGCCAGATATTTTCCAGAACCAGCTGCCCTTATCATGCTTGGCTCTGGTTGGCGCTGTGGTATTTCCCTTTTCCTCTACTAATCATGACATTGACTTTTGTTTTTTTAATACTTCAATTGTATCCTCAATGGTCTCAAAAAAAATGGTAACAGAAAATACCACCCTAAATTCACCGCGAAGGAGTATGGCCCCATTTACTGCAAAATGCTCAACTTGCTGAAGGATATCTTGAAGGATCATTACCACGGCCCTATCCTGTTAGCGCAGCTCTGGGAATGGGCCCAAGTGGGGTGGTAAGGAATTGACTTTGTTCGATACTCATGATATGAATTGTTTTTCTACAGGACTGAGATTTCAAAGGTTGATGGAGCTGTAGAGTCGAGACACGACCTCCTCCAGATTATTCTTGATTGAGCATTCCACGTATTTCCCCCCTGGCGCTGCTTTTATCCGTCATCCTAGCATTCGCGTATATTTACATACATCCATTACCGCATTCATTATGTTTGATCTTTTATCAGCGTGTTATCAATATGATCTAATCAGCATCTCATTCTGATATTGGCGTGTGATCAATGTGCGCTATAGTAGTACAACATCTACAGTAACATATTTTAGCATGAGTCCTGTGCACGAGCGAGTTGCTGGAGCATCTGTGAGCATCTGTGCAGAGTGCAACAGAACCAGTGCTTCTGTGGGTCTCTGTCCAAAAGGGACCAAGCTGTCACTCTTGGACACTGTACAGAGCTGTACAGCGCATTGTAGTTTACTGATGTTGGTTGTTTCAACCTTGAGTTGACGGGACGGGGTACAGGTATAAAGGCCCCATATTTTGCCGTATTTGTATGGTCATATATGGCCATATTACAGTGTAAGTTTCAGACTTATACATGCAGTAGCCGCATGTCTTATTTCACAACAAGTCATTCCGGACCTGATCCTCACACTATGGAGATCCTCAAAGTACTGGTATGTTTTCTACTATAATCTCTAATCAACCACACTCTAACATGTTCTATGTCATGTCCAGATCATATATTCTTTGATTACTTTGCCCCGATCAAGGAGGAACCATGATACCGGTCAAGATATCTACTGGTGCTGTTCCTTTCCTCCCATTGCCTGCTTTCCCCCCTCCCAGTTCCTGTATTTTTACTCAATGTCATCTGACGCTCCAGATACATGTGTACTTGCCCACAAGGTGAGGTGGTAATAATGCATTAATATTGTAATTACAAGATACAGGTTGTGCATTAATCATTGTAATTGCTAATTAATTAAAATTTTAATCTTAGTTAGAGGGGTTAGATGTTAGATGTTAGTTTTTAGAGGGTTAGAGGGTTAATGGCTAGTGGTTAGTGGTTAGTGGTTAGAGGGTTAGTAGTCAGTGGTTAGTGGTTAGTGGTTCAGTTAGTTAGGATTAGCTAGGATTATATTCTGCCTTGGAGGTTTAGTTATTATTAGATATTATGTAAGTGATTGGTGCACTGATAGTTACAATGTTTAATGCACTACATCAGTCTTGTAACTACAATTGATTTAATGCACTAATATGACACGATGGCCTGACTTGCCAAGGATCAAGCTTTTCAGGTGGTTCTTGGCCGTGGAAAATGTCCCAAACATCCTGAGCGCATGAATGCTTTAATCCAGGCTGAATGTGAAGGTGATGATCAGCCTCTGCGTCGCCGTCGCCAATCTCGTCATTTACCCAAGAAGAGCGCTGGCATTATCAACGACAACAACTTCTTTTCATCTCTCCCAGTTGACCCTTCAGATGCTGATGACGGTGATTTTGCAGGGGATGACTCTGACTCTAGCTCAGAGTCAGAGTCATTAGGCTCTAACAGTGATGTCCAGGAGATAACAAATGTGGAGGTAAGTTATTTTTCGTGTTTTTCTTCACTAGTCTTACTAATTATGTAGCTTGCTGCAATGCTGCCTACGAAAACTGTACCACAACGAGGGGGAAACGACACATGCCAACTCTGACAGAAAACGAAGCGCAAGGCCAACCGACCTTTGCCTGCCACCAGCGACTCCCAGGCATCCAAGCGTGCTCGCATGGAGGAAGTAGATGATGAGGACAGTGGTAGCTTACAGCCATCGATGAGCTCAGCTCTTCCCCGACTATTGAAGGTGAGTTCTTTCCTGTTGTTTATAGCTATTCTAACTCGGGATACTTATTCCATCAGTCTCTTTCATTGGACTGAGGGTACATTGTCTGTTTTATTCCCGCCCGTACTTATACTAACATGTACCACATCAGTAAAGTCCAATTTTCTCACAGAGGTGACAAACTTTGGGTTTTGCGACAGCGAGCCACAGGGCTCCACAGTTCACATGTACAGGTTCACAGTTGATAGCACTCACAATTCAAACAGGGCTCCCAAGCAACGAGGCTTCACAGTTTGCACAGTTGATAGAAATGAAGCACTCACAGTTCAAACAGCTGCTCCAGCACCACTACAGAATATAGAACCTTGTCATTTTAGTATACTACTAGAAGTTCCAGTCGGACTTGACTCAATCGAACAAACACGTGTATTAAATGTCTTGAAAATCTGCGACAACAAATAACTAAGAGTCTGTTTGGGAAGGATTATTTTGCCCAACTTTGACCAATGCTCGACCGGGTTGAGTTCAGTCCTGGTAGCTTCAGCGATGTTGAGATGGGCAGTGACTCTAGGTCAATGCTGCCGCCGCCTCACACACCTGTCACACCAAGAGGTTGCAACGCAGCACTGCAGCCCTTCATTACTCCTTCAATAACTTCTACGTCTACTTCGTCACTCGCAATGAAGCGCAAATCTGATGGGGATGATTCCTTGTGCACTCATTCCCGCCCCCCACATTCCAAATCAAGGAGCGTAGCGGGATCATCGAAATCCCAATGTCTCACTATGCCACTCGTGTTGGAAGAGTTGGGGGAGAAAGTCGTCGATAGCATAGCCGACACCACTTCGACGCTTCAGGACACTGTTGCTGGCCATTTCACCGATCCTGTCCCAGCCCATAAGCAGTGCACTGTCCTTCGGGTGCAAGAAGAAAAGAGCTTGGATGATTACGAGGTGGTCACCATGATGGATCTTTTCCAATACGACGTCACCATCACTGATACTTATAATTCGATCCAATGGGATGGTGTTTGTGAGGTTTTTTTAGCACGGCGCCTAAAGGAAGTGAGGGAAGTGGGGGCAAGGGAAAATATAACTAGTTGAACCCCATGATGTATCTCACTCATTCATACTGCAATCAATGGACTTGTGTTTGTGCAATCAAGACTGAATTAGCAGCAAGGGAACAATACATTGTACATTGAGTGAGTCAAACACAACAACAATGAAAACAACAAATGGCAAACAGCCTCAATATTCTACTTGTACATCAGGCGGTAAAGGCTGGCCTCTGTGAAGCCTTTCTTGAAGATAATCAACCCACATCGATTGTGCGATTTCATCGCGGACTTTGGGTGCACGGGTGCGTGCCGCATTGGTGGGTGGCCCATCAGCAAGCATGCCGCTGTCATAAGGAGCCCCCCACTCATCGGAATCCACACGATGATAGTCTAGTATATTGTCGGGGTTGTGGAATCGGATGACATTGTGTACGAAACACAATGCTGGAGGGATGTGAGATTGGATATCTAAGTTGTACTTGGGAGGGATGTGAATAATCTGGAACCACTTTTTCAACACACCGAAAATATGTTCAATGACATTGCGGAGCTGTGCATGACGTAGATTATATAGTTCCTTTGTATTGCAAGGCCTGAAAAAAATAAGTACTAGGGTGATAAGTCAGTGGGATAACATACAGCATATTTGCCCGGCCCCATTCAGCCAGGTGGTAGTGCACACCGCGGTAAGGCACAAGTAACTCATCACATGCGGCGAATCCTGCATCTGCAAGGTACAACTTACCCAGAGGGATGGTGAAATTGGTTAGGCGAGCCTTGTTATAGAGGCGAGCGTCTGCTGCAGACCCTGGGAAGCCACTTAACATGTAAGTGAACTGCATGTTGAAATCGCAGGCGACAAGGCAATTTTGTGTTAAATTGCCCTTGCAGTCGTGAGCGGCATCACAATCAGCAGTGTTGGGATGGCACGCAATGTGAGTGCCATCGATGGCACCGATTACATCGGCAAAGTAGGGATATAATTTTGTCGTCTTGAGGATTTCAGTGGGTATTGGAGTTTGTGCATTCAGAAGCCGGACATAGGTGGAATATATTGGTTGGGAGGACAATGCGATCAGAATCTTTGTGAAATACCTTGTAGAATATTAAACAAATGTAAGGATGAGAGCTAGCAGACATACCTCGATATAGTATCATTTGAGCATTGAAAACACTCGGCAAGGTGCCGTACAGCAAGGCCTGTAACACAGGCGTACAGGAAGATAGCCAGCTGCTCTTCCAACATTACATTTTTTGAGTTGGTTATTCCACCATTGCGAAGTATATCCCGCAATACAATGAATATGTGGCGGTGTACACCGAGCTCGCATCAGATTCATTCTGAATGGCCATTCAGAAGCTCATTGACCCAGTCAATCCCGGACAGAGCTGAAGTATGGTATGGTTGTTTGTTGTAATATGTGTTTTTATAGGAGTTAAGGGTGTTCCTGGCAAGACTGACAACTTCAGATGCTGAAACAACCATATCCTGGAAAAAGTTTATGATAGCTCAGAGGTTCTTGATATCTGACTGCTCTGCATCATCAACACCCTGCCCATCAGCCTGCTCATCCTGTGCGTCCTGCTCATCCTGTTTGACCAGCGTATCGTCATCAGCGGAAGGGTTGTCAGCGTGGTGTAAGAGATGGGGGAGCATGGTGATAGTATGTGTGGCATATGTTTGTTTTTTACTGATAACACCAATCAGTGTGACATCAGCTTCAAGCTCCAAGCTTACTTAATCAGATTTTATTTTTTCAAGTCACGCAAAGTTGGGCAAAATAATCCTTCCCGAATGGACTCTAAGCATTATTCAGGTATTTATTGGCAGGGTCAGGGATTGATGCAAACTGAGCTAATTAGGTTGGCATTCCCAGGGTAGTATGGCAGCCTATTTAGGCAATGATAATGTAAGGTTGAGGTGAATACATGAGAACGCGGCTGTTAAGAAGGCTCAATCGAGCTGCACACATAGGTGGTGGTGCTTCAATGTGTTGATGCCGTCGAGTTTTGATGCCTCCGCCCTTAAGAAATTGGTCAGCGCCAAACACTATACAAAAGAAGTCCTTACCATCCAGCTTGAGCCCATGCACGAAGCTTCCGCCTCGGCTTGGGACTGTGATAAGGGTCAGCCTTGACCTCCTTGAGTAGCTTGAGCATTGATTTATAGACCAACCCATACTCCTTGGTGGAAAATTTGGGATAGTACTTGCTATTGCCATGTTTTGCGAGGCCTTGGAAGACACAATGGAACTGAAAAAAAGTCAGAAATTGTCGGGGTGAATCATTATCGAGAAAGTACCGCTGTACAAATAAGAGCCAAGCATTTCAATGGCACCTCTTTCTGAAAGATAGCCGGTTGTCTACGAGCAATGCGATAAGTTCTGGTATAGATGAACAGGATAGTAGCTGTTGGAGATACACTCAGCATTGACAAGCAACAACTATTATTATCAATGTACCTGTTGGAGATACGCTAGAGTAGTTCTAATGAGTATGAAGTATCATGCAGCAAGGAAATAAATATACATACCTCAGCATTGACAAGCAACAACTGAGGTATGCAACAATGGGGATGAAGTGCTATATAAGTCAGAGGAACGACAGAGATTGAATATGGAATGAAGTAGCGAGGTTGATCCCCAAACCCCAATGCTAATGCTTAATCTGTCCAAATGCAGAATGACTTCTTTTCAACACACCCCCTCAACCTGCTACGAGTGACAACCCTGAACGATGGACAATGAATGCTGGACATGGAAGGACCTTGGTGAATATATCAGCGCCGTTTCAATGTGTGGACACCCATATGGGCTTCAATGTGCTTTCTGATGAAACGACACCGCAAATCAATATGTTTAGTGCGAGTGTGGTTGGCAGCTTCTGCTGATAGGGCGATGGCACCCATGTTGTCGGTGTATAGCTTGAGAGGGAGAATGAAGGCGATTTGCAAGCACTCGCAAAACAACTTGATCCACAGTCCATCCTGAATGGCCCTGGTCAGCGCCATGTACTCAGATTCCACCGAGGACAATGCTTGAGTTGGTTGTTTCTTCGTGGTGTGGGAGATGGGACCTCCATGATAATACCAGACATATCCAGTGATTGAGACGTGATCCTCTGGACAGGTGGCCCAGTCAGCATCACTGAAGCTGTGAATGGTGATGTCTGAGTTCTTTCCGCTGTAATGAATGCGATGGGATAATGTGCCAGCGAGGTATCTAAGAATGTGTTTTGCAGTGGCATAGTGGCGAGACTCGGGGTTGGAATTGTACTGTGAGAGTTTCATGATGGTGAGGGTGATGTCAGGGTGAGTGTACATTGTGAGGTACAGTAACTCACCAACGAGTGTGCGATATTCTGTCTGGAGATTGTCAATGTGGGGATGGACGTCTGTGTCTCGCCTGAAAGGAAAGGATGGGTCCATTGGGAGAGAGACGGGAGTACAGTCGCGGAGCCTGCATTCCTTGAGGAGGTAGAGAATATAGTCTTGCTGGTGCATCCAGAGCTCTCAAGTAGAGCGTGAGCGTGAGTACTGAATGCCGAGGTGTTTGACTACTGGTCCCAGATCCGCGATCCCAAAATGTTCTGCTATGCAACCCTTGATCCAATCAAGGAATTTTCGGTTGTTACATCCCACCAGCCCATCATCGACGTGCAATGATATGACGCAAATGATTAGCACCCCCTCGATGACGTGGCTGTAGATGAAAACTGTGTAATTGGCTTCGCAACAAAGGAATCCTAAGCAGGTGAGCACAGCGCGCAGAAGCTCATACCAATCATATGCGGCTTGCTTCAGCCCATAGAGCGATGACAAGAGATGGCACACCAGACTTGCACCATAGAGACCAAAACACTCGAAGCCAAGAAGCTGGTGGGGTGAGCCAGCTTGATGCGAGCTTGTGTACAGAGGAGCAGCACTTGGAGCACTTCCCATGTCGGGACGTCTCTTTTATGTGGATCTCAAATTCATTCCTCCCCAGAATGCCACGCCTATGCTATCTGTACCATCAGAACTGTCTGCCTTTGCTTGCATTTCTCTCACATATGATATCTGGCATGCTCGCATGGGCCATGCAGGAGGAGAGTCCATTCATTGTCTCCCCCAAATCGCAAGCAGATTCTCCGTCAACTCCAATGAGGCCTTGTCTCGGTGTGAATCTTGCGTCATAGGCAAGCACCCTCGACAGCCCCACCCAGCATCACAATCCCCACCTGCCTCTCATTTTCTCGAGCTCATCCATGCCGATATCTGTGGTCCAATCCCCATTCCTACCCCGCATCACAAACATTATTTCATCGTCTTCATAGACGACCACACAGGGGTTCTGGACCTGCAACTCCTGGCAACCAAGGAACAGGTATTGGACGCATGGCACAATGTTCGTGCACGGTGGGAAACATGTTCTGGCCTGCATGTTGTTGCCTTCCGCTCTGACAATGGTGGAGAGTTCCTTAATCACGCCTTTACCGCTGACCTGCAAGCAGCTGGCATCGAGCGACAGCTGTCTGCCCCATACTCACATCAGCAAAACGGCAGAGCGGAACACGTCATCAGGACAATCAAAGGGCGTATGTACGCTATGCTAAACTATGCTCATCTCCTGCGGAATCTCTGGGGGGAAGCAGCTCTAACAGTTGCTTACCTGTTCAATCGTACTGAGTCCCGCACGCTCCCAGCTGGCAAGACCCCTTACGAAATGCTCCACAATGTTAAGCCTGACTTATCCCACATTCACGTCTTCGGTTCTCGATGCTTCGCCCGAATCCCAACAGAACTACAAGAAAAACTGGGTCCTAAGTCGAGGGAGGCTTACTTCATGGGATACACACCAGGCGGACACTCTTGGCGATGCAGGGACAAGGTGACGGGAATGTTCTTCAACTCCCGCGACATAATTTTTGATGAATCGTTTTCTGGGCGTCCATTCCCTTCAGACAGTGACAACTCTGAAGACGAAGGCCCAGCAAACCCCACTGATCCCAACCCCATCAACTCTGCGCCAATTGTTGCCAACACAACACCCCTTCCACCCGAATCTCGACACTCTGAGAGGGTGCACTTGCCCACAGCATGTGGCCAAATCTTCAAGGATCAAATTGCATCAGACCGCGATTGTTTGGCACACCAACATGAGTTGCGTAATGCTCGCATTCAAGGGGTGCCTCCTCCTCTTGAGGGGGTGGTGAATGCTATGCCTTCCTTACCCACTGACAACGACACTAATGCCAACGATCCCGATGCCATCATTCCCGATGAGGACGAAGTCGGTTATCCCCGTGTTCTCACTGGTCTAATCGCAAATGAATTTGCATGCCTTACCATTCGCTCTGACACTCGCCGCAATCCGCTATCCTCTAACTACAACATGAAGGTTCCACCTGCAACATACAATGAAGCAATGCAATGTTCCGACCGCGACGAATGGCTCACCGTGATGCGCAAAGAAATTAACTTAATGTCAGAAATGAATGTCTACGAGTTGATGAAGATTCCGGAGGGGTGAAAGAGGCAATAGGATGTAGATGGGTTTTAGAATTTAAGGAAGATGCGAAAGGTGGGCCTGTGCACAAGGCTCGACTTGTGGCACAGGGATTCTCGCAGGTGCCAGGTATCGACTTTGGCAAAATGTTCGCTCCCGTTGCAAGATCATCATCCATTTGACTCCTCTCAGCACACGCTGCCGCACACGACTGGGAACTCGACAGTTTCAATGCGAAACAAGTGTTCCTGTGGGGGAAATTGCGAGAAGACGTGTATATGCGAAAATTGCATTCCCATCCCTTAGCAAGCATCCACCCAACTGAGAGTAGATTGAGCATAGCCCCCGGTGCGTGCAGACAGTTCGAAAATCACACTCGGTGCCTCGCACCCCCAATCTGTAGCCATGCAATGCAGTCACCACGGCTGGATGTATGAAGCGACCCATGGTTGGCTGTTTTGATGACGACAGGGTCCTGTGTAGAGTATATCCAGAACATGGCGCGATCACAGATGAGAGTACTGGTGGTACCGGAGTCAAGTATGGTGGACAGTATGTGGGCATGGGCTGATGCTTCAAGTTGTTCAATGCTTGCACATGATAGATCACATCGCAGCGAGGTCGTCACGTCAGGTCCCGTGTGTGTGGCAAGAGCTGCAATGACAGGAGGTAAATCTGATGACAATGTTGAAGGAGTGGGAGGTGTGCGAGTTAGCGTACTCTGATCCAGGTCCGGATGTGGTCACTGGATTGGTGTTAATTGTGCGTGAAGCTTCTGCAGTGATGCATGCTGTGCAACTCTCGAACGTGAGGCTGTTTGTTTGGAAGGATGCGGAGATGGGAGTTCCACTGCTCAATGCCGAACTGACAACAGTGGCGGAGAAACCATTGTGCATGCATTGTTCGAGTTGTGTGCGGAACAGCTGCCAAGCAGGGGTAGTGTGTAAGCCAGAAAGATGGTTGAATACCGCTTCCTCATCAGAGTAAGATGCTCCAATGCCTATGAGACGATCACGACAGCTGACATGCTGACCGACGTAGTTGTTCGTGTCGTGAGCATCTTTCATTCAAAGTGATTGTATGCGCCTGCGAACAACGAATTGAGAGCTAATGTCATTATGGTGAAAGTGATCCCTGAGGATCTTCCACGCATCGCGCACTGTGACTGAGATGTTTCGAGGGATGAGAAGATGAATGCTCGGTGCGAGCTTGCAGAGGATGATTGTTTTGGCTTTGGAGTCATTGATGAGCCAGGCTCGTATGGCTGCCTTTTCAGCATCAGTGGGAATTGCTGGAACCACAGCTACGGGCAAGAACGAAGCCATTCCGAGAATATCACTTGGGTCTGCTTTCTCAGTTACATGACATCAGAGGTCATCATTCGTTAAGACGAGCTGCACCTGTGTCTCCCAGGGAATATAGTTATCTGCTCCAGTCAACTCTGGCATGTGGTCGTATTTCCCCATTGATAGGGCGACCTGTCAGAGAGAAGAGTTTAATGAGTTGTCACAACATGAGGGATTTCATATTCTTCCAAGTTTCCATGCTGTTCAGGACATGGGGCTCATAACCTGTTGGAGATACGCTCAGCATTGACAAGCAACAACTATTATTATCAATGTACCTGTTGGAGATATGCTAGAGTAGTTCTAATGAGTATGAAGTATCATGCAGCAAGGAAACAAATATACATACCTCAGCGTTGACAAGCAACAACTAAGGTACGCAACAATGGGGACAAAGTGCTATATAAGTCAGAGGAACAACGGAGATTGAATATGGAATGAAGTAGCGAGGTTGATCCCCAAACCCCAACACTAGTGCTTAATCTGTCCGAATGCAAAATGACTTCTTTTCAACAGTAGCCTCAAGAAGCGCAGGGTGAGTGAAGTTCCTCGTTTTCCCCAAATTGTCTAGCCCAAAGTGCAGAAACTTGCCATCATCCAATAATTCTGTAGCAGCTGCTTCAACCCAAGCTGCGCGCTCTTGAATGGCAGTATCAGCCGGTGGGACAAGGCCATATGTGGAAGGTGTAATTGCGACGACAATTTTTTTCAGATCAGAGCGCCAAGTTGCCAGATCATCATACAACTAGAAAAAAATGAGATATGAGGCCAACAATAACATACACACCTGCCTCACCATATCAGGTTTGTGCATGGGCCACACACCTATTGAATGCCTCGGGTCAGTTGACTATCTTGAGGGAAACAGGGACTTACCAGCATCAACTTCATGGCCGGTTTTGAGCCATTGCACGAGCAATGCCGAGAGCGATTCAGTGATTGAGATGGGCAAGTCAACGACAAGGCTTGGAAAAGGTTTTTCCAATGCCTGCTGGGTGTGACACTCCCCCTTCACATCCTCAAGAAAATTCTTCCAGCACAAACTATACCATCCCAGTTAGGAAGCCTTGGGTCCTTCATCATCAGATCCATTGTTCACCTTCGATTTCTGATTCCGTTTGGCCTTTGGTTTAGCCTTTGAGTTGGGAGCATCTACCTCAGCAGTGCGGAGAAGTTCTAGAAGGGCGGGGTCAGGAAGGTGGGGATGGCCATTTCTCTTGTGGTGGACCTTCAAGACATCGTCCGGCTTGACTGAGAGATTAGCATACTCCAGCAAAATACTAAGTTTGTACCTGGGGAGCGCTCTCTTGATCTGTTGTTACACTACCCTTGCTCGAATCACCGCCAACCACCAAGGTTCTCTCAGCCACTTGGTCATCTTCATCGCGTGAATGCTGAAAGTGGAAATCTGTTGGCAGCACAGTGGCCACCTGAGGTTGAGATGGTAATTCTTCTCTTGAAAAACCTGTCGTTCATCAGCCCAACATGATTGAAAATAGGGAGGACTTACCAGGGCGTGTATCATGACGCCTACCGACTTCTCCCCAACCAATCTCATCTCCACCACCTTCATCCAAGCTAGATGAACCTTCATCGCTCGATGTGTCTGACTCTTCAAAATCGGTATTCAGTGGTGTACTCAACCGGAGGACGGGATCCAAATTATGGGGATAGTTGGTGTCTGATCGCGCCGTGATAGTTGAAGTCATCCTGGAAGGTGCTGGATCGTTGACACGAGGAGTAGTGATCATATGGTGAGCTTTGGAAGCAGGAGCCTGAGATTGGGAAGAGTGAGAGGTACCAATATTGATCTCACTTTGGGAGGCATCTGAAGTAGTCAGTGCATGCAACTTCCTAGCGGCAGCCACAAAGGGATTGTTTAACGCCTGAAGATCAGGTTCTGTACCAGGGGGAACAATAGGAACGATTGGGGGCGAAAATCTGAGTCATCCACCAGCTTCACATTGTGAGAAAGTTGGGTGATCATTTAACTCGAAGCTTGGGGTAGGAGTGACGGGAGTCTGCATATGAATTAGTACATGTATATCTGTGGAATAAAAATGTACCTTTCTTTTCTTCGAGTGTGATGTGGAAGTCATTACATTTAGGGTCTCCAAGGGGCTATATGGCGGAGGGAGCTGCTTCTTCTGAATGTTTGGTTAGTATTGTACCATACAAATAGGAGAAAAATACCTTAGGACAGCTGCCCTGACCCTTGCGAGGTGGTTCTGGAGCGAGAGGGTTTGCAGGAGCATTCAGATTGAGGGATGTGGCGCCCTTGACTTTGTTGGTCCGTGCTGGGGCATGCAAGATGGCGCCGATCTTCTCCAGTTGTGTGCCCCTACCTCCTTGCCCCGCACCAGAACACCCAGAACGTCGAGGATTTTGCGACTCATCTGCTTGATTGGTGGTAGATGGCAGTTCAGCGTGAGCACGTGGTTTCTTCACCAAACCTTCTTGCCCTTCGGGCACCTTTAGGTCAGAGTCCATAGCTTTGCGCTTTGTTCTCTTTTTTTGGGGGCTACCCGGCATCACTGGAGAAGGGGGGGGAGATGGACCACAACACCAATGAATTAGAGATACTCACCTTTTAAATCTAACCCCCATCGCACCTTGAAAAAACACTTAAAAATGACTTAGTCGAAACATCAATGCACACACGCACCATTTGTAATATAGCGCAGCACAGATAATGGATGGGGTTGATGAGACGTAGTCGAGTCCACGAGTTCTACTTTGAAGGTGAGTCATTGTGAGTCAGAAAACTGTAGGCTGAGAACAAACATAATCCTTTCGTCGAACTTGCGTATACAGCTGACTCGGAAGCATAATTTGAGGGTGGGAATCTGTAGGAATATCTCCATCATAGTCAGAGTCAGAACAAAGTTTAAATTGTACACGTAAGAAGGGGTATTGACTAAGATAGGAAAGAACAATTATGTAGTTCTACTCCGCTTGGGCAGGGGCACAACATCCATCATCCAGCCCATGCGACTGTGACCTTGTACCATATTATGTTCATTGACCAGCAGTTCTTTTATATCTGAAATACCACGATCATCACCCTCCAATTCAGTCACGCTTCTCTTTCACAGGAGTGCTGCGATCACTTTCCTTACAAACAGGAGTTCAGGGGAAGGCTTGTCCTTCGGAAGCAAATCAAGGTGTGTTTCCAACAGATCAAGGACCTCCTGGAAAGTTACTGCGCTCGATGGTCCTTTGCCCCTTATCAACTTGTACCACTGATTTGCAAGTGGGAGTAGAACAGGCACTCTAAGCTGAGAGACTGGAATGACATCACCCATCTGTGAGCCACTCAAGCGCTTTGATCTTTTTAGTGTATGGAGCTGAGTGGTTGGATCACGTTCACTAGAGATATCGAAACATTGGATGTAGGTTAGGAACTGATCGTCCCATGCCCATGGTGTCCCACTTCGGCCAATGGGTCGAATGATAAGCCTAATTTGGCCAATGGAGTGCCCTACATTCTTTGCCTTAGTGAATGTTGTCATTAAAGATAGAAATAACATACCTGCAAGGCTGCTGGCGGGCCATGAGTGCCCTGAGTTGGTCTGAATAACGACCCAAAGTCCAGGGGTTGCTAGGTGGTGTACAATTGAGCGTTTGAGCGGGTCAATGTTATGGGGATCATGAAAATTGGTTTCCTGCAATTGAACTTTGAACCACACTTGAACATTGTTGAATGGAAGTTCAGTGTCGTGTAGGGCCCTTCTAGGACCACCTATCGAGTGGATGTGATTACCATGAGTCACCTCACAGTGAAGAAAATCAGCGATAGCTGGCTGCAAGTCTGGTAGGCCGAACATGATGGCAACTTCATCGATAGTGGCATTCTTGATGGATGGATTGTAAGACAGATGAAGAGCCATGCGCCCAATGATAAAAGAACATAGTGGGTGGGGTACTGATCTGACCTCCTTGTGTTGGAGAATTTTGGCTATCGAAAAGTAATTCGTGATAGGACGTGGTTGTCCAGGTCTTCGAGTTGGGGACAGTAGGTCTGCGGGAAAGCCATTCACGTCATCGTCGATCTCATCTTCCTCTTCAACAAATCTATCTCCAAAAACTCCCGGATCCTCATGCTGTGAATGATCCAAAAGGTTAGTTGCAAGGTCGAACCAATTGCATTTGTCGGTGCAGTCGAGATAACAACAGATCTGCGGTGTAGAGAGCAGTATCTCTACAGGCTCGTATCACCCTATCTCCACATCAACCTCATCACTATCCATACGTAGGCACAGTCCTATAGACACGTGCGCGATGTACACGACCACCGGCGCTTGCACGCATAGCTACTCATCAGCGGCCTACTCGGATTACCCCCCAGCCATAGTTGTAGTATTAGACCTACGTATTATGGCAACTACCATTTTTACCATAGACACTTTTGACAGCAATTACCAGCAGCGCAATTTGACCTAATCCATGGCATTTGCCAGGCCCTATTTTGCTGGGTGTTTTGGCTTTCACAGCCGCTTTTTTTGGATTTTTGAAACTCAGCTATGTTTTCAGTCACAAATGTGTTTTCCACATTTGTCAGATGTTTTGGTATGTTTTATTCCGCAATTTTGGCCTCCAAAAGCGGAAATTCACAAAACACATCCTGTTTTGGTCACCTCCTCATGTCAGGCCTCCCCACATTATTCCCACACTCCGCATTTTCGCATTTTTAGCCACCTACTGTGGGAATTACCCCACAACACCCAAAACATCATCCCAATATGGTACACCCACCACATTTATAATTATTCCCACACCCTTCCCACCTCACTGCAGCTTCACCACCACACCACAATAGGTCCTCCTTTGTATCTAAATAGTAGTTTAGTATATACATGTATAATATTATATAATAGACCGCTTTTTTTGTCAATTTGTGTGCCTGCTCATCCTCCAGGGCCTTTTTCAAACAGGGTAGGGTACAGAACATTTTCGCATTTTTGCCCCTTTGATAGGAGGGTGTTCCAGGACATTCAGAACATATTTATGAGCATATATGAGTAGATTCCCATCTTTATTTCACCCCCTGAAGTGTCCTACATCAATAGATATAGCACATATGCAAGAAAACACAGAATATGTTCTCATTTGATTATTTCTAGGTGAACAGCCTTGTAAAAATGATTCCCAGCATCTATTTAACAATGGGAACAATGTATCAGGAGCCCAGGACCATAGGATAATTCCCTGTTGCATGGTGTGCCCCCCCTCTCCTGGTGGTTTACCCCCTGTGAAATTTTTTCCTGTAGGACCGGACCTCAATTGAGGTAGGGGGTCTATTCCTATGTATATTTGAGGTAAGTCTATCATATAGCTGGCCCAGGACACAGATAGGATCCTGCTACAGGAACAAAAACATAGAAAATCGCATTTTTGACACCTTTGATGTTTTCAGTATCTTACTCTTGCATAAATAATACAACCTGTTCATATATCATTATCATAGTACATATAGCACAAATGACCAGACCTGCTCATATATGATCAGTAGTACATTCACAAATATGTTTTATGCCAAGGATCAGCCCTACATAGGGTGCAAATGTGATATATGATGTACAGGGGCTTTTTCTACTGATAAGAAGCCTACATAGTAATCAAGCCTGTGATAAGTAATCAAAGACCTGGGATATGTCCTATATATGCCCCTGATGATAGATTTGAAGATTTAGAAAGATCCATCAAGGACTGACTGAATGACAAGTAAAACCACATATGTGTGAAAAGTGACAATTGACATCTTTTCACACAAAGTTACATTTATATATGATACAGGTCAAATATTTCATTAACAATATGTAGGATACATTGTAGACTACTAAAGGAACATATACTACATACTGCCCTGAGGTTGAAGGGTGGTGGAAGGGATGTGGTGTATATCTGAGTTGACCTAGCATTAAAGTGCTACTATCAAGAGGTGTGCGTTACAAAGAATCAAGACACTGACATGTTGAAATTCCATGGGTGGTACAAGTACCGTGACTGTCAAATGTCACGGCGCAAATTTCCTTACCTAGTTATGTTTTGTCACTTAGAAATGCAAAACGATCGAATGTGATCGATGAACCAAGGACCCGGAAAACCGCTACAATACATCTGAGACACGAGAGCACACATGCTAGACACATAGTGAAAGGAAAACGTTGCAAAAACAGAGCCTGTAAGTCATAAGAGTCGTGAGGGGTAACACATAAGTAGCAGGAAGGAATGGCAGCACGGAAAATTAATCTAAGGCTAAGTGCGCCGGGCCCTCTTTGAAGAAGCAGCAGCAGAAAACATTTGAGTGTCACCCTTATGCTTTCGACCACTCGCACTGGCTGGGATATTCTCCTTCTCCGAAATTGGGACAGTTAGAGTGAATAGAGGTTGAGGCGGAACACCCAACCTTGTTTGTTCGACGGGAGTGAGCATCATAGTGTCGAACATATTGGTAGGAAGGGGGAGGCCACTATGAGGTTTTCCAGGGTGCGCGTACTCTGGGTGATGGTCATTCATGTGGGCCTCGAGGTTGTACCTCCAAATTGCCGGCCTCCAGTCCATCTGACGGTTTTGATGTACGCAAAGCTTGCAGACGACAGGAACATTGCGACACGGGCGATTGTCGGAGCCTTTGTTAGTGCTGCCGTACTGGAAATTCTCCTTGTGTGGGCATTGGGATTCCCAAGTAACTGAACGTCCGGATTCCTTGAAGGTCACTGTGCACTTGGCGACACCAGAACGACCACAAAAGCCACATGGCTGTGGGCCTGAAACAGCTGTTGTGACATTATCAGGAATTCCGCGTGCAGCACGAAGGATATGGCAGCCCATATGTGAGCGCAGATCTTTTGTTGCCTCGCCACATAGAGGGCAAGTGCTCGCCACTCCCTTTCCACGTCCTGAAGCTGCCAGCATGGTAGTTCCAGCGACACAAACAAGAGCATCTGAGCCTGTAAGTAAATGAACATGATTGTTAAAATGATGCACTGGTGGATGCCACTGTAAGACTTACCACTAAGATCTTTGTATGGGAACATGGAGCTCTCGCTGCTGAGCGCTGAAATTGAGTTGATTGGAAGCTTGGATTCGACAATCTTCATCCAGACTGAAGCAGCTGCGGCTTCCAGCCCATCATTACTCAGCGCCCAACTCGACCCCTTCGAGTTGACTTCAGATGCTTGGTCCGGTGCGAGATGTTCAAGCGCGTTGACGACACGGGGGTTGGCAAGTTCGAGAAGGTGGCCTGGGATGCTTAATGTGACAACCCTTTGGGTGACAGCATTTGTTCCTGGAACGGGCGAAGCAGTTTTGAGGTACCCGCCATTCCAGACCCATAACGCAGATGATTCGGGAGTGGAACTGATTGAAGGAAGGAGGACCATCATCTCTCCAACTACCTTCACATTACTCCATAGAGACGCCAATGTTGCGGTATTGATTCTTCCACGAGACAAGCCATTTTCCGATATTGATGTTGCACGAGTGAGCGCGAGCGAAAGTACCTTGCCTTGAGAACAAATGAGGGTGAGAAACAAGTCGCCAGTGACGAAATGCTCGCCATGAAGGATGTTTGAGACTTCGTCAACATCTGCCTTCTTGTTGACAGATGTGAACCCCCGAACATGCAAGAGACGGACTTGCGACTTTGGGGTGAAGTTGGGTGTAATGATGAGACGGCAAACTGTTTGCTTGTGCACCCACTTCTTCTCGCACCAAAGGTAATCAGCAGGGCGGATTCCGGGACCTTTCGGTGGGGCTGTTGGGGTGTCGTCTTCGAGTATTTTGGGCGAGTCATCCAGGTCCTCAGGTTGGGTAGGATCAAATTTGTCCTCCAACATCTCCTCGAAGTTATGGATAGGGTCGTTTTCATCAGCACCTTCTTCAGCTGGTGCCAACGAAGTCTACAATACATTGAACTGTGAGTTCAAAGTCGGAGCGAATAATTAGTGCTTACCTCTGGCTCAGCTGGCTCATCACCGACATTCTCAGTAGGGATTGACGACACAACACGAACGTTAAGCGAACGATCCTCTTCGGTGTCTCCATCATTGACACTGGGGTATTTTCCCTCTCCGAAAACACATAGTAAGTCCATGCTCGAACCAAAAGAGAAGTAAGAGTTGAAGTCATAGGCTTGCGGGGGAATCTGTGTGAGTTGTAGAAATTGAGTAGCTACGTCTTGACCCTGCTTCCAAGCGCTTGGAAGGTTGCAGTGTCCGGAGATGATGTCACCAACCCACATCGAGCGGTTGATATGATCAACAGATTCTGAGCGTGACGTGAGGTTAAGACGATGATGACCGTGAGCGAGGTCTCGGTTTCGCGTGTAGACTCCTCCGATGTCTCATGCGGCACCTAGACGATCCAGAGCCTGCTTGTAGTTGACAGCGCTGTTGTGTCCACCACACATTCGAAGAAACACGAAGAGAAGTTCAATGGGATCATCACCTGTGTCAAGCAGAGTGAATGGTTGAGTAGCGTCCAGCTTCTGCTGTTTAGCGATACAGAAAATAATGTTCTTGATCAATGTTTGCACGTCATAATACAGTTGGTTCGGCATGAACGCCCGACGCTGATTCCGGTAGCATGCATAGATCAAGTGAGTGCAACGACAGAGGGAGATGACTTGTTCAGTCAGTGAGAGCGTGATATTAATGAATGGTTGGAGAAGGCTATGAAGAATGTGACTGAGAATCTTGATGGCGTCAAAGTCCGCAATGACATCGACATCGGGTTCCGTACCATCGAGGGTGTATGGTGGCAGAGTGGGGTCAATGTTACCGAGAGAAATGACAATGTTCATGAGTGCGACTGCACGAGGAACATCTTGAGGGTCGTCAGGGTACAAGAGCTTGAGTGCACGGGATTCATCGATATTATCGACCCACGTCAGATAGTGTTCGAGCATAGAGGAATTGATACAGCGCCCATTATCGGGCCGCATACCGGCACAAGAACGAATCAATGTACAGAAGCCTGCGCATGTCATTTTAGATTATTCTTTGGATGAAGCAAACCACTTACACTTAAAGACATGTTTATCATCAAAGTCCAAGGTCATTTCATGCTTGCCGGTAAGAAGGTTGAGCCCAGGGAGATTGATGAGCGTTCCGAATAATGGAGATGTGAAATTGATATTATTGCAAAGGAATGTGCGGTGTCCAGCCTTGCGTCGTGTGGCATCCCCATCAGTAGCAAAAGACCATGCAGGTCCGACTGCCCGATCAGCTCCAGATGCGTACCACAAATCGATGACAGATTCAAATACAAACTCCATGTCAGTGAAGTTCTCGGACTTGCATGTTGGTGCAGCAAGTATGGGATATATTCCGTCTTCACCAAACACGTGAGCACTGGCGACTGTCAGTTCCTTGCTAAGATGTACTTTGCCTGATTTGAGCGCGTCGGCAACACCTAGGGCTGATTGGTAGTTGTTGAGAGTGGTGTCAACAAGGTGGGAATGTGTCCAGCATAGGCCACCAATGGAATTAGACTGTGGTAAGTAACCAGCAGCTTCCTCAAGCGCCGTCTCATCTATGAGAAAGCTCATGCCACGAAGGGTATTGAGACCTGCTTGTGCCCGTGGGGCTAGGACGACAGCCGCGATGTTGTGTTGGATGACACCCATTGTGATTTGGCCAATGATAGGAGCAATCTTAACAAAAGAAGTGTGCCGACCAAGAGTTCGCAAAGATGGTAGCGAAAGGCGCTGGCTGAGTGCATATAGTAGGTTGTGTCCCCCAAGACGGAGTATGAGCAAGGCAAGATCATCAGCCTCCTTTCCACGGGTCCGTGGTCGGTATCCGCACTCAAGAGCATCCTCGATTAGTCGAAGAATCATATGAATGCTAGCGCTGTTTGGAGCAGATTACGGAGCCATGGCACATCACATTGTGCGAGTGCCATGACCAGAGACGAATGGTCCTCTATAACAGATAGCATACATTTGATCTTGCGAGCATCATTGAGACTCTAAAATGATTATATGAGAGATGGAAACTGAAAAAAAGAAAACTGCATACCTGCAATTTAACAGTGTTCAAGTTGACATTGCGCTCGTTGATCACATCGAGAAGCTGAATCGGTGTAAGCACATTATGACGGGTATGATTTTTGCGTTCTCCGGCAAGGTTCGCAAGTGAATGAACGCGGGATTGAAGTTGCTGACATGGGATGCAAGGGGAGTCATCGTCAGTGGCATGAGTGCAGTTTGGTGAGCATGCGTAAAGAACACCATCAACAAGGTTGACATTGAAGGGAAGCTTATCCAGTCCATCCCAAGTGCGTAACCAAGGAAAATTTGCCTCGGGAGGCACTCCAGGCAGCGTGGGCCAGTCCGTCATAGGAAGGCCAATACAACGAGAAGTAGATGCGACAACTGTGAGTCTTGACGACACAGTGTTGGTGCTATACACCATCAGAAAATGACCATCATATATAAAATAAGCTTACGAGTTATTCCGGGAGTGATCGGGTGGAAGAACCACAGTGATAAAAGCTGCTTGAGAGTCGCGCACAGCCTGCTTCTGAAGAGACTTCTGAGAAATACAAACACACGATCCGAAATGTTTTTCTAAGGGCATGAATTGGCCCCGGCTTGTGAGGTTAATGTGATTGTGGATTCCTGTTGTGACCCAACAGCCTTTGTCGGGGCACTGCAAGACTTGGACTCGGACAGTCGAGTGTTGAGTTCACCGTACTGATAGAGCTGGAGGTATGCGTCACAGGTGTCTTTTTCGATGAGATGTTGCTCTTCGTTTGAGTTGAGGAAAACACAAGGTGATGGCAGAGAGGAACGTGGAGATGGGTATGATTCTGGATCAGAATCGAAGGCAGTTTCGATCTGATAAGCGGTGTAAAGGGAAGCACCAGGGCATTGGCTGTGTGCAGGATCATTATCTAAATTAAACTGTGCCTCGTTGTAAGTAAGACAGTGTTCGAAGTCCTGGGACGTAAAGTAAGCTTGTCTATCGTGCGTGGTATAATCCATTTGAAGTCGTAAGAGTGCTGGTATCGAAAATTGAGTTGTACAAGTATAACGAGAGTGATTGAGTGGGCAAGAAGAGAGACGCATATCAAGCAAGACGCGTGACGCGACGACTCGATCATTTGCATCATAGATCAGTCATAGCTCAATTTGGAAATACTGGATGATCTTGCTTCACAACTTGTGTCTATTGGTCTGCTACTCACAGCAGATGTATATTCAAACTAACTATCTAGCATTATTCTATGTACTACTATGATACTACTTAGTTGAGGAATGAAAATATTTTAATGAGTTTTGCAGTCGCTGTGCAAAGAATCAGCCGAGTGCTCGAGTAAAATTGATGTTTTCTTGAAAGTGGCTGAAATATGGCCCTCAGACACCGATTGGGTAGTAGGTGCTCATAGGAGCCCGTGTTCGGCATTCGCCGAATGCACACCTCTTGGCTACTATTGCTCAACTGACCATTTTCGATGTTTTGGGTCTTTGAACTTTCCCACACTCAATTTCTTATCTATTTCACTTCCTCAGCACTCAATTCTTGTTGGATTGTTCTGTACATTTAGGCCTATGATACTGAATATATTCGAAATCTACTCCAGGTGTCTGATTATTAAATTTCGATGTATTGAAAGTATGGGATCCTTATCAGTAGAAATAGCAAGCATTCACACTAACTCAAACCTCTGGCCTATTTTGAGCTGATCCTTGTCACAACAAGCAAGTATATATACTATGATAATGATATATGAACAGGTTGTATTATTTATGCAAGAGTAAGATACTGAAAACATCAAAAGTGTCAAAAATGCGATTTTCTATGTTTTTGTTCCTGTAGCAGGATCCTATCTGTGTCCTGGGCCAGCTATATGATAGACTTACCTCAAATATACATAGGAATAGACCCCCTACCTCAATTGAGGTCCGGTCCTACAGGAAAAAATTTCACAGGGGGTAAACCACCAGGAGAGGGGGGGCACACCATGCAACAGGGAATTATCCTATGGTCCTGGGCTCCTGATACATTGTTCCCATTGTTAAATAGATGCTGGGAATCATTTTTACAAGGCTGTTCACCTAGAAATAATCAAATGAGAACATATTCTGTGTTTTCTTGCATATGTGCTATATCTATTGATGTAGGACACTTCAGGGGGTGAAATAAAGATGAGAATCTACTCATATATGCTCATAAATATGTTCTGAATGTCCTGGAACACCCTCCTATCAAAGGGGCAAAAATGCGAAAATGTTCTGTACCCTACCCTGTTTGAAAAAGGCCCTGGAGGATGAGCAGGCACACAAATTGACAATAAAAGCGGTTTATTAGATAATATTATACATGTATATACCAAACTACTACTTAGATACAAGGGAGGACCTATTGTGGTGTAGTGGTGAAGCTGCAGTGAGGTGGGGAGGGTGTGGGAATAATTATAATTATGTGGTATACCATATTGGGATGATGTTTTGGGTGTTGTGGGGTAATTCCCACAGTAGGTGGCTAACAATGCGAAAATGCAGAGTGTGGGAATAATGTGGGGAGGCCTGACATGAGGAGGTGACCAAAACAGGATGTGTTTTATGAATTTCCGCTTTTGGAGGCCAAAATTGCGGAATAAAACATACCAAAACATCTGACAAATGTGGAAAACACATTTGTGACTGAAAACATAGCTGAGTTTCAAAAATCCAAAAAAAGCGGCTGTGAAAGCCAAAACACCCAGCAAAATAGGGCCTGGCAAATGCCATGGATTAGGTCAAATTGTGCTGCTGGTAATTGCTGTCAAAAGTGTCTATGGCAAAACTGGTAGTTCCCATTTTACTAGGTCTAATACTACAACCAGGGGTGTACCCCCTCATGTCATGTCCTGTCTATCCGGCTCCGTTGGTGCGTGTTCTCACTGATATATCCGTCGCTGACCACATCCAGGGTCCCTTACATATTAACTTATCACACATCCACTTTGTTGTGCGCTTCCGCGCAGCCTATCCACTTCCCTTATGTTTCATTACCCTGAGAGCGCGCATAGCAATTCACATATCTAGAGGACTTAGAGGATTTGGGACTCACTTACTTTCTGCTACTTGGACTCAGTATCTGTATTCCTGCTTAGTCGAACATAGAGCGCTAATATCATCGCTGCAGACATCTATCTTCTCCTCAGTCTATCAAGGCTCGTCTATCAGTTCTCAGAGGATTTCTATTGTCCTACTTCGCCGATTCTCTACTTCACGCATACCGTGCGCTTTCTGACTCTCCCGCATACCTCACGCATCGTGTGCGCCCATCGCATCGACTTCGCACATCTTCGCGCGCCTTCACATATCTTTGGCATCAGCTTTTCTCTTGATCCCTCTCATTATCAGAGAGATTGTCTCAGTAGAATCCCCTAAGGGACAATCCTACTAGCTCGCCTCTCGAGGTAGATACCTTTGTGACCCCCCGGAGTTCACATCTCTATTTTCCTCACCCACAGCGGGTTGTAGTTATTATTGTTGCTGGATCTCACAGGGTCTTTGACTTCAGTGATATGCACATGCTCAGTAACATCCGCCGACCACTGTGCTATAACACCAGAGTTGCGGATGCTACAAGTGATGTTCTGCATAAGCTCGAGTTTGGGGATCTGCCAATTGTCAATGACTTTGTAAATTTTTCCCTGGCAGAGACCAGCAGCGATGATTGCATGCTTGTTCGCGTGGAACTTGTCTAGTGTGGCTGTGATGCGACCAAGATCCTTGTCGTCAATGTGCAGTGATTTCACAAGATAATGAAAGTGCATGAGCGCATGCACGGCAACAGCAGCGCCAGTAGGTGCTGCATCCGCACTGATTGCAATGATGGATCGCTGAACGTCTCGGTGGCATCGACCTGTAACCTGCTTAAGTTTGGAGATACCTCCATGAAAATGGCAATAACCGGTGGTGGGCTGAATGATGGAAAACCATCTATCTCGGACCCTCCCACTGCGCGAATGATCCACTGTGTGTCATGGTCCCAAAACATCTTATGAATGTGGTGTAGTGATTCAGGCATGAAAAACAGGGAGGGATCCGCTAGCAACCAGTCCGACCAGAATGGTTTGTCTATGCCATTCAGATGAAATTTCTGCGCTTTGCGGAAAAACACCTGGAGATCATCTGGGCAAGCATGTCAATGCACGATTTAGAGTTGCACAAGAGTTTTGAATCGTGTGCGGGGTTCATGTTGGAAGGCATCCCCAAAGTCTTTGTACATCGCCATAGTCACCGGGGACGTCTTTCCGCCAACACATGCCAACATCATGGCTTCTGGTGTGTCAGCAATATAACTAGTGAGCATTGTGAAACAGTAACGGCTGCATCCAATGTGATCAGACAACATGATGCCGTTTCAAGCAGCCGACTTCAGAGGTTCGAGTACGATGTCCAGGCAATGATGAATGAGCCGATCTTGCAACACACCTCTCATTCACTTATTTTTGTAAACAAATTTTGGAACCAGTGGTAGGGCAGCGAGAAGGAAGGTGTTTGAAGATGATTTTAGCCGTGTGTCCATGTCACGGTGGATGTTGGCAAGGCTGATAAGGAGAGGATGTGCAACACGATCACCCGATAATGCAGTAATGCATGTCTTGTCAGAGGATAGGATGGTACCCAGGAGAATTGCACCATGGGGAAGTGCTGACTACAAGAATGCATGAGGCAGTGATTCAAAGAGGGACTGTGTTATACACCTTCATCTCCCAGGCATGTTCACCTGTCATCCATTTGGTATATATCCGAGACTCCTTCTGCACTGTGCTATAGACCTTGCGAGCCGTGTAGTCAATGTGATTGTGAAATAAAGGATGGTTGAATAGAGTGGCGATACATTCAAGTGGATCTCACCAGTAGAGAATTGCTGGAGACTTTGTGGGGTGTGACATATGAATAACTTGAGACTTCCAATGTGGACCACTAGGTAGCAATTCAGCTCAACCTTGTAATTCTTTTGCTGAGCTGAAGGATAAAGGTAGATCATTGATCTAAGGGCTCTTTGAGCCAAGCTGTTGTGGTGATGTTCAAATTTAACACTTACCATCTCTAGCACTAGAAAATCATCGATTTTCCCCATGCTCAAGCCTGAATGAAGAAGCCATGATGCAAACTGCCATTCCCTTCGACTGCTGAATGATAGTATAAATTTGTTTTTTGATAGACACTGTTTTCGTCAGCATCAAATAGGCTCAGCAATGTGTAGCCCTCCTCACAAGCCAGCGGGGGCTGCGGAAAGTAGTTGGTAACTACCTCACTGTCATTGTTCCCTGCTTCACTTCTAAAATCATCAAAACTCACATTCTCTCCTAGTTCGTAGGAGGGGGATTCACCAATATTGTCAACTGACATGGGATCTTCGGTGCATGGCAAGGTGGAGTTGAGTTGGATCAAATTTTCCAGCCAGTTATTACATCCAGACCATGGTTAGCTCATATGATGAGTGACAGATGTATGGTCCCCAAATTCTTTTCCACACGACAGGCAATGGGCTGGGACCATGACACCTGGTATATTGATAGTATCTGACTCGGAGTATTGAGTTGTGGACTTCAGAAAAGCAATTGTTGATCTGAATTCGGCATCTTCCAGATATGCCTTACAATTTCCAAGTCCCTCCATGCTATCCTTGTCACTAAAGTTTGACATTGCCACTCTGCGATCACTGTCGGCACTTGCCTCCTGCTCTGACAATCCCACTCAGGCTCATTGTTCTTCCACCGACCATGACAATGAATGTATTAGTAATGGGGAACCACCCCAGGCTGGCAGTATGTGCAGCTTATACAGAATTCTTGATGCTGTCAATTCATTGGTGGGTCCTTCTCATTTCTTGTTCCTTGTTTCTCATTTCCATCATCCTTATCACGCCTAACATTTCAATAGTCCAGGGCCCATGAACCAACTGACTCCGAGGCAAGCCTTGTGCTCGATCTTGTAAGAGCAAAGCAAAATGTTTTCCGGGCACAGAAGTCACTTGCAGACTGTGTGCTGCGGGAAAATGAGGTGTTCACACGTCTGCTCAAATGTTAGGCGGCAGCTGCTGAGGAGAACATTGATGAGGTGGACATTGGGCTGGGATGTATGAGAATTATTTTTAAAGATTGTGGTTGGTCCTACGCCCCTTCAAGTCGTCCAGGAGAGTCAAGCGCACATGGTAAGTCTCACCATTCTCTTGCATTGTCGCTGGTCTTCATGTTCAGGGATGGCAGTATCACAGCGCTGGTGCCCGACAATTGTTCTTGACTGATCAATATTCAATCTCGTGTTGTAGTTCAATTTTTTTTCTGAATTCACTGCCTCATCCAAACTTGTGTGTTCCAATATGTTTTATAAACCTGAGACATGTTTAAAAACATAAAAACAGAAATTTGTTACAAGTAAGTGGCACAGAGTGCTGATGATTTTCATTTTCAAGTCCTCTCCTGAAGTGGTAATCTTTACAAATTGTGAACTCCAACCATTGGAACAGTATGAAATAATCATAATAAACTATTCCGGATACTCAAGCTAGGACCAGGCAGTGAACTGATAAAAAAAAAGGCCACTCATTTTTGAAAAGAAGTGAAAACAAGTAAAAGTCGTCGAAAAGGTCCAAAAAAGGCTGATTAAGTAATTTGAGGTTTTGCTGATGTATCGTCATCTTGTGTTATGCTGTCCCCATCTATATACATGTTTGGTAAAACATAGTTATATGTAGCATGTGAAGCTTATGTTTAGGTTGCTTCGGTGAAGATTCTCTATGTACCCAGCCTCTTAGAGTCCATTCGGGAAGGATTATTTTGCCCAACTTTGCGTGACTTGAAAAAATAAAATCTGATTAAGTAAGCTTGGAGCTTGAAGCTGATGTCACACTGATTGGTGTTATCAGTAAAAACAAGCATATGCCACACATACTATCACCATGCTCCCCCATCTCTTACACCACGCTGACAACCCTTCCGCTGATGACGATACGCTGGTCGAACAGGATGAGCAGGACGCACAGGATGAGCAGGACGCACAGGATGAGCAGGCTGATGGGCAGGGTGTTGATGATGCAGAGCAGTCAGATATCAAGAACCTCTGAGCTATCATAAACTTTTTCCAGGATATGGTTGTTTCAGCATCTGAAGTTGTCAGTCTTGCCAGGAACACCCTTAACTCCTATAAAAACACATATTACAACAAACAACCATACCATACTTCAGCTCTGTCCGGGATTGACTGGGTCAATGAGCTTCTGAATGGCCATTCAGAATGAATCTGATGCGAGCTCGGTGTACACCGCCACATATTCATTGTATTGCGGGATATACTTCGCAATGGTGGAATAACCAACTCAAAAAATGTAATGTTGGAAGAGCAGCTGGCTATCTTCCTGTACGCCTGTGTTACAGGCCTTGCTGTACGGCACCTTGCCGAGTGTTTTCAATGCTCAAATGATACTATATCGAGGTATGTCTGCTAGCTCTCATCCTTACATTTGTTTAATATTCTACAAGGTATTTCACAAAGATTCTGATCGCATTGTCCTCCCAACCAATATATTCCACCTATGTCCGGCTTCTGAATGCACAAACTCCAATACCCACTGAAATCCTCAAGACGACAAAATTATATCCCTACTTTGCCGATGTAATCGGTGCCATCGATGGCACTCACATTGCGTGCCATCCCAACACTGCTGATTGTGATGCCGCTCACGACTGCAAGGGCAATTTAACACAAAATTGCCTTGTCGCCTGCGATTTCAACATGCAGTTCACTTACATGTTAAGTGGCTTCCCAGGGTCTGCAGCAGACGCTCGCCTCTATAACAAGGCTCGCCTAACCAATTTCACCATCCCTCTGGGTAAGTTGTACCTTGCAGATGCAGGATTCGCCGCATGTGATGAGTTACTTGTGCCTTACCGCGGTGTGCACTACCACCTGGCTGAATGGGGCCGGGCAAATATGCTGTATGTTATCCCACTGACTTATCACCCTAGTACTTATTTTTTTCAGGCCTTGCAATACAAAGGAACTATATAATCTACGTCATGCACAGCTCCGCAATGTCATTGAACATATTTTCGGTGTGTTGAAAAAGTGGTTCCAGATTATTCACATCCCTCCCAAGTACAACTTAGATATCCAATCTCACATCCCTCCAGCATTGTGTTTCGTACACAATGTCATCCGATTCCACAACCCCGACAATATACTAGACTATCATCGTGTGGATTCCGATGAGTGGGGGGCTCCTTATGACAGCGGCATGCTTGCTGATGGGCCACCCACCAATGCGGCACGCACCCGTGCACCCAAAGTCCGCGATGAAATCGCACAATCGATGTGGGTTGATTATCTTCAAGAAAGGCTTCACAGAGGCCAGCCTTTACCGCCTGATGTACAAGTAGAATATTGAGGCTGTTTGCCATTTGTTGTTTTCATTGTTGTTGTGTTTGACTCACTCAATGTACAATGTATTGTTCCCTTGCTGCTAATTCAGTCTTGATTGCACAAACACAAGTCCATTGATTGCAGTATGAATGAGTGAGATACATCATGGGGTTCAACTAGTTATATTTTCCCTTGCCCCCACTTCCCTCACTTCCTTTAGGCGCCGTGCTAAAAAAACCTCACAAACACCATCCCATTGGATCGAATTATAAGTATCAGTGATGGTGACGTCGTATTGGAAAAGATCCATCATGGTGACCACCTTGTAATCATCCAAGCTCTTTTCTTCTTGCACCCGAAGGACAGTGCACTGCTTATGGGCTGGGACAGGATCGGTGAAATGGCCAGCAACAGTGTCCCGAAGCGTCGAAGTGGTGTCGGCTATGCTATCGACGACTTTCTCCCCCAACTCTTCCAACACGAGTGGCATAGTGAGACATTGGGATTTCGATGATCCCGCTACGCTCCTTGATTTGGAATGTGGGGGGCGGGAATGAGTGCACAAGGAATCATCCCCATCAGATTTGCGCTTCATTGCGAGTGAAGAAAGTAGGAGGAGGAGGGGGTGGGATAGCGACTTCGGTCATGACCTGTTCAACAATGATATGGATAGCTTGCATGACGTCTTCTTTGAAGTGCAAGGGGAGAAGGTGGAGGGTGAGGGTTTGTAATTTCCTCTGAAGATGGAGGGTGCTACGTTTGGCATCGGCATTGTCGACGCTTTTGGCAATGGTCTCAAAAGACTGGTGATACAGATGATATTGACAAGAGTATAGGTAGTGTCCTCTCCTTTGTCGGTGAGGATTCGTTCTATTTCAAGGGCATGTTGTGGGGATAGGATGGTGGATTCTATGAGGGCGGCGTTTCAATCTCGTCAATGAGAGTGAGGTATTCAGAGAGCTGGAAAGAGGACATGGTTCGTTTGCTAGGGTTGGTTCTGGGAGTGAAGATTCAATGGAGAAGTCGAGCTCACTTGAGGCGACTTTTATACATTTTCAGAATTTCTTGGGTGTTCTGGAGTTCCTTTTCAGGTAGCCACGAGTTTTCTGAGCTGGGGTAACCTTTCCATGACACGAGAAAGCAGTGTCTTCCTTCTATGGTTCCCTTGTGGGCGAGGATCGCTTCTATCTCGTATTCTTCTTGTCCATTGATACGGTCAGGTGGTGGTTCGGGGTGGTTCAGGCAGTAGATCTCTGTTTCTTGATAGGATGATAGTTCAGAAGCATGAAATACGGGGTGAGATTTCCAAGATTTGGGGAGGCAGAGTTTGTAGGTGATAGGGGAAAGGACTTTTTCAATTTCAAAGGGACCATATCGTCTTGGCGCAAGCTTCTTTGATGGGAGATGGGTGATAAGGTGTGCAGCAGATAACCAAACTTTGTCTTTAGGTTTCCAGGGTTCAAACTTCTTTCCAAATGATCGTTCG